TCTCAAAAAGCTGTGGTCTGTTAGATCTTAAATATGAAGATTATTATGGTAAATCGGTTTGGGTTGTTATACTGACAATCCCTGTCACTTTATTGGCGATGAAATTAGCTGGGTGATTGACGTTGTCAGATCTCAGCAAGAAGTAGGCGTGTAGTGATCTTGCAAGGACGGCTAGCATCAGATTGCCACGAGCTTCCATACTTGCATCCCCGATAGCCTTGCCCCACAATTTGAGGGCGTAGGCGAACAGAGCATCCTCTGAGGAAGATTCTTCATCTTTGCCGTCATAAGACTCAAATAAGCCTTTCGCCCAGGAATGGCCGTTATACCAGTCAAATGACCGGAAACACGGAAAAAATGGATCGTCGGGTACTGGAGTGCTAACATCGCGGACGAGGGCATTAACCCAATCTTTATTCCCAGCTATCCATGATGGATCAAGGGTCCCCATGATGGCTGCAGAAAGGATAAAATAGCCATAGTGAAAGTGATGGTCGTTGTAATAAGTATTTCCAAAATCAAGCCCTGGATCGCGGGTCACGTAAGACCCAGAAGAGACAATCCCCTTCCAAACGGTATCATATACCAGCGGCCATTTCTGCTCGTTACGAACAAACTTTGCGAAAGCTTCCTTTAGTAGTCGAAATGCATTTTCCGCCAGAGAGGGATCCTCTGCTAATTTCTCGACAGTATACACCAACATAGAGAACTTGCCAAACCCCTTCCCGCTAAAGTACATACTATCAAGGTACGTTTGCTGATGTATGTCTTGGTTGAGCTCCGTTGGAGCTACCGTTTTCAACTTTTCTTTGGCAGGTTCTGATAGGGGCGGGCTCGTTTTCGATTGCGCGTTCCAGGGAGCAAATCCTAGACTTATAGGAAGGCTGGTCTCGACCATTGTCCATGAATCCCCTACAATACCGGTAGCCATTCCCTTGGTCGTGGTTCGTAGATGTAGACCTGTCATCCTGGATTTGGTGTTTTTGTCAAAGGAGTCACAGTGGTGGGGCAATGCGAACATTAACAAGGGGGTTGTGGAAACATCCAACCCTTGCTTCTCCCAGGAGAAACTGTACGTCCCAGTCTGCTGGTCAGCGACAACAAAGCCCGCGAGTTGGACTTCCACCGCATATACGCCAGCTGACCTGTCGTATATCCCCTCCCCTTCTCCGCCGAGAGGGTTTTTGCAGATCTGGATCGTACCGCTGAACCCACCGATACCACGGATGAGACTATGATCTTCCAACCTCAATTGTGGATCAGTACCGTCGGCGGACGTGACGTATATCAACCACGCCGTGCCATCCTCCAACGTGACCCTATATTTGAATAAGCCTGGTTTGGGAGAGCCCAGTTGTTCGAATTGCCGGAAGAAAACGCCACTCTGGACCGTGGGTTGTAATTTTGTGTAGACAGCGGTCACAAACCCCATGCCTTGAACCAAAGGAAAAGCGATATGAGAAGTCGAGCCAGGATCCGGGGAGAGAAGAATAGTTGCCGAAAACGCGGAGGGCTTCGAAACAACCAAGACAGAAGACGGCCCAAGTTCAGCTGCAGAGAGAATCATCGATTGAATGCCAGTGGGGTTGATATAAAACTGGACAGGGTTACCGGGGATTGACTGGCTCATGGGACCAAATGCCAGCTGATTGAGTTCTATATTGGAAACCATGAGGCCATAACTCGTTACAGGACCCTTGCCCTTAGCCCATGCGACTCCGTACGGATGGGTGAATGAAGGTCCAGTCTGGGAGCCAAGGAAGAAGTTGGCAAAAAATTTGTTTGTAGGTATAGGGCCTGTGGAACCAACCTGCAAATGAGGGTCAGAATTGGAGTCCGGGTTTGAAAAGACAAATAAAATTTTACGTACGATATGATCTGGCTTGACTGGATGATCGCCTCTTGAAGGGATATTTGCCGGGGGTGGTCCCGTGCCTACGGGCTCGAACGCATTTTGGCCATTCATTGGGGGCGGCTTAGGCAAGGGTACAAGCGTTGATGTCGAGGAAGAGCTAGACGAGGGCGCGGTTGGCGCAGGGCTGCTTGATGCTGCAGAGCTTGTAATCGAGGATGGCGGCGGCTGGCTCGCAGTCGTAGAAGGCCGGATGGGCAGGGGTATTGATATGGTGATGGAAATTCCCACGCTTAGGGAGGCGGGTGCTGCTGGCAGGGTAGTTCGGGGTAACTGGGACGTAAGACCGAAGTCAAGGCCGTCAGTTCCATTCGGATACGCATGACAATCCTGATGTAGGGCACAATGAGGAAGAGCTTGGGTTCCAGGGAAGAAGCGCCGCATGGTCATCATTATCAAGATGGCAACAAGCCATGACGACATGGAGTGTGTCATCGTCCGACGACACACACGCGGCGGAGGAAAGCCAGTGTGAATGAAGGCTGTGGGACAAAATACAACCCCTCCCTCCCACAGCACAGGCAGCAGCAGTGGCTAGGCGCCTGAGGGAGACAACGGTGGGGAGATTGGGTAGAGTGGACTGATGTTGTTATCATGAAGGAAGAAGGGGAAGGACGGCGGGCAACGTGGGCCACCAGAAGAAGTAGCCAGAACACACGACGGGAATAGCCTCCCCGCAGTCATTCCAAGCTGCAGCGACCATCAGCAGTTGCCCGACGTCCGAGCGTTAGGGTGTCAGGATGTCAGGGATAGATCAGGGATAGATCAGGGATAGATCAAGTAGGTTCTGACAGATAGGTCAAGGAGAGAGAGCGGAGCAGGCCCAATGGAGGCCAATCAACAGCGACAGTCAAAAGAAGGACTGAATGAAACGTAACGAGAGTGTGGGGAGGAAGAGAGAGAGAAAGAGTGAAAAGAGAGACGGCAAGGACAGGCGCGAAAGGATCGACAGGGAAAGAGAGGGAAGAGAGGAAACAGAGGAAACAGAGGAAATAAAAGAATGGAAGAATGGAAGAATGGAAGAATGGAAAGGGTGGAAGGGGTGGAAGGAAGGAGAGGATGCCCCGGAAACGAGGGCGGGTAAACAGAAAAAGGGGCGGAGAAAAAACAAAAAAGGGCGAGGTGTCCGGACCCCCGGTGGCGCCAAGAGCCAAGGCCGGCGGTTGGGCGGCGGGAAGATCCTTTGGCAGGAAAGTGAAAGGGGCCGGATCCACGCCAGGGACCATGCAAACGGTCATGGAAACGACCCGTAGAAACACGGCGCTCAAACAGCCGGAGCCATGGGAGGGGGAGGCGCTGCTCACCTTTGCCACCAAGTTCCAAATTCCAAGCTCCACCGAGATATCTTTCTTTTGATCCGTGTGGGGTTGGCATCGAGGAAGCTGGCGAGCCGGGGGGATATCGGTCTGCTTATATACTCGTCCATGACCGTGGAGCCACGAGATACAGTGAATTTGCAATGGGATATGTCTTGTCCCTTTCTTTCTGTTCTTTGCAGTCTTTTGACTGTTCTGCTTGCCATCGCTACTACCTAATCATGCTGCCGGAGTGAGGTTGAAATAAGGGCACTGGCTCTGGCTGCATTAGTGCTGCGCCTAGTGGAGACAATGCGCCCAGCGAACCAGTTCATCATGCGGATCGAAGGATCAGGAGGACCGCGTCGGCAGGTTGAACTGGGCCATGTTGCCACAGTCCACAATCCACTGCCAGCTTATCTATCGTACATACCAAAACAATGGGAATGTTGTGGGGGAGGTGGGGGGGGGGAAGGAAGAGGGAAGAGAAAACGAAAGATTCACCGGTCTTCTTTTGGCTGATTCCCAGCCTCCCCGGCGAGCTAAACTCGATCCTGTGTAGTGTCTGCCTGGCAGGATCGCGGAGCCATGGGAGGGCGCATCAGATAGTTAAGATCCCAGCGCAGAGATCTCTAATCCGTACTCTGTCTGGATCCTGACCCTGCGCCATCAGAACCATCAGAAGAACCATCTCAAGTCCAAAGCAATCTTGGTTGGCGCTTCCCTGGCAACCTGGCAACAACGGCTGCACGTGACTGTGTTTCGCGTACAAACCACGGGACCACGACGGGGACAGGTTTCACAGCCAGCGGCGGATGTTGGGACTTGCAAGTTACAGCTGCATGCCGCTCCGACGCACATATCCATACAGTACACGCACTCGCACACCCATCTATCTATCGATCGCTACAAATGCCGCATAATGCATTGTTCGGTCGGTGCACATGTCCGTCCCTAGACCGACCTGCACATGCGCATCTCGTTCCCCCCCAGCTGATCCCTCCTCTATGCACCCTCGAAGGGGGAAAAAACAAACAATTAAACTTGGAATGGAACAGGATAGACCGTTTTAGGGTGAAGCATATATCATACGACACCGCTCCCAACAAACCCCGCCACCACCTAACCTGGTCCCACCTAATCCCACAGATTATCGTCCCGGAGATCCACAGCCAACCGTACTATATTAGGAGGCCAGATCCGGGGAGGTGCTGTTTCCAAGCCAACATATGTTATGTATGTAAACGAGCTGGAAAGAAAAATGAAAGAAAAATGAAAAGAAAAACAAATGAACAAGAAATGGCCGGGGACAAACCACGAGATTCTCTTGTTCATTCGTTTCTTCTCTTCTCTTCTTTTGTTTTTTCTTGGGCGGCCTATTGCGCCGCTGCGAGCTAGCAATCAACATTCAGCATTCAGCCTAACAGCTGAGGATGGCGAAAGGGCCATCGGGAATCCAAACTCTTTAAGCAGATCACGATTCTCCCTCCGACGCCTCATCCCCCTTTACAGGAGCTATGTGCATGCATCCACCGATTAAATGCCCATGTAAACACAATAATAGTAATCCCCACTAATGGTAAAAGCAAGAAGGACTAGGTACCTATATTGGGATTGGATGTCGTTTAATGACCAACTTCTACTCTATATACTACCGATTCCCAACACACAAGAGAGAGGAAAGAAACAGGATGGATGAGGTTTCAAGCTACTTGATCCAAGGCAGCCAATGCAATCAATACAACCCAACCCCAACCCCCTCCCCACATACACACATAAAAAAAAAGAAAAAATCACAGCAGAGGTCGCTGCAGCGGCTTGATAACGCCCTGCTTGAGCATGACACGCGGTTTCGTGGCGTTCTGGAATGTTTCCTTGGTCGTCCATTCGGGCCCGATGGGCAGCCGCAGCGAGCGTTCGTATTGCTGCCTTGATTCGAAGGGGTGGGGTAACTGGGACGCGAGATACTTTGTATTCTGTTGTTGTTGTTGATGATGTCGTCAGTTGAGCGTTGAGCCTTTTTTTTTTATTTATATATATATGTTGCAAGAATTATTTCTAAGTAGACAAAGCAAAGCAAAAATAAAGGAGGGTAAGTGTGGGGGGAGGGGGGGGGATGACAATAGAACGTAAAATAGTAAATAGATAGATACAAAAGACATACCTTCCTAACCCGCTTCTCATTAACAATAACCCGATCCAGCCTCGCATCCCTCCTCTTCTCAGCCTTGACGCCCTCCTCCGTCACGAACGACCGCCTCGCCTTCGCCTGCTGCTTCTCGCGCTTCGTCAGGCCAGCGCCAGCCCACGACCCCCACCCGGGCAGCGTGGTGTCGATGATCTGGTCACCCTCCTCTGCGGCCGTGTTCCGTTTCTCCTTCGAGAAGTCCGCCAGCACCTCGTCGCCCGCGAACGCTCGCTTGACGAGATCGGCGTTCTTGAGCAGGACGGGTACGCGTGTATTTCCGCCGGCGTCGCCGTCATCGTCGCCGTCATCGTCACCATTATCGCTGGTGGCAGTGGCGGCTTCAGCTGGCTGGTCGCGTGATTTGGTAGCGCTTGGATTTCCTTTGGCGGAAGATTTGGCGTGTTTGGGTGCTACGGACAACAAGCGGGACGTGGAGGGATCGCTTTCCATCGCACCGTTGCTGATCAGGCTAATTTCAGCCGCTGCATCTGGTGAGGAGCCATTGTGCTTCTTCGCATTCCGCTTGGGCTGCGTGAGCCATGGATTATCGACGTCAGCGTTGTCATCCTGAGTTGCGTGGTTGTTGGCTAGAGGAGATCGTTTCTTGAGAGGTTGAGAGCTGCGTGCAGTAGATTTATGCGCACGGTGGTTGCTGTTATTACTGTTCGTAGTAGGGCTATCCACCTGAATCTCAATTTCGCCATCGGACTCTACTGCGCGGGCCTTGTCATCTGCATCAGAATCTGGCTCCTCAAATTCCTGCCGTTGAGGAGCCGTGACGGCAGGTTCGTTGGTAGTGGCAAGTCGGCCAAACTTCTGGCGCCCTATCGCCGCCATCTCCATCTCATCATCGGAGTGTAAATCATCCCCGCCATCCATCTCACGACGGAGTTTTTTAATTTCAGCATCGTTCTGAGCCTTTCGCGCAGCCTCCGCATTCCGCATAAATCTCATGGACAGTAACCCTGCATGAGGCCCGGTGATGGGCTCTTCATTCTCATTGCCGTTTTGGTCGAGGTCATTGAGCTTTTTCTTCAGGCGTTGTGCCTCAGCATCAGATCCAAACCCATCTTCAGCCGCATCACTGTCGCTCTCTGACTCCTCGCTTGAGGACCCTAGATACCCTTCCTGTCCCGTAGTGACTCGCTTTCCTTCTATCCTGCTCTGCAATTCCTCCCCCCGCCTTGCTAGATCCGCCATTTCCAGTCGTGCTTCGTCATCCCAGGCCGTCCTTCCAGTTTGCTTAAGGCCTTTAGCCCACTTGCTTTCCCGATGTTTCGCTCCCATTCGAGCTTCCGCTCTCTGCCGGTCGAGTTTTTCGCGGTCTTCCTCATCAACATCAACACCAGCGGCGATAAGAGCTTCCCGCTCTCTAATATCCATCTTTTCCCGCTCCTTGCGATGCACACGGCGGTAAGATTTGCTCTTAATTTTCTTAATCCGCTTGGCTCGAACCTCCTCGCGGAAAAGTAACTCTCGAGCCTTCCGTAGCTCCGCGCGACGCGCCTGTATTTCTTCCAACGGGAGCTTTTTCGCCTGTAATTCTTCAAATTCCTGAATCCGAGCTTCGCTGGATTTATCCTTCTCATCCGCTAGGCCGCTCTCTACAAGGATATTCTGGATGGTGCTCTCGAGGTCTGTCAATGGCTTCGAATCAGTAATGGATGACTGCTGTATGGCGTTCGGCTCGGGAAGGGGGAACGAGAGGTGGTCGGCTCTTCGGTTAGCTTTCACCGTTTCAATCCACCGATTAAGGGTCTCCTTGCTCTTCTCATAAGCTGCCGCACGGTCAATACGATCCTGCTGCCGTTTAGCGAGAGGCGCTTGCAGCTTCCCAGGTATTCCGGCTTTGCTCTTCTTCGTTGCGGCAACGGCGTCTAGATGTTTGAGCGAGCCTTTCATGCGCGAGTCGGAAATGGTCGGGATCAGATCGGCAACTGTAAGTTTGCGTGTTGGCATGAGGCCGAATTCCGTAGGTTGGGCGCCGTGAGTGATGGTCTGATGCTTCGGTTTCGATTTGCCTTCGTCGCTTTGTCCGTTTTCCATGGACTTGACGAACTTTTGTAATTTCGACAGGCCACGCTCATTTGAGTCACCTTCGTCAGAAAGGGATAGCCCAGAGACATCGCTTGCATCGTCACCGTCAGAGTCATCAGAATCACCCTCTTGGTCCTCACCCTCGCTACCAGTAGTGTCAATATTATCTTCCTCATCTGTAGTCTTAGATCGAAGAGTCTTCTTCGCCCTCGTAGTGTTCGCTTTAACGTCCGATTCTGTGTCCTCTGCGTTCATATCCCAAGCCGTAGCAAGATCCACCGCTTCTTCCCCAAGATCATCGTCATCCTCCAGCGCTTCGCCGTCACCTTCTGATAAGTTGAAATCATCCGTATCCCGGTTTCTCAACGTAGATTTCACCTTTGCCTTAGCGCTCCCACCAACCTTTCGCCCATCGAAATTCTCCTCATCGCTCTCACCCATAGCTTCATCGCTGTCGATATCACTGTCATCATCGGAATCGACCCGACCCAACAGCCATTCATTCCCCTCACTATCACTTCCGCGATTGCCGCTCGAGTCGGAGCCTTCATCGTCGTCGCCAGTCCTCCGTCGCTTGGAAGGCGGGTCGTGAGAGTCCCCTTCGTCGTCTAGTCTCGAAGGCCCGCCTCTCTTGCGCTTAGAGCCGTCATCACCCTCCACCCCCAAGCGGTGTTTTCGAATTCCGGAATTCGAGGGATATTGCTTCTCTGCAACTGTCAAGGCATCCAGGCCGCCCCGCGTATATGGCTTCTTTGTTCCTTTCGGTTTCGAGCGGCGGGGCTCTTCTTTGGACCGGAGCTGGTTAGATTTCCTCGCCATGGCTATGTATAATTAATTAAATCAATCCCCGCCCAAAAAGATGGAGAGGAGGTGCACGAGAAATTAATTTAATAATGCATAGCAGCACACTGAAAAGAGAGGGTGATGCAAAATGGAAAATGGAGAATGTAGAATGTGATATGGATTTTATTTGTGCTTTTCGTGTAAATTGGCTTTTTATCGCGCGAGCACAATGATGATCCTTGCGGGCCCAAAAAAAAGTTTCTCGGTGTCAAAAGGCCTGTGCGTTTGAGAAGCGAACACAGGGAGAACAACCACCGCCGCAGAACCACAAAACCCCCAACCTCCGCGCTTCGACAATTGCTTGCAATTTAGAGCTCTGTACTTGGTCATTCTACCTCTGGATGGGCGTATTACCGCTTCGTCTTGATCATGTTCAAACCCACATCACGCTTGAATGCGCGGCTGCGGTTGACCACCAAGCAGGTCAACGGAGGCTATTACAAGGGTAACCGGACGGGCAACGTTGGATTCTTCGGCAAGAAGAAGGGCACATATTTCATTGACTGGCGAAAAGTGCGCACATATGTGGTTCCAGAGGGACTTGATACCTTTAAGGTCCGTTTTATCATACATACATATGTGCCCATTCCTCCTCCTCCTCCTTCCCCCTCCGTCTTCCACCCTCTCCACTCTATTCTCTCTTCTTTTCTCCTTCTGTTCCGTAAGGCGCCTATCGCCTTCTTAATGCGCCTTCATAATAGCTGATTGACTAACCTGTACCCACTCTACGCATCGGCTTTTCCATCACAGCTCACCCCCTTCGTCACAAAACGAATGGAGCCCACAAGAACCCAGTACACGCAAACGATAATGATCGGCGAGAGGGAAGTCGAGGTGCCGCGTGGGATGAATGGGAAAGACTACCTCGATGACTGGTATGCGAATAATGAGTTGGAGTCTGACGAAGTCGAGCGGATACGGAGAGGAGAGGTGATGGCTAGCCAGGAGGACACTGCCGTTTCAAAAGAGGAACAGCAGCAGCAGCGGCAGCCAGTGCAGACAACGGCCGAGTTGAATGCGGAGCCACGCGCGGACGACGCGGGTAAAAGCAAGCACTGAAGTCGCCCGAGCGAGCAGGAGCCATAGACTCTTCTCGTTTGGCCCCGTACAATCCATCCACGCAGCCGTCTACAAGCGAATCGGTGGCTCCAGGGACATTATGGAGGCCCTGCCCGCTTGATCTGGCCCTTCTCGCAATTGGTATTTGGGGGAGGAGGTTCTTCGTTTATTTTCCCTCTTGTACAATATACATTTTATGTTTTGATATATTTTTATCTTCTTTTTTATATGGTTAGAGGTTTAAGGCGAAAGGCGTAAGGGTCTTTTTTTTTTATATTTTTTCTTCGTCAACACATCTACATCTCTCTGGGCCGTTACGCACACTTTTTCTCTTTTTTGGTTGAACAACAGAAAACAGATTAAATTCGATGATATCTCGAGATTTCACCAAGGAATCACCCGTGCAAGTCGCGTTGGTGCTTGTGGTGCACCATTTTCCCTTTCCTGTACACTAAGAAGGTAGTCTTTAAAAGGTAGAAAATGAGATAGATTGATTGCTTCGGGCTTCACAAGAGAACATTCTGATACCATAATCACTGAAAAGATTACCAAAACATCGTTTCTTACAAATACATAAATAGATAAACAAATAAACGAATGGAATAAAATAATACTAGAAAATGAGAGTCAAGGTGTTCGGTGTCAGCGATTACATATCTGTGGTTCCAGCCGATGACGATGTTGCAATGTTTCCGCGCAACACACGGAAACACCTTCATCCAACCTCCAAGCTTCTCGAAAGTGCTGCACCCTCATCGCGAGACAACACTACCCTGGACATTGCCACCTTCTTTGATAGCATCAGCATGTCCAGGTAGAATCCCGCCACTTTGAAGAATGGACCATTTTGCTGCACCTGCCTGTGCTCCCCCCCGCCACTGCTGAGCCATTTTCACCTTCCGCTTCACAACAACCATGTTCCAGTCATTTACTGGAAAGGCTCGCAGACCGCGACAGGTCAACCTCTCAAACCGACCAACGAACCCTGTGTCCGCATACTCTTCGGGACGTCATGGTCAAGCCGGTCAGGGCACACAAGCAACCATTGCCCTCGCTCAGCAGGAACGCCGCCAACGACAACTAGACCGGGAGCGCTTGCAGGCAACCTACATTCTACAACGCACATGGAGGGGATACAAGGCCCGGAAAGCCGCAAAGGACTCTTGGAGAACAGAGTGGGATAATGTGGAACGTAATAGAGGGCCAGATGCGAGACCCGGTTCCGATGGAGACGCGCTGGTGTGGATGGGTATGCCGCAGCCCTATGCGGACCCTACGGATTGTTTATCTCAGCTGAGGAAGCTGTTGTGTTTCATTTGGATTAAAGACCGGGATGACTGGGCACGGCTATCATATTTTGCAAAGTCTTTCCAAATGACTTTGGAAGAGGCTCCTGTCCTGCAACCTGATGGAGAATGGCCGCCCACCCTTCGCCGCCTTGGAGTGGTTACTCTCCAGTTCCTTGCGACAACTCCCTCGTCGGTGCCGTCTGTGTCGTTGGTTAATGATTTCCTCCAGCTTATAACGTTTCTTTCTACTTTGTTACCAACACAGATGACTCGACTAGCTGAACGGTACTATTCTGCATTAACGGCCATAACTTTAAACCTCCAGACGTCGCTGAATACTAGTCAAACCAGAGACATGGTCGTTAGAAGTGTGCTTGCCCTTCTTCAGCCTATCACATCGGAAACGCTCGATGCCTACGGGTGGTTCGGACGAGTCTTTTTAGCCATCCCGTCTCTTGACCGCCACCTTGGAGGGCTAGATGACCTCGCCGCGGGAGTAAACTATAAACTTCTGGCCTCCGCGATAGATTCACATATCCCGCCATGTGCAAATTCTTTTTCCGAGCCAATAGACGTCGACAGACGATTGTGGCTGCTCTCCTATTTCATCTACTTCCATCGACACGCACAAGGTGATGGTGTAGTCAAGCAAGCCCCTGAGACTTTGTTTGTCAAGGCCGTTTCGGGACTGCTAAGCCCTATAGCTGGTGAAGTATCTCGTCGTCTTGGTGGCGAGGAAAAGACCCAGGCTGAGCTACTTCCCCCCTTTGTTCGAAGTCAACTCTACACACTACTCGACCAGCACAGCATTACACACCTTCTGAGCCACGCAGCACCAAATCGACTTCCGACTGTCAACAGTAACAGTTCTCAGCTACACCTACAAGCATCAAAAGATGTAAAGGCCCTAGCGGCCTATGCACTGACACTCTTAAGGGTTTTCCCGAAGCGAGGTGATGAAATACGCATGTGGCTTTACTTGGGTTCTGCTATGGAAACAGGAACAGGTGGAGATTCCACTTCTGGTCGGCTACCTGCCATCAAGTACTTTTGGAACGCATCTAAATCAACAAGGGTATTTCTAAATATAACACAAAACTCGCGCGATGTCCTTGCAATGCTTCAGACAGGCTCTGCACTTAGCTCCCAGGGCGGTCCAATCGCCGAACAGAGTAGCGACCGAGAACAAGAATGGACAGTTATTCTGCTGTTTCTTGAGCTTTATACCTTTCTCCTGAAAGTTTTGGACGATGAGGAATTCTTTTCTGCCACTCCTTCGCTAGGCAAACCTTCAAAATCCAATGCTTCCTGGACACAAGAAAGCGCACTACCACTAGACGATGTTAGGAATCTAACCCTTTTCTTGAAGAACTTGGCGTTCACACTATATTGGAACTCAGCGGATTTGACCTCTACAAATATAGATCCTTCAGACACCGACGGCATTCGAAATTACTTTAGCATCCGTTCTCCGCCACTGGAGCCGGTTCACTCAAACCTGAAATCTAAGAGGAGTACTTTAGTAAGCGTTACCGGGATACCTCTCGATTATTTTAAAGGGTTGGTTACAGGTTTGTTACGCATGGTGCACGAGAGAGAGTAAGTTTGCGCCCGTGTTAATCTTTGAATATTTGCATGTGGTTTACTAAATTGCTGTCTAGTTCAAGACGGAAATTTTTGCCTGATAGCCATTGGCTTATGGTCGACCGTTTTGATATGGAAGGGTTCATTCCCACGGTCGTCGCTGAGGAAGAAAATAGACATCAGCTCCAAGATTACGACGAGGACGATGATGACAACGATGATGAGGCACTCAATGAAACAATGGAAGATGATTATGATCATTTCCCGGTGTTAGTAGGAACTGGGAGGGCTCACCACCTTCGCCGGATCGAGGAGCTTAGAAAACGACAACAACAAGTCGCAAGGAGGAAAGAGCTCGAGGCTGTTGCTCCACGACTAGAAATTTTGAGGAACATACCATTCTTCATACCGTTCGCCACCCGTGTTCAGATATTCCGGGAGTTCATCTTCAGAGATCAAGTTCAAAGGAGACGGGGCTTTATTGACCCTGACTCCTGGCGCTTGTCCGTTGCTCATAGCTTGATGGGATTGAGCAATGATGGTATGTCCAGGGGACATGACATCTTGAGCAAGCATCATGCGAACATAAGACGAGAGTCCTTGTTCCAGGACGCGTTCGATAAGTTCTATGAGCTAGGTGATGGCTTGAAGGAACCGATACAAATTTCGTTTATCGACAAATTCGGCACGCCCGAAGCAGGAATCGATGGCGGCGGGGTCACCAAGGAATTTCTGACGAGCGTCATTAGTGACGCTTTCAACCCTTCGGAGCCCTCCAGCCTTTTTATCGAAAACGATCAGCACCTGCTGTACCCGAACCCTACACTCATAGAGCAGCGAAAGGCTCAGCTCCGACGGCAAGGAGTCCCCGAAAGAAGCCCCACCATGAACGCAGAGGTTAAGGAAATATTGAAACGGTATGAGTTTCTAGGCCGTATCATCGGAAAATGTCTATACGAGGGAATTTTAGCGGATGTCAGCTTCGCGGGGTTCTTTCTTTTAAAATGGGCCCTGACTGGGGGGACGAGTTCGGCGCGGAAAGAGTCTTCTTATCGTGCCAATCTCAATGAAGTACGGGATCTCGACGAAGGCCTGTATCAAGGCCTGGTAAGTCGCTTTTTGTTTCATTAATCACCGCCGGTTAAGCCATCCCCTCCCCACTTTTCTTTTTGAAATGGACCATTTATTCGCTAACCATCCGCCTTCCCCTTGTACAGCTCCAACTGAAAAACTACCCAGGAGATGTCGAAGACTTCGCTCTAAATTTCACCGTAACAGATACCATAGCCGTCCCCATCGAAAAACCAGACGGCACGATTGAAACAATCACAGAAAACATAACCAAAGATCTCAAACCGCACGGCTCCGAGATCCCTGTGACGAACCAAAACCGACTCGTCTATATCTCCTACATCGCTCGCCACCGCCTCCAAGCACAGCCTTATCTACAAACCAACGCCTTCCTCCAGGGCCTCGGCACCATCATCCAACCCTCCTGGCTATCTATGTTCAACCAGTCCGAGCTCCAAACCCTCGTCGGCGGAGACACGGGTGAGATTGACGTAGCCGACCTACGGCGGAACACTGTCTACAGCGGCAGCTACGTGATTGGCGACGATAACCAGGAACATCCCACGATCAAGCTATTCTGGGAGGTGCTGCAGACGATGACGAATGCGGACCGGCAGAAGTTATTGAAATTCGTGACGTCGACGCCTCGAGCGCCGCTGCTGGGTTTCAGCCATTTGAATCCGCGGTTTAGCATACGCGATTCGAGTGCAGATGAGGAGCGGTTGCCCAGCACAAGCACGTGTGCAAATTTACTGAAACTACCCCGGTATACACGCCTCGACACGCTGAGGGAGAAACTGATGTATGCGATTAATGCAGGGGCAGGGTTTGATTTGAGTTGAGTTCAGTTTAGACGAAATGGGACTTGGGCCTTTTCTCTCTTTCTTCATTTTCTTTCTTCTTTCTCCCTCTCCCCCCGTCTCGTGGCACATTGAAGTTGGGCTTTTATTTTACTTTATTTTTTCAAGCTCCCTCCCTCTAATGGAATGCCTAGACGACAGGTTGGCAATAAAGACTAATGGAAAGGCCTGACAAATATATACTTGTGAGGTTAATGTCGCTAAGCAAGCATTGTTCTCTGATATCACAACTGGGAGACTGGCAATTTTCCTCTTTATTTTTTATTGAACTTTATCATCATGATCATATTTTCCACAGAGTGGGGCATGGCTTGCCAGCGTTATGCTCATTTTTGTTTAATATTCTAGCTAGCGTTTCCTTCTCTTTCCAAACAAACAAAAATATCGCCAATGGTTGCTTGTTGCTTGTTCTAATTGTCATCTCACATTCTCAGATTTTCTGTTGGTAGTCAAGTGCAAAGAATAGTATGTATGTGCTGTACGGTCTACTGCTCTCCTTAGCTTTGTGGTAGAAATCTAAACCACGGTAACCCCAACAAGGTGTTAAATTGGGCCTGAAGTAGCTGCGAAAATATTTCCCGACTGGGACTAGTTTCAACACGCCCAATTTGATTTTTTCATTTTGGCCAAACTCCAAATTTTATTCTTTTGTCCTTTTCCCCCTTCACAAACCCCAAAATCGAAAAAAAAAAAAATTAAATCGGACCCAAAGGAGAAAAAAAGAAAAAAAAAACTGTAAAAAAAAAGAAAAAGGTCAAAAAAGGTCTTGCGGTTTGCTTGTGTGGTCTTTTCTTTTGTCACAGCAACAGCAACCTCGTCTTCTATCTTCAACCTCCTCATCCATCTATTTTCTCAATCTATCTCCTTTCTTTCCTTATCTCGTCGACGGTCTTGGTCTTCTGGACACTGCCACTACGACATTCCAGTGCTTCATCTCCATCCAACAACAGAGTCAGTAACCTCTCTCTCTGGTCAGCCACTGTGCCTCCATCCGATATTCTCTCCCTCGCTCTGCCCCCTTCCCCTAGTCGAAAATACTCGTAACGTGCCAAAAAAATTTGAAAATTCCACCTCCCCTTGAAAGAAATCCTCTCGTGCAGGATCTATCTCGTGAGTCCATATTGCTCCAGCTTGCCTGACGGTGCTGCGATCTCCCGGACTTTGCTTCTATCTTTTCGTTCCCCATCTCCACAACGACAGGCATCACTATCAGCGCCAGGACCATTCTACTAACAAAATGTCTCCGTTTGGCAGATCACCCTGTTGATATCCCTTTTAGCTCCTTTGAGTATCACTCCCATTTATATATCCAGTGTAGGTCGTTGTCGTCTTTTGTCGCCCTTTCTCTGAGCCTGCCAAAATTTCCCGCAGAGCGAACACACCCTCATCCCGCCTTCCTAATTTCCCCAAATAAAATCCATATCTACCTGCTTTGTTTCTGTGGTCTGGTTGAGCTCTACTCACCATCTTACTCATCTTCTTGCCCCCAGATATTCGAAGAAAATAAGAACATTCTCAATCGCCAAAATGTCTGCTGCTGAAGTATCGTCCGTCGCCGCCCCAGAGAGCAACCCCGTGGAATCCTCGACGAACGGCACCACCGTTAACACAAACTTTGCAAATGATGCTGCCGGAGATGGCAGCGAGACCCCCAATTCTGCTGGTCCCAGCACCACCCAACCACATTCTGCCTCCCTCTACGTCGGAGAATTAGACCCCTCCGTCACCGAAGCCATGCTTTTCGAGCTCTTCTCCTCCATCGGCCAAGTCGCTTCCATCCGTGTGTGCCGCGATGCTGTCACCAGACGTTCTCTCGGTTATGCTTATGTCAACTACAACAACACTGCTGATGGCGAACGTGCTCTCGAAGACCTCAACTACACCCTCATCAAAGGCAAACCTTGCCGGATTATGTGGTCCCAGCGTGATCCTGCCCTGCGCAAAACCGGCCAGGGCAATGTCTTCATCAAGAACCTGGATACCGCTATCGACAACAAGGCCCTTCACGACACCTTCGCCGCTTTCGGTAACATTCTCAGTTGCAAAGTCGCCCAGGACGAGTTCGGTAATTCTAAGGGCTATGGCTTTGTCCATTACGAAACCGCGGAAGCCGCCACCAACGCCATCAAACACGTCAACGGTATGTTGCTGAACGAGAAGAAGGTATTCGTCGGCCACCATATTGCCAAGAAAGATCGCCAGAGCAAATTCGAGGAGATGAAGGCCAATTTTACCAACGTATACGTGAAGAACTTGGATACTGAGGTCTCCAATGAGGAGTTCCGGGAGCTGTTTGAAAAATACGGCGAAATCACCTCCGCATCTATTAGCCGTGACGGGGAGACTGGAAAGAGCAGAGGGTTCGGTTTCGTCAACTTCGTCAAGCATGAGAGTGCTGCTGCCGCTGTTGAAGAATTAAACGACAAGGAATACAAGGGTCAGAAACTTTACGTCGGCCGCGCACAGAAGAAGCACGAGCGGGAGGAGGAGTTGCGCAAACAGCATGAGGCTGCCCGTGTCGAAAAGGCATCCAAATACCAGGGTGTTAATCTCTACGTCAAGAACTTGACCGATGACATCGATGATGAGAAACTGCGGGACCTCTTCATCAGCTTTGGAAATATTACCTCTGCTCGAGTTATGCGTGACACTGCTGGGGATCCCGGTTCTGAATCTGAGAAGGAAAAAGAGAGCGCCAATAAGGAAAACGTGAAAGATGAGGCTAAGAAGGAGTCTGGTGAGGAGGACTCCGCTGACAAGAGCGACAAAGTTGAGAAATCCGACAGCAAAAATGCTACTGAAAAGAAACTTGGGAAAAGCAAGGGCTTTGGTTTCGTCTGCTTCAGCAATCCTGATGAAGCTTCTAAGGCCGTCACGGAAATGAACCAGCGCATGGTCAATGGCAAACCTCTATACGTCGCACTAGCCCAGCGGAAAGATGTCCGCAAAAGCCAGGTACGTGCTTCAAGTCTATGCTTTTCTCTTGCATACTTTCTATTGTCAACCTGCTAACACGTACCACGTGCAAAGCTTGAGGCAAGCATTCAAGCTCGTAATACTATCCGACAACAGCAGGTTGCTGCTGCTGCAGGAATGTCCCAGCCAGTAAGTTAGGAGAATTTTCATACCACCATCTGTACCAGTTCCTGTGTATTCTGATTGTTCTTAACAGTTCATGCAGCCCGCTGTCTACTACCCACCGGGCCAGCAAGGATTCATCCCCGCCAACGCTGCACAACGCGGTGGTATGGCTTTTGGTCAACAACCTGGGATGGTTATACCTGGCATGCCAGGTGGCCGACCTGGTCAATTCGCCGCAGGGTTCCCGGGACAGCAAGGTGGTCGCGGCATTAACCCCAACCAACAACTCCCACCAAATGCCTTTGGCCTAGGTGCCCAGGGCCTTCCCATTGGTGCGCTCCAAGGTCCTGGTGGGCTGCCAAACGGTCTCAGCTACCCACAAGCTATTGCCCAAGTTCAAGCATCATTCGGACGAGGTGGTGGCGGCCGCGGCCAGGTTCCTGGCATACAGGGTATGCCTCCAAATTTGGCTAATGTACCAGGCATGCGGGCTGGCGGCCAAGGTTTCGCACAAGGCCGTGGCATTCCACCCCAACAAGGCGGTATGGTCCGTTCCGGACAAGCTGGTCGTGGAACCGGACCAGGACAAGCAATGCCCCCCCGTGATGAGTCCGTCGGCGGTCCTACCCTCAATCTCCAGGCTTTGAGTGCAGCGCCACCCGCCCAACAAAAACAAATGCTTGGTGAAGCTATCTACCCTAAGATCCAAGCCCAACAACCAGAGTTGGCTGGCAAGATCACTGGTATGCTTTTGGAAATGGACAATGCAGAACTACTTAGTTTGTAAGTTTCTCCCTCACCGCAACCCGACAATTGCTTCGTTGTTGTCGTTTGATCAGTATTCTAATGCTGTCGCTGCTCTACAATAGGGTCGATGATGACGCTGCACTTCGTGCCAAGGTCGACGAGGCTATAAATGTTTATGATGAATATATGAAGAGCAAGGGTGGTGAAGGTGAAGCTGCGGACGCAGCCAAACAGTCGAAGGAAGCCGGCAAAGACAGCAAGTCAGAAGAGACCAAATCCTAATCTTCAACTCCTGCGGGGCTTTCTGGTTCTGTTTTTTTTTTTTTTTTTTAACGTTTCTTTCCCTTTTTTGATGGTCCGTTTCAATTGGGAGGGACGGGATGGTTAAAGCAGGTGTTAGCGAAACAAAAAGCAGCCCATTCTATGGTTTTTTTTAATGTATTTGTTACACGCTATTTAAAAGAACTCCCCCACGGTCCCCCTGAGTGGTTTGTTTTTGTTTCATTTTTCACCTCTGTTGGAATTTTCCTTTTTACGTGATTTATGAGTAACTTTTCTTTTATTATGTTATGATTTTTTTTTATCTTATTATTATTATTCTTCTTCTTTTACTCCCTTCCAATTTTTTCTTTTTTTTCTTTTATCCCTTCTTTAGATGGTATGGTATGTACGCTCTGTCCTCAATTTGTTGTATTGGTCCTTCTGCTTCTTTTTACATTTCTCAGTGTCCCTTGTAGTGTCTATTTTTTTTTTACGTGCCAATTCCCTCTCCTCCCTCCTCACATACGCTACGACGGCGTGTCATCATCTTCTTATCCTCCCCCAATATCATCTCCGTCCATCCGTCCATCCGCATTTCCTTTAAGGCTGCAGTTCCACCCATCACCTCGTCTTCTTCTATATTGCCGCTTTATAAGAGCAACAAACAACACATGGAGATTCGGGAATGGAGTGGCTTGGAAGTTGCTTGACATTATCCTTTCATATCTTCTTAACTTCGTTCCTCTTCCTTCACAAACCCCCAATTTATTTCCGGGTGCTAATTAACTACGGAAAAGAAGAAAGAAAGAGAGAAGGCGGCAATGAAGAAGGGGAGGTGAGCAATGAGAGATTATAAGAATTGTTCTTTATTTGTTACCAACGCTGTTTATTACTTTCATAAGTTCCTTTCTACACCTGAGATTCGGGAATTGAGTGTATTCCCCGTCTTTGAGAAAGACAAGATGGTCGATTGAGCAGACAGCAAGCAAGTTATTCTTGTTCTTCTCTTTACTTACTTATTTTTGTCTTTTCTTATCTCCAATAGAAGACAGGGAAAAGTTGATGTTGATATATGCCTTATGGGTTCCCCCGTGCTGTAGTCTACCTTGATACGCTTAGTTCCTATCGTGGTGCATGTTGGTTTGTTGTGTACTCTACTACATGCGTATATGTGTACGGTGTCTGATGGCACATTGAATCAGATTCTTTTGTGGTGCGTATGTGTTATATCTATTGCTCCCTCTTTTCTTTCCTGGAAACGCCTTGATGTATGTGTATTGCCGGGAAATTGTGGCAATCCGTCTGTTACTCCGTTAAGCACGGTGCACAAACCTCCATTATCAGGAAGCATCCGTACATAGTAAAATAAACCCTGGAACTGCGGACACAGACGGTTAGGCAATTAACCCAACCAAAGGCATCAAAAAGACTGAAATCGTCCAAGCATCATGTTTCCCCCCATCATGCAAGGCAGTAGTGTTGACAGCACACTTCGCGGAGCATATACCGCCTCCCCAACCATGTACAGTGGTGTCCAATAAGTCAGCGTACTAGAGGCTCGGCGCCGAGATTCAGCACCCTACCCATCTCAACTAGATATTAAATAAAATCTCAACCAGGTATCCAATATAGAATTATATACATGTTTTATATAGCTAAATCAATAAAGAATACCTATATACATTTTCTTCTCTAATACTTGGTTGATCCATCTCTGGCTTTGATAACTGTGGCTAACCTTCAGGGCATGAAGCTGATTAGATGCTGTATCTCAAGTTGTGTAATAGAATCCCATATCATCTGTAATTCTATTCTCATCTCAGCTTCAGAGTGTATTCGATGTTGTATCTTTGATATATGGAACTTCATTATTGCCCATAGATTCTCTATAGGATTTAAATCAGAACTTTGTGCAGGCCATTTCATTCAATCCATCTGCCAATCATCCATCCACTGTTTTAACAGCTTAGAGATATGATATCTAGCTCCATCTTCTGCCCAGAGTGCAATCCCATGTTTTTCAAGAATACAAATATAATGGGGATAGCCATGAAGTAGTATAATCTTGATATACTCCTTAGAATTCATCCAGACATTCAATGGAATAAAAACCAGCTTAGATTTGAAATCCCAGCTTATTGCTCCCCATACACTCACTGAGGTACACTCAGATTTGAAGGTAGAGAGTAGATATCTACTCTCATAACCTTTACCAACTGGACAACAAACATAGCAGCTTGATATATCCAATCCAACCTCAAAGTGAGCTTCATCTGAGAAGCTCACACAAGAGAAATCTTCATCAGTCCAATTTCTGTGTTGAATACCAAAAGCTCTTCAAACTTCCTTGTGTATAGGCTTTAAATAGGGCTTCTTTTGCAGTTTAAAGGCATATCATTCATTCTTTTCAAGATACTGTCTTGCTGTATTTCGGCAAATATAGGAGCCAGATTTTGAGGGTGTGAGAAAGCTGGCTAGAGGGTGGAAGGGATTCTTCTCTACAGAGAGAATAAGATGGCATTGATCACAGGCAGAGAGCTTAGAAGGCCTCCCAGGACATTTTTTAGGACTTCCTTCATCTATTCAATGAGATTCATGATAAACAATAGAGGATATGGTGGAGTGAGGGAGCTCTAAAATTCAAGCTATATCTAGAAATGAATGTTCCCACTTTCAAAGGTTCAAAATAGTATTAATAATAGCTGGAGAGTGTTCTCTCCGCAATGTTTTCGGTTTTGAGGGCATCTTTTGATGTATAGGGGGGATGTTGGATGATGGAGGAATCTTTGAAGAAGAGGGGTAAGAAGAGGGGTTCTCAGCGCCGAGCCGCTAGTACGCTGACTTATTGGACACCACTGTACATGCTTTACGGTCGCGGTAAGCATTTGAACATCACGATATCACGCTCCCTTTCACTCCCTACAAATCTATCAATGCATGCATCAATCCTAGGACAGACCAGAAAAAAACTAACCATGAAAGCGCAGGATGTGTCGCCTCCCTCCTCACGGTGATCGCCAATCTGGGCGCCTCAAAGGCGTTTATCATCACGGGCAAATCTCTCCGCGAGAAAACGCCAGTGATCAGACGCATAGAAGAGATATTGGGTGAAACGCATCATGCCGGCACGTATAGTGGGGTGCGAGAGCATGCGTGCGTTTTTTTGTTTTTTCTCTCCTGCTTTTTCCATTGCCCTTCTCCTGCTCTCCGCTATCTTCCAAGATCCAGGAACTTAACCTCTCTATTGTTCATATATACATAAAGAATCGGCACAGGAGATAAACAGCAACACTTAATTACTAACAACAAATATTCCCAGAATAGCCCCATAGCAGACATCGAAGCCGCTGTCGCTGCCGTTAAGAGCTCTGGTGCTGACGTGCTGCTCTCCGTCGGCGGCGGGTCGCCCATCGATGCTGCTAAAGCTGTTGCATATCGTTTGCACAAAGCAAGGGGTAATCAGGGACAGGGCAGGGAGGAAGCGAAATGGATACCCAGCATTGCAGTGCCGACCACACTAAGCGTGGCAGAGACCACGAAGAATGCGGGGTTTACCAATGCAGATGGGAGTAAGGTGGCGGTTGCAGACGGGGAGTTAGTACCGAAGGGTATAGTTAAATGTCTTTTCGTATTGAGGACTTCTATGTTCATGTCCTTTTGGGTGGGAGGAAGAGTTGGGAGGGAATTCCCCCTTCAGGAATCGTAACGCTGAGAGGCATCACAAATATAGCGGTGCTCTACGACGGGGACATCGCACTCCATACACCCCTACGACTATGGCTAAGTAGCGCCGCACGTTCACCCCCCTTCCATCTCCCCGGTTCTTCCAACATTATGTGCTAACCCATCTCACAGATCCGCGCTCTCGACCATGCCCTCGAACTCCTCTACAACCCTTCCGCCCCTGAAGTCCCAACGAAACGCCTAGCCCTCTCCGCCCTCACTGACCTCTTCACCCTCCTCCCTCAGTGCCTCACCACTCCCCAAGATGCAGACATCCGCCAGCGTCTTTTCCTCGGCAGCTACGCGGCCCTCTTTCCCTTCCAGTTCTCTGGCGCTCTGGGCATTAGCCATGCGATTGGCCATGCTATTGGGTCGACCTATGGCATTCCACATGGGGTCACGTCGTGTATTAGTTTGGGGAAGGTGATTAGGTTTATGGCGGAAAAGGCGAGGGAGGGTGCTGGTGGTGAGGGGCGGGGAATTGGGGAGGCCGGGGAGGCGGCGCAGATTGCGAGGGCGGTTGCCTATATTCCTGGGTTGAGAGGGACTGGAGATGTAGCGGGGGATGCGCTTTTGGTGGCGGAGGCAGTGGAGCGGTTGGTTTTGAAGCTGGGATTGGTGACTGGGTTGGTTGACGTATGGATTTCTTTCCCCCCCTCCTTTTCTTTTTACGTTCCATCAACATTTTCCTCTGGATACGATTTGTGAATGCTGTGGTTGCGAGAGAGGGCAGTTTAAGCTGACTCCTGTTTCGGATATATAGTATAATATCGGACCTGGCGAGGAGGAGGCTATTGCAGTTCGTGCGTTACAAGATCCGGCACATCCTGATTTGAAGAGTGGTAGGTGGCGGAGATGTCTTCTTATGTGGCGAGCTGAATGAATTATCTGTCACAATGGCGCTTGCAGTTACTGAGCTAGTTCGAACAATGTACTCATCCCAATTCCCCCCCTCCGATGCTACTACACGCCTATAGGTATAGCACTCGTGTAGATTGGATCCGGGAATATGATTGCAGAGTGTCGCATGGTGTGCATATTCTGTCGTTGAAATTTGGCTGAATGAATGAACGGAAGAACTTGCGTTTGGGAATATAGTCAAGGCTCCATGCACAACTTCTACTTTCGACTGAGTCATTCTATGCGCAATTCAAATAGGGTATCTAAATGTATATCTCCGTCTGTAATATGTCGTCCCACCGCCGAAACCAACAAGTCAAACTCTCTCCCATACCCTCCAACCCCTATCCTCAAACATATTTTCACCCACCCGACCTACCCATATAGCAACTCCTCAACCATCTCCCCAATCGCCAGCGCACTCGTCAGCCCAGGACTCTCAATCCCCAATAAATTCACAAACCCCTCAAAACATTCCTCCTCCCTAATCACAAAATCCCTAAACGCGCCCCTATCCTCACCCTCCTTCACAGCCAACTTCGGCCTAACCCCACAATAATCCAACCCAATCGCCTCTGGCCGCACACCAGGCAAATACTCCTGAATTTCCCTTACAGCATCCTCGAGCCTCCCCAGGCGCGGCACCAGATCCTCTGGTCCATCAACCCACTCCACATCCGGACCGAAACGTACTTGGCCCGTCATATCTAGCGTGAGATGCGTGCCCAATCCGCCCAGCCCTGGCTTGGGAGCCGGGTAAAGCAGGGTGCGCGGCTTGGGGCTGGATGCGGAGTAGGAGAAATATGTCCCCTTTGCGTATGCTGGCCGGACGTGGCGGTCAGATGGCAGGAGCATATTCGAAATAGCGCAGGCGTTGTGGCCAGCGGCATTGATAAGCGCCTCCGCCGTAATCACAGCTTCATCCTCATCCCCCTCTCCTTCCCCTCCCCTCGCACTGTCTCTTGCCTCTCTCCCCGTCCCAGCAGAGCGCGTATAGATCCTATACCCCCCGCCCACCCCCACCTTCTCGATCCGACTCACAGCCGTCCAAAGCGCAACGTCACCGCCGGCCCCCTCAAACTCAGCGTGCAAACACGCCATCAGCGCATGGCTATCCACAATCCCTGTGCTGGGACTCTCCAACACCCCCGCCCGCGCCCTTACATCCGGCTCTCGCCGGGCTATCTCCCCCCTGGCCAAAAACCGCGTAGGCACCCCCAGGCGCGCCGCATGCTCGTGCATGCGCTGTAGGCGGTCCAACTGCTCCGCATCCTGCGCCAGGATCCATTTCCCGGTGCGGCGGTGGGGGATGTTGTGGGCGGGGGAGGCGCAGAGATCGTAGAGGAGGTGTTTGCCGCGGATGCAGAGTCGGGTCTTCAGCGAGGAGGGTGGGTAGTAGAGGCCTGCGTGGATGACTTCGGAGTTGCGGCTGGTTGTTTCTGTGCCGAGGGCAGGGTGGCGTTCGAGCAGGATGGTGGTGGTGTTTGGGCGGGTGAGGGAGAGGTGGCGGGCGATGGAGAGGCCGACGATGCCGCCGCCGATTATCTGGTTTTGTGGATGTTTGGGTTAGATGGGCTGGGGGTGGGCATGGGGAAGGGGTGTGTGTTGTTGATGTGGATTATAATGGATATTCAGGAGGGTATGGGGAGACCTGTACCTTGTACTTACCGCGTGTGTAAAATCGACATTGGTATTTGTGCTTGTCGAAAATAGCCTTTCCTGCCTCCTTTGATTTCTGCGGATATATCTGATTGTTGTCGACCGTATCCGTGCCGGTGGGCAAGAAAGCATTGAGGTTAGACGGAACCGACAAAGCGTGGTTGTCGCTGCCAAAGACCAGGGATAAAGAGATGGGGCAAATAAAAACGAATCAAATCGAACTCCAGATACTCGCTGAAACCTCCTTCTTTTGCAGAGAAGCGAGAAGGTGGAGGGGAATTTCTGTCACTCGACGAGATGTGCATTGATAATTGATACTCGATGCCCGAAGAAGAGCCGAGAAATTCGGCAATGCGCCCAGCCCAATTGGGTTTAGTTTTCGGCATCGGCAGTTTCTCCAGTTTCACACACTTGAGAGACCTTCAATCCTTCAATTGAAGGCAGAGAAGCAAGGGGCGAAAGAACAAGCTTAATCAATGATCTATTATGTATCTGTAGCCATCTATATCTATGTCCTATTCCTTCTGGAGCTAATTCTGCAGTGGGCCTAGCATACCGCAGAACGATTCAAGAACAAAACGTCGGAGATAAAATAAAAGAAGCAACCTTTAGATATACAGTAAAGCAGAATATCAATGAATCAGGGGACAAGGTACATAGGTAAAAATGGCACCCAGTCCCATATTCAGCATGGGATATACAACACGGGGAAAGGATGGTTAGGGAAGAAAAAAAATCCAAAATCAACAACGCCATTGAAATATCCTAGTCGTGCTTTCCAGACTCGAAAACTACATAATCAGATCTTCTATCACCTCCCGTCCCGGTCACCGTCTTCCCGCCGAATTCTTGATCAACTGAGTGTAATGCTGTTTTCAAAAGCCGTTAGCAATATAACGGATACAATTCATTATCAACCCCCCAAGAAAATGAACAAGAAACGTGAAACTCACCTCCTTCACCTCCTCCGCCAACCTCCCCCGCGTATCGCTAATAATCGTCCCAATCAACGAATAATTACTCCACAAAAACCTCTCCCGGCCCCTCGCATCAGAGCCATTTGCTGCCTTCGCCAACTTCACCAACAACGCATCAAACTCTACCCGTAACCGCGCTAGGGAATTCGAGACAGGTTCGTCGTCTCCTGCCTCACTGCTCAGCGCTAGTATGCCCTGAAGGAACTGGCCGAAGCGCTGGGTGAGGAAATGCGGGGCTGATGATGATGAGAAAGCGGGGGAAGATGTATTTGGGTTGGTGGTTTCTGAGAGGGAGAGAATAGCGCCGATGTTGCCAGTAGTATTTCCGGCGATGCGTTGGATTGATTCGGTGTGCAGATCCATTACCATCTGGAAACGGGGCCAGAGAAGCATGTTAATTCCATTGATATAGTTGTCTGCGACGGGGACTTTGCGTCGTTGCAGCTCAAAGGCGAAATGCTGGTTTAGGCGGACGCATAGTAAGATGCCTAGACAATCGGTCGACGAGTCAATTAGGTGTTTTGTGAGGTTATGGCCGAGGGCGAAGACGGGTTCGAACATCTCGATTACGCGCCGGGAGCTGGTGCGTAGGGATTGCGTCTTTGTGACGAACATTTCCGCTACGAAGGAATATTCGGCAGAAATGTTGTCGATTAGGGCTAGGTTGAAGTTTCGGAAGGGAACTTCTAGGCCGTGGATTGACGGTTGGGTTTTGGGGTTGACTTTTGCATTTGGGTTTGTAGTGGTTGCATGGCTGGCGTTTTCCTCCGCTAGGTAAGAAGGGAGAGCGGTTTGGGAGGACTTTAAAATATCCATGCGCCGGCCGAGAGCGAACGGGTCGTACGTTTGGTTTCGGCCGCTGGGGAATATATTTGCTGCGGGAAAAATTTTAGTTTCACGCTACGTATATCTTCAAAATAAAACGATCGAGGAGGTGTTACATACATGCTTTTTGGGCGCTCGGATCACCACCCAGTAAATCATTGCGCTCCGCATGATGTACTTTAAGTTTCTCCAACGCTTGATGGTAGCGGGTGAAGTTGGATAGGTAATACCATCTCATTGTGTTGATATAGGCTTGGATAATTTCTTCTGTGAGAGCGGAGTGGTTTCTAGAGAGGAAGCCGTATAGATCTTTATATTTTATCAAGGATTGCTGCTGGATAATCTGTGCGTTGATGTTGGGTGATCGAATGGCTTTTATCTGCGCGACTAGATAGTCTCGGATTCTTTCGATGGCCTTTAACGAAATCACGTTAGATAGTGCATCCTTATTTGGAATATTGAAATAAGGATCACCTTCGCTTTCAGATCAGATAATAATGGCTTAATATCCTCGACGGCCCTGACATTACTGGTAGTAGACGTGTTTGCTTCGATATTGGCCGATCTGGTCTCGACTTCATTTAGAGCTTTCACCCATTCTTGGTTGATGGGTCCCTCCGATATCAGATGCACAACTTTCGGTGATATGCTGACATCTTCGACGGCTGGCCCCAGTAACCGCTCTAGGTTGCGTCTGTTCTCGAGTTGGGAATTCAGCTGGGCTGATCGAGATTGTAGCGATTCAATTTCCGCAGAGACTGCTCCAAGGTCCGTCCGGAATCTGGACAGGTAGGATTCGACTGATTTCAAAACGTCGTCGCAACCCTAAACAGAAGACGTATTAAAAATATGCACAGACCTTATTTTTATTATTTTGGTTTTCTCATTCTTTTAAGAAAATCGAGGGAGGCTGGACCTACGTTAATTGCACTGTGCAGGTCCTGAAACCTATCCCTTTCCCTTTCATCTGCACAATGTATTAATTAGTCAACGAATCACTACATGTCAACCAATGCTTCGAGGGCATACACTGCTCTATAGTCTGAACATCAACACGTCGTTTCAATTTCCCTTCCTCACTCTCCTCCTTTTGCTGGGCGAATTCTTCCAGACTCAACTCCCCGAAATCGATATCCTCAACTAGGCATTCCGGCTTGTCAGTAGCCTCGACAGTTCCTGTCGCATGCACGATGGTTGGCGTGTCTAAATCAGCCCCTGTCCCGGGACGTTTCCCAATGATGCCATACAGCACTTCGAGTGGGTCTACAGCGGTAGAGCCCGTAGGACGCTGGTCCGGCTTCGAGCCGTTCTGTCGATGGAAGGAGGAACCGCTTGCCTGGCGCAGGGTATTAGGGAGAGAAGTCGAGGACGCATTAGGAGTAGTCGTCAGGGAGACGGAAAGGGAGGAGGAGCGAGGGCTGAAGGCCGGGCGACTTTGCTGGGTAGCAGCGCCGAGGTGCTGCTGGTGCTGGGGACGGCGGGCGGGAGAGTAACCACGAGGGCCGGGAGTAGAGGCACCAGAGGCGGAGGAGGGATGGGCCGAGAAACGATCCAGCCACATGATGGGCTAGGCGGGGACAGCGGCCGGAGACAGCTGCGGCTGCAGCCGCATAGCATTTAGTAGTCACCGCCTAGCTCGCGAGCATATCTAACGAGGATAATGATGTCAGGAGAACATGTGGATGGACGTACTTAGATATGCACTTGAGGATGTCCCAAAGCGGTAAGCATGAGGCTCTGTGGAAGATATGTCCGTGCAGCGACAGAGACCACAAGCGCGCATGGCTTGGCACGTGCGACCAGCCCCGAAGCGGCCTAGCGCGCATTCCCCTCCGCCCCTCCACTTACATAAGCAGCAGCCCACTTTCCACTTTCCAGTTTGCACTTTTCTTGGTGACTGCGGCCGTCAGACAACCTCGTCTTCGCTTCTCTCCTTCTGCTCATCTTTGCTTCCCGCTTCACGGCTCTCGTCTGCCAGCTCTCTGTTCTCCTGCTTGTCGGCCTTCTTCTCCTCTGTAATCCACTCCCATTACCATTCCCATCTCATCCACCATGGCCGATGATGCGCAGGTATGGTCTCCTCCCCGCCTCTTGTCAACCTGAATTTTATTTTTTTTTCCCTCCCTTATTTACTTACCACTCCTCCCCCGCATCTTCAAAATGCTCATAAAAAAGGCCCTGGCAAATCATTCTTTTGCAATTACAAACCAACACATCTTCACTTGTCTTTACTTTTGAGAAATCAATTGATAGAATCCATTATTCGTTTGAATCGTTGTTCAAAATACCACAATCGCTCAATGAACAATAAACAGCGTAATAACATCTATACTAACCACCACCAACCCCGTCTCAACAGCATGAACACACCTTTGAGAGCGCCGACGCTGGCGCCTCAGCCACCTACCCGATGCAGTGCTCTGCCCTGAGGAAGAACGGCTTCGTTGTCATCAAGAACCGCCCTTGCAAGATCGTCGAGATGTCCACCTCCAAGACAGGCAAGCACGGCCACGCAAAAGTCCACCTGGTCGCCATCGATATCTTCACCTCCAAGAAGCTCGAAGATCTTTGCCCTTCCACCCACAACATGGAAGTTCCCAATGTGTCTCGCAAGGAATATCAATTGGTATGATATATACCCATATCTCTGTACTTGCAAATATGCACGTATGCGTCGGGGGAAGCGTGTATGCTAATTATATAATTATGTATAGCTGGACATCACCGACGATGGCTTCCTGTCCCTCATGTCCGATGACGGCTCTCTCAAGGACGACGTCAAATTGCCTGAAGGTGATATTGGTGAGAAGATCGTGAAGCTCTTCCGCACCGAGGAGAAGGACACCAGTATGTTTATTTACTTCCCCTCGCCTCCCCCGCTTTTGCCCTTTGATAAAACTAATAATGAATGAATACTACAGACGTCGTTGTCTTGACTGCCATGGGCGAGGAGGTTGCCATGGATGCCAAGGAAGCTCCCCGCTCTTAAGTCTAACTTCTATGCAAAGTAGTTTAGTCTTGAAATGTGTTTATGCTCCGTTTCTTTCCCCCTCTCTTCCTTTGACGTGCTGATGTGTTTGTCTATTTTACTTAACTCCTTAGTGCAAAGGCGTGTTTGAGATTTGAAACCCAGTCGCCGTTCCCCACCAACCCCTAACCCTGCCGAATTTCTTTTTTGTCCTTTTTTTTTCATTATGTCCTGGGGGGAAATATGCGAACGACCATGGGAAGCGGGAAAAGGAAGGAAGGATATAAAAGGAAAATAGCAAAAATATATAGCAGAGAGAAAAAACTGACTGAGACCTTTTCCTTATGCTTCATTGAGCAAAGGGAAAAGGGAAAAAATATCTTACATCTTTCAGTTTTCATCCGTTTTCATCATTCCCTCATTTCCCCTTCCGCCCCCCGCCCCCCGGGCTACCTCCTTTTTCGTTTTCTTTTCCAGGACAGAAATGCCAATTTAAAATAAAAGATGGGACCGTGATGAAGGGTTGGATTAGTGTTTTGTTTTCCCTTTCTTTTTGATTCATCATTTAATCCTTCCTTTGACCTTCTGATGAAAAACTTCAATGGGTAAAGGAGGAAAAGAAGAAGCCGAGGAGAGGAGAGGAAGGAGAAAAAAGTAAAAAGAAAGCCTGCATAAAAATAAATAATACAAAAAAGATATCTATAGCTATAGCTATTTTCTAGAAACGTTTGTGCTGCTTACTTGTTTTAAGTTTATTTTCTCATGTCAAACAAAGGTTGCATGTGCAGGGAGTAGTGTGTGCCGATGGACATACGTCAATACTGAAATCGCAGTTGAATTAATGAACGGAGTATTTTTCTGCTTAAGTTATTCAATGTGTCATGTTTAGTTTCCTTTCAATTTCAATCCTCCTTGCTACTTTTTCCTCCATGATTGAAGTTTGGCATCTGTCGTTTTATATTTTCTCACAGTTCCAGTTCAAAGTTCAAAGTTTTTTGGTGGCAGAACCCATTCATATTTCCCACGGCGTAAGCTCACCACGCTCAATACCAACCACATGAGCCCCCCCAGTGTTGTGAATGGATTGGGCGTTTGAAACGAAACAACCTCCATATCCCTCAAAATCGAAATCTCAAGTCAAGTGAGAGCCTCACAACACGAAAGTTATTTATTTGCAAGGTCCGACCAGTTAGAGATATCCAAAAATAGGGCGATGGGTAAAGTACATAAGTAACCCACGGGAATGCAAGAATCCGTCACCCGCGGCGTCTGTGGCCAAGATGGCTGTCTCGAGACGCGGTATATCCTGGAAAATGGTCTGTGGTTTTGTCGGGCTGGTGGGCATCAACAGGAGGTATGTTTTTATCGAACGGTGTTGTTTATCCGGATTCTATATCAGGGTGTAGATATGTGTGGATGCGGACATGTTGAGATAAGAGGAGGAGTTTTTGAAAGGCGGAGAGGAGAATGAGGAATGAATTGAAGTGAAAGGGAGCATGGAGACGACCAGCTAATACATGGGTGTGTGTAGGGCCGCCAAGTGATCGTTGACGATGACGATTTCGGTATGCAGGGCAAAGTCATCCGGCAGAAGAAGGTGAAGACGGAGAGAATGTCAAAGAGTTAGTCTTCATTTCTTTGATATGCATCCATACATCCTTCCTTCCTCCTCGCCTTTTTTTTTCCGTCTCTGTCACATTTCGCGCTAGAACATGTCACATATAAAATACCTACATGCCTTGAGTGGAACGAAGCAAATTGATTTACCCGGCGTGACTGTGGCTACTATTTTGATTCCTTGGTATATCTAACATGGAACAACGGCAATGGCGTTCTTATCATCCACCAGCATACCATGGAACCCAGGCCTACCAGCTCTTCCTCGAAGCATACCAGCTCCTCCTTTGGAAACAATGCCATGCGCTCGTGCATAGTAAAGGGATGCCACCGGAGCTTGAGGTATGCATATATACATATCTGTTTTCGTATAAAGAACTTACAGTTAAGTCTATATATTTCGTGTGCAGGCCCTCGTCAAAGATCTCTGGACCCTCCGCTTGCCGCAGCTGTACAGCCGCAGCGGAGACGGACTTGCGGATGCGTCTGAAGATGATGGTGATGCGGGTCTACCGCAAGTGTTTAGTTCGCAGATGGGGCCATCGTCTGTTGCTGTTACTACTGGCGCAAGTAACAGCGATGTAGATGCAGATCCGGATGTGACGATGACGCTGCTGCAACGGAAGACGAGGAAGCGGAGAATGCATACCATCGTAGACGGCTTATGGAGTCTCCGAAGCTAATCGATTCGCTAGCGCTGTGTTATCTAGGTTTGATGCTGTTGAGGGTGCCGATTGGGGTTGGAGCATTAGAGAGGTGTGTTTGCTATAATTTTTTGTTTTCATATTTTCAAGTCGGAGTTTATGTGGGATGCATGCATCTATATTAACGGAAGTACATGTGTGCGGGAAATGCAGTTGGATACTGAAAGATGAGATCCCCCTAATCAGGGCTATACGGCTTATACCGCAGGATATGAAGGATCGATTGCCTCCCGCATATCACTATGCGTTGGATACGAAAGTATGATTAATATATATGTATTATCCCCTATTCACCTAAGGATATAACGCGCGCTGATAACATGTAACCATGTGTTATACAGAACGCCCCTACAGGCAACCAACTCCACCGCTCCATCTCAGACCTAGCAACTTTCTACCGTAAAGAATTCGGCGTTCAAATTCCACCGCTCAATGCACCACCCATGCTGTTTACCTATATAAAACAGCTCTCATTGCCTCGTAAAGGCCCATATTTTCCCATTCCTACTTCCCTCAAATGAAATGTAATAAGTACTAAAGCAAGCTCCACAGTCGAACCTTTCCCCGCCATCCTTAACCGCTTACAACACCTGGCAAGATTTGACTTCACGTTTTCTTCATTTCCTGCCGCGGCCAGCTCTGTTTCCATCAACAGTACTACCAAAAGAAAACATGGAATGAGGAAGAAGCGAAAGAAATTTCAATACATTAACCTCCCCGAAGTCCAGCTTATATCTCTACTTATCATTACTGTGAAGCTCTTTTATCCCTTCGACGATAGTCTAGGCGAAGGCGAGGGCGAAGTCAATGGCAAGGGCGAAGGTGCACCAAGAGTGGAGGCGAATGTGAAGCGGTATCCGTACTCATGGCGTGATCCCGCAGCGCAGGTCATGGATTGGAAGGCGTGGATGGGGTTTCAGAGAGATTTTAGTGATGGAGTTGAACACACGGTGGGGAACGGGAAGAAGGGGCCTAAGATGAAGGTGAAAGGAAGGGAGATTGGGGTGCGAGCTGGTGATGTTTTTAACATGGATGGGAGGCAAATTGATGAGTATTTGGATTGGTATGAGCGCATGTGGGGTGGAAGAGCCAGTAGGTCTTTTACCTTATGTTTTTCCTGATGTTCCTTTATCTTTGATTTTCTGATTCCTTTTGCATGGAAACAAGGGGCATATATATATGCATTATTATCTCGCTAACGTGATAAAAATAATTCAAGCTGCGAACCCATTCGCAGACATGTTTCCAACTTCCCGAGAATCAGATACTAATCAACATGACGACGTCAATGAAACCCACAACCAGGAACAGCAGCAGCATCCACAGCAAAACGAGCCCGAGGAGGCCTTGCTCACGACAAAACTCCACAGCGCTCTCGGTGAGCTGCGCATTCGCCGTGCAATCGGCCCTGCAAATCCCGCGACTCCTGAGCAACGAGAAACCCAATCACACCCCGCTGGCGCCACCACTACCGTTACAGTCGTCGATATTCCCCGCCCAGGAAACCTCTATAAGCGCTACCGCTATGAAGATCAGCTTAATGAGCGGGCCAGAGCTTTTTATGAGGCGGCTGCAAGGGTCATTGGGGTATCACTAAGGGCGGTGGTTACTGGAGTGTACCAAACAGAGAGGCGGATAAAGGTGGGTATGGCTAGTGCGAGTGTTTCGGGGCAGGACAATGAAGGATGGGATGATGAAGAGGAAGGAGAGGGGGTTGGATACATGGACGGAGATGAAGACATGGAGGAAGCAGAGATAGAGTCGTCACAATTATGAATAATCATGTTCTCTGACGGCTATTCTCGTTGTTATGCCACCATGGTCTGTTCTATTCCCACTGGAGATGAAACCTCACGCGAGATATCATTTACTTTTAAAACAAAACTATATTATTTAAAACAATAAAGCACTCTCCAAGGAAAACACTTTATTAAGCCATCTAATTCACCTAAAGTCATTCATACCTATTAAGATAGAAGTCAGATGAAGAGATGTCAATTCCCAGTTGTAGTATCGTCTGCTCTGATTAGGGCAACATGTAGATTGACCAAAATTGGCAACATTAGGGCTTAGGGTACGACCTTGTCACGACCCCCACGCGCTAAGCGAAAGAATCTACAAATTGGTCTTGAGCCATCCAAGGTGCCAGAGAGAGGCGAGAACGAACAAACCTATCCAGCGAACTGACGAGTATCAGCAACCAGTAAGTTTGTGTCACTATTATCTGTTTATGCCGGTTTCCAATGTGAATGCGCCAAAATCTAACATGTGCATTTTTTCCTCATAAACAGTGCAGATGTAAGCCCCTCATCGAGCCCCAGCCCAAAACACACTGGGAGAACAAACCATGTTCCAAACACCACCTGATCACTACCCAAGAAAGAAGAGCAAACCAAATCGAATGGGAAGGCAATATGCTAATCGAGATGTAATTTTTGAAAAACATTAGCTTCGTCAAGACCCTGACGGGCAAGACCATCACCCTCGAGGTCGAGTCCAGCGACACCATCGACAATGTCAAGAGCAAAATCCAGGACAAGGAGGGAATTCCACCCGACCAGCAGCGATTGATCTTTGCGGGCAAGCAGCTTGAGGATGGCCGGACGCTTAGTGATTATAACATTCAGAAGGTAGGGTTTCTTTGATCCTTCCTGTGGTAGTTTGGGAGGAGGTTGTCTTGAAGCGATTGAACTCTGGTGGCAAAATGAGTATTGAAGGTGGATTGTCGGAGAGGAACGCATGAAATGAATTCTCTCGGTTTTAATGCTTTCGGTTGAGGAGTTGGGAATGTTCTTCTGAATGTCGATGGTGGGCTGAGGGTTCGAATCGCAAATATGAAATTGGGTCCGGCGTTGGAACACGAGAGGATAACGACTTGCATCTATGAAATTTTGGTTAAAATGGAAATGGCTTTACTAACTCCGCGCTCAACCTAGGAATCTACCCTCCACCTAGTCCTTCGCCTGCGTGGTGGTATCATCGAGCCCTCGCTCAAAGCCCTCGCCAGCAAGTATAACTGCGACAAGATGATCTGCCGGAAGTGCTATGTAAGTTTCTCTTTGGGCCTGTCCCTCTCTCTCTCACACAGTCTCATTTTCCGTTTCCTCTCACTTTCTATCGGCCGGAAAAACCAGATACCCTCCACGTTGTGAGAAATTATATCACTAGAAGAAGCAACTGACTGTAATTTGCCCACAGGCCCGTCTTCCACCCCGTGCCACCAACTGCCGAAAGAAGAAATGCGGTCACACCAACCAACTGCGACCAAAGAAGAAGCTCAAGTAGATTTAGTTATAATTGTTTTCAATATTATCGGTTGTCTGGTTTCGCTATTACGATTGTCCTTTCTTCCTTCCATTTTTTCCCCATTTCCTCTTCATTTTCCTCATTTGACGGGGTGTGTAGGTGGTGGGGATTGGTTAAGTCATGGATGTGTTTGGTTTTGAAGGTCGATTTGACCCACTAACCTGCATGTTACGTGTAACGTGGATCTTTGCGGCGTTCTATTTCCCACTGGGGATAAAGGTGGATTTTAAATAAAAAAGAAACAATAAAGTATCAAACTTAGTCCTTATAAGGAAAGCCCTGAAGAATCTACAGCAACCTTCAGAAGTTCGATTTTCTCCCTTTCTCTTCTGCCCCGAATGGTTAAAAAGCCTTATCTCGCCCACGTGGATAAACGAAAGAGGAGTCTATCTCAGTCGCGGCGTTAAGGGTCAGGCAGATGCCATACCCGAATCAAGTTCTTACTTCAGAAATGGAATATCTTGTGTGGGTTTCCCAGGAAATAGACGCTGGCCTTCATGGTAGACACAAAAGACCAAGTACCTGGAAACAGGGAGCTAATGTCTTAGACAGGTTCCAGGCCCATCGACTCTGGGGTTAGTTTTGTTCTCTATCTAAAAATCATATATATCACCACGCCTACCTAAGGCTGGAGGTGACGCAAATACAAAAAAAAGAAAAGATAAGCAAAGGAAACCGACAGCGTCCTAAAAGTACATATCCTCGATCCGCTTGTGGATATAGGAACAAAAAAACGAAATAGACAATATTACGTTGTAACAAGTAATCAGATGATAGGGAGAAAATTATCATAGCTGGTTTTCAAAAAGGTGAGTAGTTGAGGGAGGGGTGTATTAGAGAAGGATCATCCCGGTCACAGTGATATCACGGTAGCGTGTTCATATCCCATAACGCATCCGCCCCGTTTAATCATCTTTGCTATCGTCCTTCTTATCGCCGTCTTGATCCTTATCCTTATTCTTGTCTGACACCGGGCTTCCGTGGCTAAACAAGTAAAGCAAAGTTTAGCAAAAAAAGGAGAGAAAAGGGGGGAATGAAGGAAAGAAAGGAGGACGAGGAAGCAAGACAAAGAAAAGAGCTCAAACACTCACGCAAAAAACAAGATCTTAATCGCAATCGCCAATCCCACATGTAGCAAAATAACCGCAATCAACAGTACTCTACTAGTCTTTGCATCCGTAGCGCTGAGCACAGGATACATATTCCGCAACAGGAAAAACACCGACCACCCATACCCCACACCCACCAGCACCCAATTCAGCGCCGTCAACGGACTCCAACTCACCAATGCCACCGCAATCCACACCATATTTGAATACCCGTATAGTGCCCAGCACTCCACAAGATCCGCACCACTACCCCCGCCCGCACTCGCAAACCATCTCAACGCCCCCCACAGCGCAATCGGGATGATGCCCGTGTATCCATAGACCAGCCCCGCGGCACCAGACAACAGGCGGAAATCGTACTCGAAGTGCTTCTCATCCTTCCGGGCTAGGTATTGCGAGACAGTACCCGTGAGGAACAGGATGACGACGACAGTCGTGGCGATCCAGAAGGGTCCGTAGAGATCGGGGTTGCCGTCGAGGACGTCTAGGAAGTTCGTGCGTGGGTAGAGGGCCGCGACGCAGCGGCGGAGGACTTCGGAGGTATCGACGTCGAAGAATTGGGAGTAGTAGGCTAGGGTCCAGAAGCGGTATTTGGATGGGGTACCGCTGGGGGAGCTGCCTTGGCGGCGAGAAGAGGATCCGCCTGCGCCTTCTAGGAAAGGTGATGTGTCGACGTGGTGGGGTTTGGCTGCGCTGGGGTTTTCTTCGAAGTCTATATACGCAGAGCAATGTCAGAGACGTGATTTATAGAGTGTTTGAATGTTCGCTTTGTCGTATTTTGGGGGGATGCTAAGCCGTACTTGATGCGTGGAATTCGAGGTCTTCTTGGAGGTCGGTATGCCCAAGGTCACCCTGTTAGGATAGTTAGAGAATAAATTCAAAGGTCAAAAAATATGGTATACACGTATCGTAATCACCTCAGCATCGACGTCGACTACAACATCGTAACCCCGGTTGGCCATGTTGCTGTTTGACTATGTGATGTGGTTGATGTTACAAGCGTTGCCAGATAATGTATGTCAGAATCGAGATGGAGCTGGGAAGCAACGTCATGCTTATTGCCACGCATAGGTGGAATATTCACTCTAAAAAAGGCTTTCCCCAACGCAAGGCAGTATCAAAATAAACGATAATGTTTGCGATAGGAAGTAATAATAATAATATAGATATAGAGCCATCAATAAGTAACCCAAGTCCAATCCGGTCTCTAATTAATATACAATACAAATCCTTTGTGGGTTTAACCCCGACATCCAACGCCTACAACCGTTGAAAGGCACTCCTAAATCGCCCCCAAAAAAGCCGCCAAACAGGCATGGTACTGCTCTCGTTCTTCATAATCCAGTATGAAAGAACACCAACAAATACGGCCAACCCAATCGAACCCGCGGGTCGTCTATACTTCCACATTACCCGCACAGCCTTCTCCCGTAGCTCCCCCCGCCGTATATCTCGTTTCTGCTGTTCTAGCAGCTCCATCGCTTCCTTTGGTATCGCCTGTAGACTAAGATCCCGTGACGTCTTAAGCACGCTACTTCGGGGGATTTTCTTCCATACGCGAAAGGGCAGTTTCTCGGGCGGATGAGTAGAGTACAACTCCATGGTGCTGGAAATCAGGCCGTCGAGCTTTATTGGGTGGGGCAGTTTCGAGAGTGTAAAATGAATCATTTCCGGCTCGTCAAGGGGGATTTCGAAGAGTTCCTTTTTCCGCGAGAGGATTACAGCGGCAAAGAGGTATATGGATACGACTGGTTCGTGGGACAGAATGAAGTCATATAATCTAGCTATGTCTGAGTATTCTTGGATATCATGGGCATATAGGGTCAGGGTTGCTGCAAGGGCGAAGAAGGGTTTCGTGCCAGACAAGTGGCGGTATAGTTTGCGGTCGGAGGAGTGGATGATAGCCGGGATGAGATGGAGGTGCTTAAGTGCTGGTGCCAGCGTTGGGAGCATATAATCCCGTATCCGGAAGAGGGATATTCGCTCAAGTGCGCTGCTAGCTTGCTCGACACCGAGGACCAGTAACAGGACTTGTGCGATGTCATGGTAGCCTTGGAAATAGCATAACATGGGATATTTTCTGAGGATTTTAGTTATCAGTTCTGATAGTTGTTTCTTTTTCCCATCTAGCTCCTTTTCGCTTTGGCCTGCAGATTAACGTCAGTGGCTCTCCCATTTTCTATTTATTTTTCAGACAAGTTTAGGTTTTGACGGTCCATACAATTTGGGTAATGTACAAAGGACCGATCAACATCCAATTTCACCTGCTCCTCATCGTCATGTACAGGCATTTTTGTCCACTCGGACCCTGTGAGATGATTTGAGTTGGGATCGTATCCCAATAGGATAGGCCCTAGATCGTGGTGATGTGAGTTTCTGAATAGATATAAACTTTGGATTATCATGGAGGGGAAGTAATGGATTGGAAAGGAAAATCTTACACGCAGCCTGGCGGAGATCATCTTGCAGTAGGCCTCCCTCTGATAAGCAAAGGGAGGCCAGTGCATGTATATCTCTGGCTTCGCAAGCACGAAAGATTTCGTCCCGCTTTTTCCCATTGAAATTCGGAGTAGTTTGGTTATCAGAGGTCTCACTGCTCAGCCTCGACGCTATTCGGCGGCCCGGGATCGATGAATTTTTGTCGCTGTCCATGGGATTCATAGAATATCCCCAAAAGTGGAGATTCGCCTAGATTGGGGGGGGGGCCGCTTCAACGTGATATCTTGGATAGAAGGTTTATGGTTTGGTTGCACTGAAGCCTTCCCCTCTAAAAATCATTCACTGGTAACGAGTAAATGGTGAGACTGCTGCAATTGGGGAAGATTGATATTGGAAGAAAAATGAGGAGAAGAAAAAAAGGTTTAAATATTGTCAAAGCATCCAGGCTGGCAAAAAATAGTGATAGAAGAATGCTCTAATTGGTAGGTGAGATGGCCTCATCTACTTGACATAGCCGAAAACAAAGAAAATAAAATAGATAGACGATGATGTGTTTTCCAGGGAGGATAACGGTTGAACATGGGGATACGTGGACGAGCAGATGGTTAGACACCTAGGTCGGGTCCTTGCAATAATTTTACTGGTTTGAAACAGGATTCGTTGGACACGACAAAGCTCGAGATCCCGCTACTTCGTTCAAGAGAGCAAGCTTCCCATTTATTCAAAGGAATATCCAGAGAGGCGAATATGAGGATACTTAGAAAAGCCCCCAGAACTAAATGATGTTAAGCAAAGAGGGTAATAATCTGACTATATCTGGGTCGTCAATGGGGTGGCTGTAGGAGCTGGCCCAGATACGCGCCAGGGGAGCAAATCCTCACTTCCTGGACAGCCACCAAATGTCGAACAGTATTCCTGACGTGCAGGGAGACTGAGATGGTATGGATGCGAGACGACTGGATGGCTAGCATGGGATAGGGCAGGTATGCGAGTGTGGTACATGTGCATCGTCTCTCGCAGCATGAAGATGCTGCAGTCGGGTGGTTGATCGCGATAAGGTTGCGGCTCAGCCAATGAATGACTAAGCGTACAGGTTTTAATCTCCGCGCGGCCTCTCGCTACATCCACGCACATCATCCTCAGCATCGCGTGTATGACGCTACAACTCCACGACAGCAGAAGCTACAGCTACAACAACGCACTGCTGTTACATTCCATAGAACTCCCTGCTTCTTCTAATTGAATGGGGTACGGTGGATCTGCCAATTTAAAGTTTGCAAGTGCCCCTCTTTAAGTTTCCTCCCGTTGAGCCTGATCGTCACCATCAGGCTTCGAGGGAGTAGTAAACTTATGGTGTCTGTTGGGTTGAAATCCCCTTTTCCTTGTTGTGATCGCAATACCTCAAAATGGGTCGGTAAGATACAAGGAGAGGCGTTGCAGCACTGTAAGTACGCTTCTGCTTTTCTGATGTATAGCCCCCTTAGCTATAAATATCTAGGAAGCTACCAAAACCCCACGGGCGCCTTCACTAAACCACATCCTACATTTCTAACTTAAGTTTTTGCCTTCTCTGACTCTCGTTTTGTCAATTGCCTTGCTGATCTGCCCGCCTTCATTACAGTTGTTGGTTGGGCTGGGAAATTCATCGTGGTGGATTTTTGAAGCTGGGTTTGACCCGCTGTGTTTTTTGACTTTTTCCGCTTCCCCATATCATAGATATCTGTTTGTCTTCATAGTCTTTGCTGTCCATCTATTCATGCAATCGATTTTTATGAGTTGGTGGACATTCCTCGAAGCACAGCTCTGAATCGAGTGTATCCCTTTCCGTTTCCTTCTATATGCGTTTGATTGAATTTGTTCGGCTTAAACCCGAAACTGCTCTCATCAACCATCCCTCGAAAGCGGTGCTGTTGTTCTCTGATTTTTTCAGTCCTGACATATTTGAAGTATCACGCACCCGCACTCGTTCACACCTCCAGGCCCTCCCTAGGGGTGCATATTTCCTGGTGACAATTTCCTCTTACTAAGCGGCTCCCCATGAACCAGTGGTTTTACTATGTCCCTCCAGACCACATACTTGACCGACGGCAACTGGGAAAGCCGGCAAATTAACATTGGAGAAATTATGTCCAGCAATAAAGTTACTTTGAATGATGACGCTTCGAGCAAGCCAAGTCGACGGAAGGTTCCACTCACCGGGTTGCTTTCTCGGACGGTGATCCCTGGTCCTGTGATCCAACGAGTATTACCTGCCCGGCTCAGACATCGTAATAAAGACGACATAGTCTTCGTAGGGGATAATTTTATACAGATCAAGGAACTCGTCGCCAGCGGATATCTGGAAGAAGTCACTACAAAGGCAGATTTTGATACCAAAATCCTCGATGCCAAAGTTATTGGAGACCCCGGAAATGTGATCCCTGAACTACAATTGAGAGAAGGGGTCGGATTGGGTTCATCTTCTAGTATGCCCTCCGACGATCACTGGCACCGACAGATTCTCGTTCTAGTTCTGGCTTCTAGGGAACTACTTTTTCTTTATGGAGCGGAAAGCTTGTCAGGTCGCCCGGAATTCATTCATGTACGACGCCCTTTGCCATCAGATGTGAGCTCCCTTGAACAATACGGCAGATATATTGCGATCGATCCTAGGTTGGTTCATATCCTGTTAGCATCCATATTGTAGTATTCAACTTAACCATACGCGTATACAGATCGAGAGCGATGGCGGTTTCAGCAGCGCATAAATTTTTCGGAATTTTCTCCCTGAAATCCCCATCTGTTATTCGCTCAGAAATGCAGGAAGGGCCGGTTAATCCAATTCAAGAGGTATGAGTATATTCAATTCTTAATTTCCTAGCTATAGCCTAGTTTCAAAAATATTTATCGCTAACCCACCTCTGACCTAGGAACGCTTCTTTCGTGCTGATGGAGATATAGTAGCTATGGATTTCCTCTACCCAGCCTCTGGAGATGAGGATAGGATAATACTAATGCTACTCGTAAACAATCTTACGAAGACTAATATCATCTGTTATACCTGGAAAGCTGCCGAGGGTGTTGCAAATGCCGAGGCCAAGAGGATTAAATCAAGGGTATCACCGGAGTTCCGACTTCCTTCGCTATTTATCCCCTTGAAATTTGCAACCTCATGTCTGCTAGTTTCCCAAGCTGGATATTGCTTCTACGAAATTAACGTATTGGACAGTACAGTGTCAATGAAAAAGAACAGTTCGGATGAACGTGGAGGTCAGCTTTGTACGGCGTGGGTTCGGCCAAGGAGAAACACTTCTCACAATGAAATAGAAGATGACCTTTATTTGTGTCGCCAGGATGGTGAGCTGTCGTACCTAGAAATTAAGAAGGTGACTGGGGACGCTTGGTGTCATCTAAAAGACATTCGCATAAAATCAATTGGCTGCAATGTCGACAGAGGCTTTGCCATTCTTGACTCTGGGTTTAAAGCTGGAGGTGATATACTTGTGGCAGCAGGTTGTATGGGTGACGGTGGCCTCTTCCTGTTGGATGCCAGGACGGATTCGAGATGTCTCCAACGGATCCCGAATTGGGCTCCTGTTCTTGATTCAGTTCTAATAAAAAGTCACGATTCGCAGGGAGCGGAAAACCATCAAAATGGACGCAATGATGTGGACTTTGCCTACGATCGGATCTTTACATGTTCGTGGGATGGCCTTTATCGCGGGTCGATTACGGAATTGCGCCATGGAATCGAGGCCCGAGTCGGGCTAGTGATTGTCCAGGAAGATTTGTTAAGTATTTTGGACTTATGGGCCATTCCAAACCGAAAAACAGGAGGGACATATTTCTTGTTTTCAAGCCCACTATCATCCTCAGTTATTTCACTCCCCGTCGATGCTGAAGATGAATTATATGCGATGAACGAGGAGGATACTGGCCTTGACCTCGACACTCAAACCATTGCCGCAGGAAGCTCCCGGGAAGGGGTGGTCATCCAAATCACAGATATGTCGATTCACTTATCCGCTTTCGAGAATTCGTCACTTCGCTACTCAACGCGATGTCAAAACCCGACTGAACGAATTATCGCTGCTGCTGTTAGTGGAACCTTGTCACTCTTTGCCGCAGCAGTCAGGACAGCCTCAAATATCCATGTTCATCTTCGGAAGGTAGAAATCAACGATGGTAGCATTCAATGTCCCACTATTGGGCAACCTCTACCGTTATCTTGCGAGCCAGTTAACTTGACAATCGAACTAGTGCTTTCGCACCCTGTCCTCTTAATTGGGACCACTGAAGGAACACTCATAGTTGCACGAATCGACCCCGTTCAAGGGCTTGTGCCCTTATTGGAGCAAACCATTGTCCTATCCCCCGAAAATGATAAGTCGGCAGTTTGCGAAAGCTTCACGGTTCTTTCCATCCCTATGCGTGAAAGCCCGAAAACAAAATTGTTTTGTGGGCTTCGGAGTGGCACCATGGTCTCATTCGATGTGCGGCTTGATAGAGACTCTGGGAACATTGGTATGGTTATATATTCACCCTTCATGAATTTGGAAAGATTTTATATAACAGCTAACTCTTTTATCCCTTTTCAAGCACTGATTCAAACCAACACCTATAGGCTGGGCAATACGTCCGTTCGGATTCGAAGATATGAATCAGACACCACTTTCGCTATTGTAACGTGTGGGCGCGGTTTATGGCGCCTATCTATCATTGAAGACGAAGAATCTGATGAGTGTGTTCTTCATAGGATATGGGTCACAGACCAAAATAATGTAAATTCCAAATATACCATGATTATTCTGGTTTATCTGCAGCGCTAACGTTAGACTCCAGCCTGCCCGCATTCAATCTACCATCGACGTGTTTACTTGCATCGACTCTGGGTCAGATTTGAATTCGGGAGCACTTGGTGGTTCGTTGGTATGCATCACGAGAAATCAGCTACTCTGCTGCATCTTAGAAAAGACGCCCAAAACTGTTCCCCGACATATTGCTATTCCGGGAAGCCCAAAACGACTAATATACTCGGAATATTTGAAAAAAATAGTTGTTGCGTATAATTTTGTAGAATTGAAAGAGAATGCAGAGTGTACGAACCGCTGGAGACGCCCGCGTGTGGACTTCATCGACCCGGACGACGAAAATGCTGCATCGTCTTCTACGACTATAATTGGTGAACCGGCGGGCTCACCAGAGGTTGAACCCGGGCCATGGAGACCGACTGGTGGATCCGGCGAAGAAGTCACTGCAATATTAGATTGGAGTGTCTCGAGCGGTGATAACGTGCATCATATGGTCGTTGTCACCACAGTTCAACCGCACTCTGCCCACCGAGGCCGGGTGATATATATAATCGCCCGCCCAAGCACTCGAGTTCCGGGCCAAATAGACTCAACAGTGAAACACTCTTTCAAATACGAAGACCCTATCAGATCGATAGCACCCTTCAAACCCAGCTCGTTGGTTCTAGCAGTTGGCGCGCAGGTTATTTTCCAAACTTTAGACCCAGTTGCAAAGAAATGGCGGAAATGGCCCGGCTACCACCTGGAGTCTGATGCTGTCGCTGTCACCGTGCGGGAACCCTACATATACGTCCTAACCCTAAAAAATTCTCTCTGTATTCTTCAGGCCACCGACTCAGGCCTTACTCTGTACGGCCAGGACGGATCTGACAGGGAAGGGCTCGACCTCGTCAACCTACAAGATCACTCCCGGATAACTATGACATCAAACCTAGGTGGCGCCATTGTCGGCCTTACAGAAGTGGGACTCTCTCCCGAAGATAAACTCCTCCAAAAGGCTTTCACAGCCCACATGCCACTATCCGCCATTCGGCTATCCAGAAGTTCCCGACCAGTCGCAACGGCACTGTGCTCATGCTCTGAGGTGACGTACGGCACCTCGATTGATGGCACGGTATATAGATTCATGACCTTGACCGAGCCTCAGTGGCGTCTACTACGATTTATCCAGAATGTGTGCATGAAGGATCCATCCATATGTTCGCTGGCAAGGCGCAGGCGGAGAAACTCCGTTGACACGTGGGAGGTGACGGTTTCCAAGCCCGAGTCATTACACGTTAATGGGGATATACTGGGTAATCTGGTTGCAGGAGGTATTAGGCAATTGAGACGTGTGATGGGAGCAGAAGAGGCAGAGAACTGCATGGCCGAAAGCTCTGATGGTGGTCGTGGTGGAGACAAAGTAGGTAGGTTTCTAGAGTATGCGGCTGCGATTGTTCCTGGGAGTGAGGATCCGTTTGCTGCTGTTATGTCTTGGATGCGCTCTATGGTGCAAATTTCCCTGTGAGCTGCATCTACTTGATGGGGAAATGGACTCGATACAGAGTGGAAATTCATTACTTTATTTCCGTCACATTTTATGCCTGCTTCTCTATTGCTTGGTAAAGCCAAACCGAAAACACTCAAATGAAGTCAAAGGGGAAAAAGGAAAAAAGGAAAACAGCATGGATAGAGGGAGTTGCCTATTTGCTTTTTTTTTTTTTTTTCCATTTTTTCAGTAGGAAGCAATTCAAGTGACCGGCCAGCATCATTCGGAGTTGCTCTGGATTTTTGTTTTGTTTATACAACTTCGCATTTTAACAGTGCTTTCGTATACTCTGACCCAATTCCTCAATATTTACTTTTTCCATTCGAATATGTGACCCTTGAGTGATGCGAGAGAGTGTGAAGCTCAATCACCTTTATTTTCTTCTTGAAGTCCATTATGTAGGTGGGCCTAGGCGGATTAGGATTAGGAATATTTCGATGGCAGACGCAATTAGAAGATATCTCTGTACTCTAAAAGATCGAGAAAAGCAAATAGAATGATAAAGCTATTTATTTAAACAAGATGATTTGTTAAATTCTCCAGCTCCGGACTCGCTTGGCTGCTCCCCCACATGCAAGTAGAAACAAAAAACCGGAGTTACCAAAAACGAACAACTTGCATTTTTTTGAAACTCACACAACCCATCAGGCCTTTCTTCTCTCCCCGCCTCCGGCATCGCCAACGGAAAATCACTTAGCGGGTAGGCAGACTCGACTTAGCCTTCGATCGCCGCCGGGCTCGGTTTCATTATCTTCTGCTTCATTATATATTCATTTCCCGACCTCCAGCTAAAGCGATCTTTCTTGCTCATGTCACCCCATTTCACGTCGAACTTCACCAGCACGCCTCCCCCAACTCCACCGTTATCATCACTCTCGTTAAGAGATAGGCTACGCGCGACGTAAACTAATTTGGCAAACATACCTGTCTTAAACCTAGCTACGTTCGCAAAACGCACGCATACACACATATACACACAACCCCACAAACAAATTGATATACTGTGCAACATCGACAACAATTGTCAAAGTATTGAAAAAAAAACAAGGGATCCCGATAATAAACCGGATTTTCGAGAATGCCACCAAAGAAGAAGGGCAGCAAGAAGCAGCAGGAGGATTGGGAAGCTGAGCTTGGAGAAACTATTCCACCCGCCACCAGTACAGATGCCGCTGCCAATGAGGACGGCAACGACGCTGCCAACGATGCGAATGATAAGAGAGATGAAGACGAGGAAATGTCTGGCGGCCTTCTAGCAGCGCTCAAGAAAAACAGGAGCAAGAAAGCCAAGAAGGGAAAGGGGGCTGATAACGACTTCGTTGAGGGTGAAGATCCGATGGCTGCTGCTGCTGCTAATGACGAGAGCAAGCAGCCACAAGAAGCTAGCTTTGAGGGCGATGAGGATGATGTCTTTTCAGGGAATGCTGGCGCTCGGCAGAGGGCGAAGGAGAAGGCTGCGGCGCTGAAAGAAAAGGCTAAGGAAGCGGCGGAGGATGAAGGGGGGAGGTTGAAATCTAAGAAGGAGAAGGAGAAGGAGAAGAAGGAGAGAGAGAAGCAGAGGAAGAAGGAGCAGGTGGGTTCTTTTCACCTTTAATATATTGATTTTTTATTTTCTCAATCATCAATGTTCGGAGTAATGATGGAAACTAACTGGGTGATACTTTTAATTTTCATTTTTATAGGCTGCGAAGAAGAAGACCGTTACTCCTGCTCCTTCCTCCGCACCAAAGGCTGAGCCTACTAAGCCTGTTGAAGAAAAACCTGTCGCTCCCGCTGCGGCTCCCGCTGCTGATACTGGCGGGAAGAAGAAGAAGATCCCCGCCCATCTCGCTGCGATCCAGAGGCAGCAAGAGGCTCTACGAAAACAACAAGAGGAAATTGCCCGTCTAGAGGCGGAGGAGAAGGCCGCAGCTGAAGAGCGGGCGAGGAAGCTAGCAGAAGAGGAGCGGAAAAAGGAGGAAGCTCGACAAAGGAAAAAGGAAAAAGAGCGGGAGAAGAAAGAACAGCTAAGAAAAGAGGGCAAATTGCTAACCAAGGCACAGAAGGAGGCACAACAACGAAATGAGCTCCGGAAGCAGCAGATGCTTGCGGCTGGCGCAGTGGTCCAGGGGTTAGAAGAGCCTGCGGAAAAGAAGAAGCCGGTATACGAGAGTAAAAAGAAACGCCCTGTAAAGAAATTAGAGGATGACCTCGAGGCTGCTGCTGCTAGAGCTGAGGCTCAACGACTAGAACTCGAAGCTGAAAAGGCTAAGAAAGCGGAAGAGGATCGTAAACGTGCAGAAGAGAAAGCGGCTGCAGAAGCAGCTGCCCAGGCCTCCGCGAAGGAAGCGGAAGATGATGGTATTAAAGAAAGCTGGGATATATCATCAGACGAAGAAGAGGAAGAAGAAAAAGGGAAGACAGGCCAGGAGAGCCAGATGGGCCAAAACAAGAATCCAAAAGAAAATGGTGCCGCCAAGGGTGAAACATCTCCAGAGGAGTCTGAGGAGGAATCATCCGAGGAAGAAGACGAAGAGGCTACCGCAGCTCAACGAGCTATTGCTCAGAAAAAAGCGGAGGCAGCAGAAAGACGGAGGAAGCAACATGAAGAGGCCCTTGCGGCAAGGTCCGCGGATAATCTCCGTTCTCCTATTTGCTGTATTCTTGGACACGTCGATACCGGTAAGACGAAACTCTTGGATAAAATCAGACAAACAAATGTACAGGAGGGAGAGGCTGGAGGTATCACGCAACAGATTGGTGCTACATATTTCCCCGCAGATGCCCTGAAGCAAAAGACGACCGTTGTCAACAAAGACGGCTCCTTTGAATTCAAAGTTCCCGGTCTGCTCGTTATTGATACTCCCGGTCACGAGTCGTTCTCCAATCTGCGTTCAAGAGGCTCTTCACTCTGTAACATTGCCATTCTCGTGGTTGATATTATGCACGGCTTGGAACCGCAAACACTCGAGTCTATGAAATTGCTTCGTGACCGAAAAACACCCTTCATTGTCGCGCTAAACAAGATCGATCGTCTCTATGGCTGGAAGAAGATCGATAACAACGGCTTCCAAGATAGTTTGGCTCTGCAGAATAAAGGTGTCCAGAATGAATTCAGAGACCGAGTCGACAAGACCAAGCTTGCGTTCGCGGAACAAGGGTTTAACTCTGAATTATACTGGGAAAATAAGTCCATGGCTCGAAACGTGTCTCTTGTTCCTACCTCTGCACATACAGGTGAAGGTGTTCCAGACATGCTCAAGCTGCTTGTTGCCCTCACACAGGAGCGTATGACCAAACAACTCATGTATCTCACCGAGGTCGAGTGTACTGTTCTCGAAGTTAAAGTAATTGAAGGCCTTGGTACAACAATCGATGTTGTTCTGTCGAACGGTGTGTTGCGTGAAGGTGATCGGATTGTTATGTGTGGCCTAAACGGAGCTATTGCGACAAACATTCGAGCACTATTAACACCCGCACCACTTAAAGAGCTGCGCCTCAAATCGCAATACGTTCATAATAAGGAAGTCAAGGCGGCGCTTGGTGTTAAGATTGCAGCCAACGATCTCGAACACGCTATTGCTGGGTCTCGACTGCTTGTGGTTGGGCCGGATGACGACGAGGAGGACCTCGAAGATGAAGTCATGTCTGACCTGGAGAGCCTCCTCAGCAAAGTGTCCAAGGACAATCGCGGAGTCAGCGTGCAGGCCTCCACACTCGGTTCTCTCGAAGCCCTCCTCGAGTTCCTCCGCGTTTCAAAGATCCCGGTCGCCAACATCTCCATCGGCCCTGTCTACAAGCGCGACGTCATGCGCGCCGGTACTATGTTAGAGAAAGCCAAACAGTTTGCCGTCATGCTTTGTTTCGACGTAAAAGTTGACAAGGAAGCTCAAGCGTACGCCGAGGAAGTCGGGATCAAAATCTTCACTGCAGACATCATCTACCACCTCTTCGACGATTTCACCAAACACATGGAGCAGATCACCGAGCAGAAGAAAGAGGAGAGTAAACTACTCGCTGTGTTCCCCTGCGTGCTCAATACCGTTGCTGTGTTTAACAAGAAGGATCCCATCGTCATCGGTGTGGATGTCGTCGAAGGCTCGTTGCGCCTGCTCACACCCATCGCTGCCGTCAAAACCAACCCAGTCACCGGCGTGAAAGAGATTATTAGCCTAGGCAGAGTGTAAGTCATATCCCGATGTCCTTAAGAGACGCACCCAACATCAAAAAATATATATCACCTCTCGTACTGGAAACTAAGCTAATATATACTTTTTGTGATAACAGACAATCAATCGAGCGCGAACACAAGCAGATCCCGCTCTGCAAGAAAGGCCAGCCGTCAGTGGCTGTCAAAATCGAAGGCCCCAACCAACCACTCTACGGCCGCCAACTCGAGGAGAAAGACACTCTATACTCGCTCATCTCGCGGCCTAGTATCGACACGCTCAAGGAGTTCTATCGAGCCGATGTCTCGATGGATGAATGGTTGCTTATCAAGAAGCTAAAACCGTTGTTTGATATCCCTTGATTTTTTTCTTGTTTATTTTGTCTATATATTGGTTTTTTTTTTTTTTTTTTTTTTCATTGCAAAATTTAAAAATCTTATTTATTTTCATCCTATGTCCTTTTTAAGAAAGAGGGGGTTTCTTTTCTTTTCAGTTTTATTTTCATTTTTCTTCCCTGGCTCTATTTATAAAGATGGCGATGCGTTGACTCTGATCATTATCTCATTTCCCCCTTTTTCTTTTTTCTATTTCACACGTAACTTAAAAAATACTTTTTCAGAAATTAAAACAAATTCTATCATATTGATTTCTATTTTTTTTTTTTTAAAGAAACTCCCGCCCCAAAAAGTAAATTTTTTTTTTTTTCTCCGCTCTCTAGCCTCTCAAATCATTTCGTGGAAGCTCGTTCTCTTTCAATTTCCTCGTCTCCATTTCCATCTCACTTACCAGCCTCCTCATCCAATGTGGGTTGAAATCTCTCCCTTTCTATGTTGTTTCATGGACATAAAACAAGACAAGGGGGATCGCAAGAGACACAAAAAACGAATCAACGCTGTTCAACCCATCAACGTGTAGAGAAGAAGTTTTTCTCTCTTTTTTTTTTTCATAAAAAAAAAATTCCTTGTTCAAAAAACCCAAAATCAGTAAAGAGTTTCCATAACGAATAATGACAAGTTAAAATGCGAAGTAGTTATCAGTAGTTCAATCTCTACTCTCTTTGTTTTGATACCGGGCCCAGAATAAGGTTGGAGGTCATACTTCAAAGCAAGCTGATATACCACCTTCTTTTTCTTCTTCTTCTTCTTGCTTGCTTGTATCATACCAGCACAATATAAATAAAATTCCCAATCTATTCTATTATATCCAGTTCAGTCAAGTCCCTTGAGAGAAAAACTTTTGCTTCCCCCCCCCCACCCACCTTTTCAATCCTTCACAAAACCCATGCACCCGGTCAACGGCTCCTCTATCTCCTCTCCACTCGAACAAAATATAATCCCACACGCCAAAAGCGAGATATATATATATATATACATACGTACGTACGTAAGAAAACAACAACCACACACAACCCCACTTATCCCCCCGACCCTCACCTCACCTCACTCCCCCTCACTCCCCCTCCCCCTCCCACTTCTCCACCGGACCCCCCTTCTTCTCCCAATCCAGCCAACTCCCATCATAAACCCCCAGCCTACGCGGGTGATACCCAGCCTGCACCGCCAACGCGGCCATGGCGCGCGCGCGCACACCCGCCTTGCAGTAGAAGACGATGTCCGGCTTTTCTCCTTCTCCTGGCGATGACGACGACGACGACGATGATGACGATTCCTTGGCCTTAGGCTTCGCGAAGCCGAAGCGCGTGAGGAACTCGTCCGGCGGGAGGAAGAGGGCGTCTGGGTGTGTGCCGATGGGGATGTTTTGGGCTGTGGGGATTATGCCGGTTGCGCGGAGCTCGGCGGGTTCGCGGACGTCGATTAGGATGGGGGGCGGGGTGGTGGTTGTGTTTGTGTTTGTGCTGGTGCTGCTGGTGCTGGTTGTGGGGAGGGAGGCGGTGATCTATCAGATTTGGTGGGAGGTGTTTGTTAGGTTAGCTAGTTCAGTCCAGGAGCAGGGGGAGCTGGTGGGGATGGGTTGGAGTCTTGCCAGCCAGCCTGCGCTGGCTCGGGCTCGGGCTCAGGCTCTAGCACGTATGCGATGAAAAAAAAAGAAATCGACCAAATAATAAATGACAAAAAAATTGAAAATACGCAGGTCAGGTCAGGTCAGGTCAGGTCAGGTCAGGAGATTGGATGGGCATAACTATAACTATACATACCTCCTCAAACCCATACCTCTTAAACTCAGCCTTCGCCTCCGCAATCTTGCCCGCCGTCGAGAACCGCCGCGTGGCCGTATCGCGCCTCCCGCTCTGAATCCAACTGCTACCATTCGCAACTTGAAACCATCCAGCGGTCGCGGCCACACCGCGCCGCAACGGCGACGGCAACGGCAACAGCGCCGCCTGACGCCGGGAGGGCCCAGTCGTCAGTAGCTGTGAAGGGGCAGTCGTGCTCGTGCGGGTTCGTAGGAATTGGCCCGCTAGCCGCGGCGCGGAGGAGGAGGGGAGGGAGGAGGGGAGGGAGCGGGCGACGGACATGGCGGGTTCGTGAGTTATTTATTTACTTATTTAGCAGATGGTGATGATAGGGAGGGGAGGGTTTGGGAATATTCCCCCGGGTGATTGTGAATTGGAGATGGGAGAGGTGTGTGTGTGTGTGTGTGTGTGTGTGTGTGTGTGTGTGTGTGTGTGTGTGTAGGAGAGGCACAGATGTCGTCAGAGAGCACACGAATTGGATATTTAGTTACTTAACTTACTTTTTGTGGCGAGCTGCTGGATGATGTCAGCGGAGCTCTGTAGCTGGTTAACTAACTACGCTGTAACTTACCAGCTAGCTAACCAGTTAAAGCCTCCAGAAACAGTTGGGGATGAAAATGAATAAGGGGGCCCCTTGATGCCTGGAGCTTTGGTGGTCGAGTTACACATAGGCATCACAGACCCCCATAACTTTACAGCGTACTCGTACTCAGGCTTTTACAGAGTAGGTTAACCCAGACGCGTAAAAGCGTAGGAAATTTCTTTAATTAACTAACCCCTTCTCTTCTACGTATTGTATGTACAGCACCTATACGTTCCTCATGCATGCAATTCTGCAATCAGTCGTTCTCGTGGAGGGGAGCGAGCAGTGTTAGCAGTTAAGAAAGGCGTGGGACTGCTGGAAAAGGGGGAACCCCCCTTTGAAAGCAATGAATGAATACATTGAATCGAATATTCAGACGTAACAGAACAGAACAATATAGCTAAGCAAATGAAATGAAAATGAATTCAATGATTAAAAAAGGACTATTACTATGCTATATAAAAACGAAAAAAAAAAAGATGAAAAAAAGCAAATGTTTTCTACTCAATTCTCCTCTCGCCTCGCGCGTCCCGGCTCCTGACTCCCCTTTTCGCACCCAAACATCCTGCAACTCCCCGTACAACCAACCAATCAACCAATCAATCAACCCCCTTCCCGTTCTCCCATTCCCACTAACGCCACCTCTTTGTTGTTATTTAATCATTTCTATCAGATCCATGACACCTACGTCTCGGGTAGGATTACCATATGCCTCATGGTGTGCTGTTGGGAGTAGTAGGCGGTTTGGTTCGTCGTCATCGCTGCTGATTGGTTGATTAGGTTTCAGCGGGTTTCAATAGTGCCCCATGTCATTCGCCCAATCAAGCTGTTCGAAGAATAGAAAAGGCTGTCTTATGGGTGGCGGGTTGAGGGTTTTGTTCATTGGGCTTTCCTGTGTTTTGTGATTTATTTTTTCTTTTGAAGGGAGGGGGCCAGGAGCGAGAGCGGGAAAGAGAGGGTTGGTCCGTGTGTAAAAATTTCGGGGTGATGGATGGATGAATTGGGGAGAAAACATTAATTGTAATACATTAAAAAGATGAGCAGGAGAGTCATTTATTCAGGTCTTCGGCGGAAAACGAGGGGACAGTCATCCTATTAATGGTTTCAAGATGTTAGTTTTCTACTTCTTCTTCTTCTTTCTCATGATCTTCAACAACACATGTACATGGGCAACTCACTTCAGGGAAAATCGTAGCGAAAACTCGAATATCTTCCGACGTGGGCGTGGTATGATGTTCCCAGTCGAGAAGCATACTAGCCTTGCCAATCATAGCCATCAAATTTAATTGCGCGTACGTCTGGCCTAGACAATAGTGTGGGCCCGTGCCGAAGACCAGGAAGTTCTTTGCAGCCTTATCCGCTTCGCCGTTCAGCCATCTCTCTGGGTTGAAAGTTTCCGGATCCGGGTAGGCTTCCGGGTCATGCGTGGAGGGCCAGACGGAGGGGATGATCATGGAGCCCTTGGGCAACGTGTAGGTGTCCGTGACGGGGAAATCCTTCTTGACCATGTAGGGGACCATGATTACCGGCGGACGGTAGCGGAGGGTTTCTCTGACGACAGCACGGGTATAGTCCATCTGGTCGAGGAGCTCCATGCTGATGGGGACATTGCGATCACCGCCTCTGATTCTCAGGTTCTCCTCACGAACTTTGGCGAGGATCTCGGGCCTGTCGGACAAGAGTTGGAAGAGCCAGGTGGAGGCGCTGCTGGTGGCGTCTTGTGAAGCAAACAGGAAGGTGAAGATGGTCTGGGCGATTTCATAATCGGTGAAGTCGCGCAGGATGTGGGCTGGTTTTTCCGAGTCCTCCACGGGCAGGCCCTTGGCGATCTTCTCGCGATAAGCGGCCGAGTCCAACATATTCTTGACCCAGGCGTCCATGATGCAGGTGACCTTCTCGCCGTTGGCCATGCGAACTTTACTCTTGGCGGCGCACTTGGTGAACTCGCGCAGGACCATATCTGACGACCTCTTCCCGTACCATGTCTTGGTGAAGGGAATGATGATGGGGAAGTTGACCAATTCGAGGGCGGCAGTGATCAGATAGTAGTCGTCCGCGACGTGTTTGACGGCCTCGTCCGACATGTAGTGGCCGACAAAAGTGCGACAGGACAAGGCGGTCATCAATTCCCGGAAATGTGGCATCCATGGCTCAGGCTTCATGTTGAGCTCCTCGGATCTCTGGACGAACATGTTGTAGAAGCGATCATAGACATCTTCCAGCTGGGGCATGTAGTTGGTCAGGGCAGCCCGAGTGAAGAGGCCGTTCAAGCCCTTGCGGAATTCCACGTGTTCCTTGCCGTCCAGAAACACCCAGTTGTCCTTGCCCAGGAGTTTGTGAGCGACATCGACAACGCACGGTTTTACATATGATGGTGAGTTGAAAACCTTGCGGGACATATCGCGGGTTGCCGCGATGACGACGAACCTGCAGGCGCAAACGCGGGCGTGCGCATGTCAGCTTCTTTCAAACATAAATGGATTTGTATATATATGTATATATTACATATATATATATATATACAAATCCACAGGGGATACCACGAAAGCAGGAGGGGGGGAGAACCATACTTGTGGAAGACGGAGACGCAGCTCAATTCGCCGCTCGCCCACTTCGCCTGGTACTCGGGGAACTTTGGATTCACCGACTGGAGGAAGGGGCCCATGAAGGGGATCTTGAACCTGGGGCCTTCGATGGATCCCTTGAGCCAGATGTATTTCACTGAGAAGGGCGAGAGTCAGCGCTTGTTCTGATGCCCCAGCTTCTTTGACAAACGCATGGGGGCAAATCAATCATGGTATCAATCATGATGTCGATGCTTATAAAAGAACACACCTTGATCGTATGTGACAAGGAGCAGCAAGATGGTGAAGATGGTGGTCCAGAGGGTCATGCCGTTGTAGATGGACATCAGCAGGCCGGCGGGATCCCGGGCGACTGAGGAAGCCAGCCCGACATCAGCGACGGGCGAGGCGAAGGACCCATTGAGGGTGTCCATGGCCGATTGAATGAATCCAAGGAATCCAAGCAATTGAAGCAATTGAAGCAATTGAAGGCCAAGGGTGCTTTGTTTGTCGGGACGGCTCTGAAGGAGCGTTAGGGACGTTGTGGGGAGCCTCAATCAGGGAGAGGAGACACGAAACACCAAGACAAAAAAAACCCGAGGGGGGGCGGGGGAAGGGGAGGAGCGTGCCGCGCAGCAGGAAGCCGGGAATCCCGGGGAGAGCAGAGGTTGGATGGGAGCGATCAATCCAGACAATCCATGCACGGCAGCGAGGATGGAGGATGGAGGATGGAGGAATGGGAATGAGAATTGGAGGACGAACCAAAGGAAGAAATACCAACAACAAAAAAAAGGGATATTGGTGGTACTGGTTGGTATTGGTGGTACGGTAACGTAACTCTCGAAAACGGAGATGATCCAAGTCTGGAGGATGCCCAAACAGCGCCAAGACCCGGGCGGACAGAGGCCAGCAGCCAATAGCAGGCCAGGCCCTGACTGACTCAGCCGGTGCTGCAAGCTTTGCTGGGATGAGACACAACCAACCAACCCCATATTATTACATATTATTACATATTATTTATTTATTGTTACCTGGGCCAGTCCTGGGACACGTTCTGTACGCCGTATCTCGTCGCCGGTCATGTGACGCCCCCGGCTATTCGGCGATGGCGTCAGGGACCGGCGGCAGAGGAGCTGGGCCGAGATGCAAGACGCCAGCCACTGGGACTGCAGGGGGATGGACGGCTAAGAGTCGCTAAATTTTTAAGGATAGTTAGCGAAAACACTGCATTACATACAGAAATACCCATGTCATCTGCAGACACATACAACAACTATCATATCATCGATACGGAGTGGATTCTATGCCGTTCACAGATAGTAATATCACCGATAGAGATACATTCATATGCCTATCATATCACTAACTAGTAGCTATCATCCGGAGATATCATCATAGATACTACCATTGACAAACATCATTGCTAGATGCACAGTAGTACCAACTTCTTCTCTAGAGTTTGATACCTTTTTTTATTGATCTACATAGAGTGGAAAGCTTCTATAACTGCTAGTAGTGATCAATCATATATTATATTCGATATCTATAACTACTAGTTCTTCTAAATAATACTCATAAGAAATAAGATTTTACAATAGTAGACAATGAGCTTAAATAGCAGTATTGCCTAACTACTACAACAAGAAGAGAGAGCTTTATTTTATTTCAACTCGGGACTTTGAATTTGTACCTTTTAATTCCAATGATTAGCACTATCAATTAGCCATGCTATCATATATATACCACATTATAGTAAAAGATATTAGAGTATGAAGATTCTATGATACTGGTATCTCTACGGAGATATCTTGAGCTAAAAGACACAAGCAACGAGCAGTATTTTTTAGATGTAACTGATACATTGTTTTCACTATGCCTATAAAAATTTAGTGACTCTTGGCCGTGTGGAATTAATTATCCATCCCCGAATTGCATTTGCCATTTGCCATTTGCTCTGAGTGCAATTGTATTTACTGCACTGTCACTGCGCCCTAGCGAAGGTCTGTTTGGTGTTGTGCAATCACTCAGCAAACGCACACCCACCCACCACCCCGCCTCCTCTTTCGAACCAGAGTACACTGTAGTTGCGGATTCCGCCGGCGAAGATGACAAACTATAGTACGTGCTATTTTCCTGTCCCAGGCCCAGCCACGGGCAGCCAGCCAGCAAAACCCCCCCGCGGCCAGTGAGCAGCGCCCAGTGACTTGCTGGAGTGTCATCGGGCGACCCTGACTGCTCTCTCCTCACTGCAGAGGGCGCGCCTCCGTCGTCGTTCTTACAGCAGCGTAGGGGAGTTATATAAGTTAGTACTGTACATACATCCAGATACAAACGAACTCACTGAACGCTCTCTCCACTTTCTGTCCATGTAACCCAACTACTTTAGTCCCGTTCGTTGCTCGGGGATTCCCTAGCGGGAACAAGGAGAGAGAGGGAGGGAACAGGATACAGAAAGAACAAACGAAAAGAAAAAAAAAAAAGAAAAGAAAAGAAAAGAAAAGTAAAGTAAAGTAATCTGATCTGTAAAGAAAAGAAAAAAACCCGCATGACTCGGGAACTCTGGATTCCGGATCCTCACCCGCTAACCTTTTGATTTTTTAATTTTTTTTTGAAGGGGGGGGTTTGGTTTTGGTTGGGGTTGTTTTATCTAACTAATTAGGTTTTGTTTCGCCTTCTTGTTAGTTAACTCGCTAGGGGGTTAGTTAGTTAGCGAAGCAGGTTTGATGAGCTTAAAAGTTATCGCTGTTTGGTGTATGTTTTAGAGGTCCCAGTGTCGCAATGCGGGTAGTTAATTGAGTTGCGCACATTCATCGTTGTATGTACAAGTTGGTGATGATAGTACAACACCAGAAGAACCCACAATCATTTTGCGCGTTATTGTCCTTTCCTTATTTTTTTTGGGGGGGGGGGAGGCCTTCGATATGAGGGTGGCATAACTGTAATAAACTGTCATGTTCTATCTACCTATATTGACTTTGGTTCGTTGCAATTGCAATCGCAATCACATATGCGCATTCTCTCCAGTAGTTCCAAGAATCAACCAGGTGAAACAAACAATGAATAAAAAGAGAAAAAAAATTAAAAATAAAAAAATCACCTCCCAAACCCAAACCACCCCCCCTTCTTCGCCTCCTTCTTCGTCTCCGCCGCTGCCTGCGTATCCTGCATCGTAACATCCGCGTCCATCCCCGCACTCGCACCCGAACCAGTCGCGAGCCCCCCCTTATTAGATCCCCGCGGATAATCAATATAATTGAACGCAACGTCCAGGAACAGCGGCTTCACGGGTACCGGCTCCATCTTGGGCGGATACGTCACCAGTCGTGTCAGGTCGACATGGCTGTCTGACGATGGGTACTCGTGCAGGCGCTCGATCATGGGCGGTGGCAGGAAGCTGTCTCCTCCGCCTCCGCTGCTGCGTTGGGAGGTGAGACGCTCGATCTCCACGATGCCCCGGTATTGCCAGACGAGGCTTTGGAGGTGGGCGTGCAGCGCGGCGGCCTGTGGACTGGAGACCTCGAGGCGTGGTGGGCCTGCGTGTGCTTCTTGCTGCTGATGCTGCTGGCTGTTCGTGTCGGAGCGCGGGAGAGCGGTGGAGGCGAGATCCAGCGCGCGTGAGAAGAGCGCGAGGGCATTCTTTGGGCTGGAGAGGAGGGCGTGTGCTCTGCCGACTGCCAGACACCTGGTTTTGATACGTGTGCGTTAGCAGACGGAGGCACGCTGTATCCTTTTGTGTTAAGGGGTAAAGGGGAAAAAAAAAAAACACTACCTGAGTGATTGGAAATAATGCTTTGTTGAATTTAGCTCCTCCACGAAGTCGACGTCTCCTGCAACGCCAGGCAGCTCCCGGATGAAGTCCAAGCTCTGAAGGGTCGCATCGTACAGCGTAGTGCGTTCGCGCAACCGCGCGAGTCGGCGACCGATGCCTTTGCCACTGGATTTCCTAGATTTCTGCTTCCCGCCGGCTGCTTTCATTTGCTCTGGTTTAAAGCCGAGACCGTCGTCAGTGCCACACAGTATCCGGTTGCGGCCCACGCGCCAACCCACCAGCGCGTAGTTCACTGCTGTCCGTGTCACTTGCAGTGCTTGCATGCGTTTGTCCGCCGGGTCAATCCCCTCGGCGGAAAGCTCATCAATAGTCGTCTTGGTCGCGTCCACCGCGTCCTGGCTAGCGCTTATCACGTTATCGTAGTTCGCTGCTTTTTCACTGAGTGAGGAAGATTGACCAGCGGGGCTCGAGAGCCACGAAGATAGCTGGGCTTCTGCTAGAGCAGCGGCCGCCAGTGCCTGGGATATAGCCGCATCTTCCAGCGCGACTGTCCGGGACCTCCAAGTAATGGTCTGTGGGATATCCTGGACGGTGACGCCGTCAGCCGCCGGCTGTTTATTATTAGAACCCCGCTCGACGAAGCAATCTGGGTCGATGGCAGTCACTTCTCCGCGGACTGGGGAATCGGATGGTACGTTTTTGATCGCGATGGATTCTAAAGCTGCCGACCGGGGCAGCTTTAATTGGTAAGCCGCATATCGAAGACCTGGATCGATGGAGGTCGATAAAAGATCTCGATAGGTTTCCCTCTTCGCTTTCGTGCTGAGCGCGCCGTATATTACTTTTGCAACCGAATATTGTTGTAGACACAAATCCCATCTCTTCTTTTCCATCCAGAACGCCCCAAGGAGGGAAGCTAGATAACCCCGCGCCTCAAGGAGGTCGATGTTGGATGCGGAAGACGCTGACGGATCTTGAAGGACTGAAACTAGTTGTTTTCCGTATAGAGTCGCTTTATTCAAACGAGATATTATATGCCGTCTTGCAGAACTGGCAATGCCCTTGGTAGACGGGTCTGCGGAGTGGGTCGACTTCATATGCATTGCGGTAGCCCACGCTCGCTCCGCGCAGAGAAGTATGAGAAATGCGAAGCTGGTTGACCGTCAGCAGGAGATCTCCTCAAGTTGCTTTTCTAAAAGATCAACGAAAGGTTGAATGGCATATGGAAAACATACTTGGTGTCATTGGCGACCTTCTCTGCTGTTATCGTAGGTTTCGCAGAGTACTTTTTACCACGCGGGGTTGTCTGGCCCAGCTTCTTCCGTATGGTGTGTAATCTGCGAGTCAACTGTGCTCGATATGAATTGTAATCCCCGGCCAGCAAAGCGTCTTCCCTGTGGCTAACTATGAAGCTGGTGATGTCCATTGCTGTGGACCATAGTAGGCTGTCACGGTGTTATGGAAGCAGCCCACGCCTAATCCACAGCCTTTTGAGTGTATGTGACGCTGATGCTGTGATGTTTGAAGATGGTCTTGTCGCTTGTGTGGTGGCCGGCGCCGGAGAAACCTGCGGGCCGCGGACGTAGCTGAAAAATATCCTTTGGTTGTTTGTTTCCCGCCCAAGGAATCTCCGCAGGAAAGGTGCTAGTTACAGCTCTATCTGCTTTGACAAAACAGCTGCGGTCTAACATCCTGTTAATGCTGTTGAATCCGAAGGTTCTATTTTTAACCATAGTGAACTGGGGCACTCAGCGCCCAGGCTTAAGTGCTTGCGCTTGTTTTTTTCCTTGGTCCTTCCCTTAACGTTGTGGATCATAGCAGATTGAATTTGCTCTCAATCCTGAGTAAGTTTTTGTCAATTCTCTTTTCTTCTAGTGTTTATATTAGTTTTATATATAATTTTTGTTGTTCAGACATTATACATTTTGTCGGGTTCGGTATGGCTATGCAATTGGTTTTGCAAACCTCCTTTAACTAACCTCCTCTCCCATAGCCATTTGCGATATGCATTTCCCGTTATAACCACCGTTGAAATCCTCTTCTTCATACACCCGGCTCTGGTTTAGGGGATGCTGGAGCGAGCAGCTCAGCGCCTTGAAAACGCAGGAGAATGTCTTTTCCGCCATTCAAAGCGCCACGCTCGCAGCCGACGAGTTTTGCATCCGGAATTCTGGCATCATGGCGTTGCTGACATCGAGGCTCCCTTGTGGGGCTCTGATTTCCTGCAACCACCGCGATCATCCTCGTCCACCTCTCGACCCTTACCAGTTGCCGTTGAGCCATTTGCCGTTCTCTTTAACTACCATCTTCCAAATACGCGCTTGGAATTCTTATACCCGCCAGAAACACAAATATTTGCACGATATCGCCTTCCTCGCATCATCATCAAGAGCTCCGCCGAATATAGGAGAAAGTCGGGCAACCGAACTTATTATTCAACGAATTCTGGCGAAGTGGCTCAATCCCGGTCACACCATGAGGAGGTTTTACCAGAGCCTCAAGATAAACAGAACTTTGAAGGATCGAAGGGGCTCGAAGAGTCGCTGGCGGAAGGGGGAGAGAATGAGGAGGAGGAGGAGGCATTTGAGTACTATGACCTTTACAAAAGTCCTCGAAGACCAATTACTCTCCCTAAGCGGCGAGCGTCTCCATTGTTGCCTGCTGTGAGGTTCGGGCTGGCGTATTGCAACTTTTATCGACGCCAGCAGGAGACAATGTCACGAGTTCGGATGAAGCAACTGGGGTTGGTATGTTCCCGGAAAACTAGGGGCTTTCGCACAATTCTCACCCGTGGAACAAAATCCAAAAGACGGCGTCGCGTTAGCAACGATGGGGAAATAGTTATAGATCTCAATATTCTGCGGCGGCTTGATCGATATCTTAGCAATAATTCTCCACGGAGCTGTCGGGCTGTATGGAGACTCTATCAAGTTGTCAAGGACCAGAAGCCCGAGTACCATCCACGCGTCCTTGCCTATCTTTCAGAATCCCGGGAACCTGTGGATCGAATCCGTTCGAGACTAGCATTTGAAGCTATCGAGATTGACCAGAGAACTCCAGAAGACTATGGCCACGTAACGAAGTCTCTTATCCAATGTGAAGGGAATATCGATTGGGTTAGGGAGATTTGCAAGGAAGCAGTGTCGAAACTCAAAGGAGAAAAGTGCTGGGATATCGCCATGGTTGCGTTGGTGGACCGGATGAAGTGGAAGGAGGCATTCGAATTTTTCTCCTTTAAGCCCTATCTCCCGGAAGGCCAGCCATTCAAACGGATTAAATATCATGAGTTGTCGAACATGCTCAGCTTACCGGAAAGAGTTTTGAATTTGCTTGAGTTGCTACGCGAGAAAATGCTAGACCTGTCGGAAGCTACTCCGCTGGTCGGCTTCTTAGTTCACTTGGTCATCAGGAAGAAAACGATATTGAGGCAAACCCCTATTGAACAAATTCTGTTATTGTTCTACAGCCTTCACGCCATTCGCTTACTCGAGAGTCAACATTACTTCTGGGCCTTGTCGACGTTACGATATCTAGATCTCGAATTAAAAACCACCCGCGCCCTCGAAGTGTACTGGCATTTTCGCTTATTGATGGGTACCACAAAGCCCCCTGAGAAGGTTCTTGCTGGACTTTTGAAAGTCGTGGCCGTACTGCGGAAACCTGAGGCTACTAACCAACTTCTCAGGGAGTTTCGGTTATTCTATGAAAAGCCGTCGGAAGAAGCATATCAGATCGCACTCACGGCATTTTCCAGACTTGGTGATTTCCGGAGGGTAACTGATTTATTTAAATCCTACGTGAACCATTACGGCCAGCCCAGGAAGCTCAGGTTGGTTAACCCTCTAATATACGTTAATGCCGCAGTTGGCAGAGTTTATCAAGCCCGGAAGCAGCTAGAAAGGCTTCGTAGCGAGTTCTCGCTGAGCCCTGACGTGACGAGCTGGAATATTGTCCTGACTGCCCACGCGAAGGCACGGGATAAGCCCGGAGCGCTATCAACTTTTCAAGAAATGATTGCTACTGGGTTAAAGCCAGACTCGCATACACTCGGAATCTTAATGGGAATGTTTGCGAAGGACGGCAACGTCGAAAGCGTCATGGATTTCTTGCAGCTTGCTAGGGGATATGATATTCAACTCAACATGGCAATGCTTCACCCGGTGGTGGAGACCCTCTGCAACAACCGAAAATATGATGCTGCCGAGAAATTTGCAGATACGGTGATGAAGCTAAAGGCTCCCGGCCCTACTACTCGCATGTGGAATGTCATCCTGTGGCACTACGCTTTCCTCCCTGACATAGATTCTATGCTAGCAGTGCATGATCGGATGAGAAAACTAGGAGTGAAATTCGATCATATGACGTATGCAGCCACCATCCTGGCTCTTGTTCGCAGTGGAAACCATGATGATGCTATTCAGGTTATTCGAAGACTTGAGGACCGTCGCCAGGTTTCCGTGACCCAATTCCATTACGCGATCCTTTTGTACGGCTATGCACTGGCAGGGGATGTGGAAATGATCGAACATACCCAGGGCGAAATCATGAAAAAATTCGGCCACTTGAGTCTCAGCTCGAGACTATCGGTGCTCAAGGGGAAAATTCATATGGACAAGAGGCTTCTCGAGGAAGGGAAATACGTTGGGCATAATAACGAAATTCGATTGGTGAATGCGGAGGCGTTTCTGGATTCCATTATGAAAGACTTCGGTATCAGAGAGTGGGCTACGAAAGTTCCACAACCTGGGGCAAGTCAAAAGTCTGTCCGCGATGCCTTTCCTTCTGTGTATTACGAGGAACTCATCTCCGCCTACATGAGCCATGATGCAACCGTGAGGGCGAAGCAACTTGCCGAGAGGTTGGAGAAGAAACAAAACCGCCTCGTCAGGAATCCGAATCTTGTGCCACTCAGCCAGTTGGCTCAAAGAATGAAACTCCAAGCGAGGGATAGAGGGTTCGACATGGTCGAGAAACTCTGGAAGAAAGCATTTAATCAAGCCAAACTTGGAACGGCCATTACAGCCTCCTTCAAACCCAACCACTCTGGCAATCCTGATGACCCTCAACTCGTCCCTAAAAACTCCATGTCGACTGCTCAGCGTTTTTCTCTTTCCGAATGCCTTTCTGTGCTCATGGAATGCTACGCAGAGCAAAATCTCCATTCCAAAATCGCCGTCGTTATATCGGAAGTCCAAAAGTCTGGCTTTGTCCTGACGACCCATAACTGGTCATCCTATATTGAACTACTTGCTGTTTCCTCCAGACGAGAGGACCGACTGAATGCTTTTATTCTCTTTGAAAAACTGTTTATTCCTAACTACACTGGTTGGACACAGGTAAGGGCAAGATCGACTGCACGGCCCGGCCATGCTCCATCCACATTTGCTCTTCAGGAGAACAGAGATCACTATTCCTCCCGCCGGCCTGACCATATGGGCCTCGGCGAAAGTTATGCATGGTCAAAACTTGAGCCTGACTACATGCAGCCTTCCTACGACACAATGGTTCGCCTAGCCGCCGCGCTAGTTGATGCTAGGGCGCGCTCCGTTCTGGATTCAGGTGAAGAGGTTAACTCGATTCTCCTGTCTGCCCCAATGACCATAATTGCTATGGGGAATGTACATGACCCCCAAGGAGGATTTGGACAGATATTAAATGAAGCTCAGCATGTCGTCCAGTCCGGCCCTATCAAGTCTGTGGTGGAACCAGGGTTTGGCGAACAAGGGCTAGTTAACCGCGAATCTTCTTTGGAGCCATCCGGGAAGGCTACCGATGCCCATAATGATAACAATAAAAACACTGTGGTTCCATCTCCGTACGATCTCATTCCGGTAGCTACCGGTGTGTCCAGGGAAACAGCACCAGATATGCCTTTGATCAAAACGCTCCTGGAGGAAGACGCTCAGTGGAGACAGATTGAATACAAACGGCGGGTCCAGCGACGTCAATTCTTAGAAAACAACCCACCCTTAAATGGCATTCCTCCCAGATTGCCGCCCCATTTACGTGGCAGGGGCCGGGAAACGGGTCACTGGCAAGTGTTGCGAGAAGTGGGACTCCTCAACACACCCCACTTAGTTCAACATGCCCACCTTGAGCTGCCAGAGAGATCTCAGGAGAACCTAGAGGACGAAGAGGAAGGCTTGGGCAAAGAGCGAATCCTCTGGCGCAAAGAGGAATCGGAGTGGCGCAAGAAGGTCAAAAGTGGACGCTGGAAGGACTGGATCCCGGCACGCAATCGAAGACTATGGCTCAAGAAGATCGATGCCCAGAACCTGCCACTGATCCTTCAGTATCTCCGTCTCGAAGAGGATGCATATGACGTCAAAGATCAGTACCGCAAGGAATGGGTTTTCTGGTGCCGACTGCAGATCTGGAGGCACATGAAAGAGGAGGAGCGAATTGACTGGAAGCTCTACCATGAGAAAAATAGAAGTAAACGCTGGCGGGGCCTTCGGGAGTGGCGGCAAGACCTTAACTGGATCCGGAAGAAGATACCTCTACCTGGTCGTGTGGATGGCGAGTTCGCCAGTGATCGAGACCATGAGGCGCATAGCCTCCATTACCATGCTAAGACACGTTTGAACCAGATCCGGGATATGATGGCAAAGGTGTACAAGCTAGCTTATCAGGACATTTGATTGGAGATGGTTTTGGCTTGGATTTTCTTTTTTGGGTCGGTTGCCCATTATTATGTAGATATTTCTGTATATTATTCATGACCCGTTTTTCGTTTTTGCTCTTTCGCATCCATTTTCTCTCATACATGTTGGATAAGCACTATCATCTACCATTGGTCTAACGCTTGAATTGATCATGAACCTGAGTGGAAGCTCCGAGTAGAGTGCATTTCCCAATTAGGCATAATTGAAATATCACATGACCTTCATTGACAACGCGAAATACGCGAAATACGCGAAAAGGAACAGCCGACGCGTCCTTTCAAGCTTCAAACTCATTCATTTCGATTGCGTCTGGGAAAAATTCAATTCTCCCTCTATATTCCCATTAAACCTCTCCGGCAGCACATCCATACACATATACAGAGTTTACATACATATCCTGGGGCCTAGCACACAGTTGACGATTGTTTTGTGTCAATTAGAAGACCCTGCATTGCGGGTTCGTTGAAGATCAACACCCACCTTCACCATGGATCCCCAGGATCGCATCCGGGCTGCCGCTGAATTTCTCGATCCTAGTGAGTGATTCCTAGCCAAAAACTGCGGTATCTAGTAGAAAATCTAATTGTTCTCTTTTTCCTGCTCGCTAGGTGATCCACGGGCGAGAAGGTATATCCAATGCCCAGCTCTTGTCCTGTGGTAAATGTGATGATGTTCCTAATAAGCACTGTAGTTATCGAGCGGACATTGTTTTGATGCTTAATCGCGGCTTGCGAAGACTCACGGTATGAATTATCATACCTTCGTTTGATGTTATGGTTTCTGGCTATTTGAAACGTCAGATCGGCTAACTAGTCTTCTTGATCCATTCTGTAGGTCAGCTTGGATGAAATTCGAGCGCACAGTACAGAATTGGTCAATGGGTTTGTTATCAATCTTCCAGTTTACGGTACGGACTAGTTCTCACTATTGATCGGCAGCCTCCTTACATCGCCGCACGATTACACTCAGGCATTTAATTCAGCATTGAAGGAAATTATCAGCACGTTGCCTAATCGATCGCCAAAGGAGACATCAAACGATACAGTACGTAACTACTGTATGCTATATCGTATGATTTTGGATCCTGGAATACTGACTGTGGCGGACATGGGTAGGTGTACTACTGTGCCTACGTTGGTGCATTTGGCGAGTTTGCTTGCAATCCCCGCACCCTTGGCTCCTCTCACCTAAACCGATTGATATGTCTTGAGGGCATTGTTACGAGATGTTCGCTCGTCAGACCCAAAATTATCAGGAGTGTTCATTATAGTGAGAAGAAGGAGGAGTTTTTGATGAGAACGTATCAAGATCAGACTATGACTGCTAGCGGGGCGACGAATTTGAACGTATACCCTCAAGAGGATGACGAGGGGAATCCGGTATGTGTATATGGACTCTATCTATGGAGACGATATTTCATCTGGCTAACTCATGTGATAGCTCATCACTGAGTACGGATATTGTATATATCGAGACCACCAAACCATTTCGATACAAGAGATGCCCGAGCGAGCCCCTGCAGGGCAGCTTCCAAGGGGCGTCGACGTGATACTTGACGATGATTTAGTCGATAGAGCCAAACCCGGTGACCGAATTCAATTGGTTGGAATTCATAGATCCCTTGGAAATCGAAACGCCAGTACAACCAGCTCTACCTTCCGTACGGTTATCCTAGCAAACAACATCATCCAACTCAGCTCTAAATCAGGTGGTGGAATTGCGCAATCGACGATAACAGACACTGACATTCGGAACATTAATAAACTTGCGAAGAAGAAGAATGTCTTCGAACTTCTGTCTCAATCCCTCGCGCCCAGTATATACGGCCATGATTACATTAAAAAAGCGATTCTCTTGATGTTATTAGGCGGTATAGAAAAGAATCTTGATAACGGGACTCATCTACGTGGTGATATCAACATTCTGATGGTCGGCGATCCTTCTACCGCCAAATCACAACTTCTTCGTTTCGTACTCAACACAGCTCCTCTGGCAATTGCCACCACTGGTCGAGGCTCGTCTGGAGTTGGTCTTACAGCAGCTGTAACGACCGATAAAGAGACTGGCGAGCGGCGATTGGAAGCCGGTGCTATGGTCTTGGGAGATCGAGGCGTTGTATGTATTGATGAATTCGACAAAATGAGCGATATCGACCGAGTAGCGATCCACGAAGTCATGGAGCAGCAGACCGTCACAATCGCCAAAGCCGGCATTCACACCTCCCTAAATGCTCGATGCAGCGTCATTGCAGCTGCAAACCCGATCTATGGACAATATGATACCCATAAAGATCCACACAAAAATATTGCCCTCCCCGATTCCCTAATCTCGCGTTTCGACTTGCTCTTCGTTGTTACGGACGATATTGAGGATGCTAGGGACCGCATGGTATCAGAGCATGTGCTCCGTATGCACCGGTACCGAGATCCTGGCATGGAAGAAGGAGCCCCAGTGCGTGAGCAGGTCAATAACAACCTCGGAGTTGGGCTAGAAGAGAACCAAGATTCAAATCGTCCGACTGAAGTATACGAGAAGTTTAACGTTATGCTCCATGCAGGCATGTCCGTCACTACTAGCCGGGGACCAAGCAGAAGAATTGATGTTCTCAGCATGCCATTTATCAAGAAATATATTCAATACGCCAAATCAAGAATTAAGCCCGTGCTCACCAAGGGAGCCGCGGATCATATCGTGGCCACCTACTCCGCTCTTCGAAACGATGAGCTGTCTGGAAACCAAAGAAAAACCTCTCCCATGACCGCCCGTACCCTAGAAACCCTTATTCGTCTATCCACTGCGCATGCCAAAGCACGTCTCTCCAGCAGAGTCGAAGAAAAGGATGCTAAGGTCGCAGAGTCGATTCTCCGTTTCGCGCTCTTCAAAGAAGTCGTCGAAGACGAAAGACGCAAGCGAAGGAAGACAGTAAACCTCGAGTCCGACTCCGAGTCTGATGACTCCGACTCCGGAGTTGAGGAGTCGCAACAAACGCCTGCGGCTCCACGCTCAAGTCGCCGCCCAGGCCTCAGAGGAAGCAGTACCGCCGCGCGAAATGGAACCAACACCCAAGGTGACGACAGCGATGAAAACGACGACTTATACGACGCAAGCCCCCGCTCCCGCCACACGCAGGCATCCTCCCGCCAAACCCGCAGCCAGCTAGGCGCCACGCAATCCGAATCGCAAATGTCTTTCGCTTCATCGCAGCCCGCATCGCAACTCCTGCGCTCGCAGACGGACGATAACGAGAGCCAGTCACAGCCACCAATTGCAGAGGCGGTTGGGACGGCGGAATTGCTGCCACCACTCTCGTCCGCGCGGTTGGCAACGTTCCGGCAGGCACTTGGGCCGCTCATGAGGTCCGAGCTGTTCGAGGGGGATTCGGCGGGGGTGCGGAATGTGATCGAGGCGGTAAATGAGTCGATTGGCGCAGCGGGTGGAAGGGCGTTTACAGCTGCAGAAGCTGTACAGGCGTTGGGTGTTATGAATGAGAAAAATGAAATTATGTATGCCTCCTTCCAATTCCCCTTGCCCTCACCACCTCACACACACATTTCCTTTTCGTTTTTCTTTTATACCATGTTGCTAACCCTGTCGCCCGTAGGTATCTCGGTGATGAAACTGTTTACCGCATCTGAGAAACTTTTCACGTTATTATGTTTTTCCTTCGCCAATTTCATGCACGTTGCCTAGGCTCAGCCGGGTTTGTTCTTGGGGGAGAGGATAGGATGATGAATGATTTCAATCAAATGCAGAAGCGGTTTCTTTCCACGAACCTTTATTAATGAGTGTACGGGTGTGTTTCTTATTTAATCGGATCTTCCAATGGCGTGGAGGAACTTTTTCAAATAATTTTGTTTTCCTACTTACAAATGTTATTTCATTGTCTAGAGGGAAACTGGAGTCTATTCTTTATTTTCCTTTTTTTGTCTGGCATTAATGCATCTCCCCCCTTTTTTTAAAAAAAAAAAACAAAAGAAGAAGCGAAAATTGATTTATAACCTAGATAAACAGAAAATCATGGCAATCATAATAAACCCCCAGAAGAAAAAAAATTGTCTACAAAAGTTATCATTTACCTATCCCCTTCCGTAAATTTTTTTTTCTTTTTCTTTTCAGTATGATCATTGCAGAGGGAATGGGTTTTTTATTCACCCAGCATGGCGGTGGCTTAATAATACCCAGCTAATTCATAGTCTATAATTCTCTCTCTCGGATTTATTAACAGATATAAGTATAATAAAATATCTCCAGGGCAGTCAGGATGACGATTCCAAAAATATAAATCAGCCTGCATGATGGAAAACTCCCCCTTTTCGCCCGCGTTTCCCCTAACGTACCCACACAACCCCCCTTCATGAAAAAAAAATACAAAACTCGTAATAATAATAATAACGACAACAAACCAAACAAGAGAGGATGCAACCTGATATACCAAGCGCACGGAAAATCTAGATCAACCACACCACCCTACTCTATACCTGCCCTACAGGCTCGATCCTTGTTAACGGCGATGGTGCTCTCGCTCCACCACCGCTGCCAACTCCACCACCACCACCACCAGCAGCACTAGATGAAGACGAAGCAGACTTATTCCGCCTTTTCCGCTCGCTGCCCGACGTCGATGCTGCAGAGCTACCCCTCCTTCGACGCTGGCGGTCGCTCTGGTTACTATTACTATTATTGTTGTTGTTGTGGGGAGGATCATCGGTGTCCGAGACCGGGTTCGGCGTCGTGCTGCGCGAGGAGGTGCGGGAATGCGTCATGGCATCACGGTCTTGCTGGTGTTGCGGTCCCGGCCGGCGTTTCGTAGATGTTGTGGATGCGTCTCTCTGGTGGGAGAGGTGGTGGTGGTGCGAATGGGAGTGGGAATTGGCGTGGCCACCGGCGCCACGGCCATGACTGCTACTCCCAGAAGGCGTCGTGGGCCTCCTCCCCGCAGACGAAGTAGTCGATAATACCGGCATAGGTAGTGATTTCGGCGCCCACAGGAGCCTCATCCACCAGAACCACCCGCCCGCCATCTTCGCGTGCTCGCGCCGCTGCTCTTTCAACTTCCGCCGCAGCGCGGCGCGGCGCTCATTCTCCTTCTCCCAGTAGTCGGAGCGGTATTCATCCCAGTTCTCGCGGAAGGCGGGGGAGAAGGATTTCGGGAGCAGGAGGAGCTTGATGTAGTCACCGCCTGGGGCAATGTCTTCTTCCACTACGGTTGTGCCCGGCGCGCCACCGTCGCTGTGTGAGTGGCCGCCGTCGTCGTAGGGACGGGATTTGCGACCTTTCTCACCACCACCATTGCCAGAAGAAGAAGAAGAAGAAAGACCCGCCGTAGACTCCACGTAATGAAACGTCGACGGGAAAAACACCTCGTAGGGAAACGGGAATAAAAAAGCCAGATACGACCACGCCTCTTTCCACCAGGGGCCCCTCAACACCACAATCTTCGTATTCATGCTTCTCAGACCGCGGTTGGCAACGCCTAGCCAGCGTCGCGGCCACCGCACGCCCCTTTCCCACTGCCCCGTCCCCCATATCAGCACGCCAGTCACCACCCCGCCCATCAATGCCACTTTCTCGGCCATCTCGACAACCCAGTAGACGGAGCCGCCGACTCCGCGGCCATCTTCGCGAGGGCGCAGGAAGAGCGCGTAGGAGAAATAGGCGATCCAGAGGGCGAGGAGGAGGATGAAGAAGGTGTTTTGCTGCCGGCGGGCACGGAGGGCGAGGTATTGGGAGCGCAGGGAGGTTTCGAGGATGAGCAGATTTAGGTAGATTTGCGGCGGGGAGGAGGGCAGGGTGGAGAGGGGGTCTGGAGCAACGGTGAGAGGGCTGGGAGGATCTTCTTGGGACGGATGTCCTTGCTGCTGCTGTTGCTGCTGCTGCTGCTGAAAGTGGTATTGGGATTCAAGAGGCGGGGATGGAGTGCTGGTCGGGGACAGGGACAGGGCGGTGGTGCTTGGAGCGCCCTTGATAACTTGGTCGAGGCGGGATGACATATTTAGAGCTGGGGTTATGTATTAATAGACGAGTGGGGATGCATAGCTAGCGATCGATGATGGTATTAGGTATTACGGCGGACGGGAATCGAGCAGCGGTGGCAGCGACGTCGGTGGTTTGCTGGGAGCACAGCGTAGATATTGAAGCTGTAGAGCCAGCGAGAAAGATTGAGTTGATGGCTTTGACGTCGTTGGCTGGACACATGACACGATGTGGATGAGGATTCTACACAGACGCAGGAGAGCGAGAGAAGAACCAGATATGCTCTTGGGATAGATAAATATTTACATTCATCTAAATATCTGCATTTGTGTTCCCACCGGCTGTCCTCCGCATGCCCATCTTCATATCGACGGATTCGATTAGATAGTTACAATCGCTTCCAATGGCGGGTTCGCGATCACCAGCTCCTCCACGACCTCTGCCATATCCCCAATTAAATAGTTATCCATCTACATGGGATCAGGATGTGTGCTGGCTGTCGTCAAGGATTCAATGGGCAATGCTGCCACGGTATCCACCAATTCTCCAAGTTCTCCAACTTCAATCCGCAGTATTCAGTAAATAGTATATTTATTCAAAGCAAATAGAATACAAGCCAGGCAACCGGCTCCACACCCGCAGTCTGCAGATATCTTCTTCTCCTCTGTATATATATGTATATTCGGGGAAAACCTCTCCGCTGTACATAATAAATAATAAGCAGCCACTCGCACGCACGATGTGGTCGGCCTAACCTTCGTCCTGCGGCCCGAGACGAGTGCTGATGCTTCACCATTTATCATTTATCCTCTAACACTAGCTGCTTCCGCCCCGTCCACTGCCTGACGTCGTTAAATAATCCTGCTGCCTTCGCCGCCGTGTTCCGTGGCTGTGGTCGGTCTTTTTTCTGCGCAAACTCCGCGTCAATCCCTTCTCGCCCCAAAATCGTTCCGGGTTCCGGACCTTTCTTTGGCCAACTCCAACCAAGTCAAGTTCCATCTCGAGAAGATATAAGATCTAAGATATCGCCCACACGCCCCTTTGCTCGCCTCCCGTCCCCATGTTTCGGAGTGGCAGCTTCTCTCTGTCACTCCCCTGCTGCGTTCCAAAGTGTATTCCTCAACTCGCCTCTCCGCCAATCCGCTCCTGCACCTGGCCCGACACAGGCCTGCAATTGACCTGGCCTCTGCCCTCTCGTTGACGCTCTCGCATTCCCTCGCTCCTACTGGCTCGTTTCTCTCGCCGGCGCCGCTGAATATTCCCTCTCTGCCGTTCCAGTTCCAGGCGCATTTCGAGTCTTCCCTCGCCCACTCGCCGTCCGACTCCTCGGCCTCGTCTTCTGTTCCTTCTTCTTCTTCTTCTTCTTCTTCTTCTTCTTCTTCTGCTTCTTCTTCTTCTTCTTCTTCTTCTTCTTCTTCTGCTTCTTCCTCCCTACGGTTCTATCCGTCAATGGCGACTGCAACTTCTACTGCCTCAGGATCTTCCGAGGACCTAGGTGGCACCTTTAAGACGCCGGAGCCGCCGCGGGGTAAATTGCCTGATAGAATTATCGGGCCGCTTTTCCCTCTGAGCTACAAGGAAGGATTCAGCCAATGGGTAGGCCACCATACTTTCTGGCCCTTCATTCGATCCGACTGGCACTGACAATTTATATTTATTTAACCTGTAGTGGGCAAGTATCCCGGCTGCCACCGCTGAACACAAGGTCCTCTCTTTCATCCCTTATCTCCAACACCCACCCACCCACAAACAGACCGGGAAAGATGCTGTGACCCCGAATCAATCTACAGACAGCCTCACCGAAGCGGACCCCAGCCAGGCCTTCCAGGTTTCCACCAAATCCGTCGATGATCCCCATGGTCCCCGCATATGGCGGTCCACCATGGTCGAGCTGAGCGGGAAGAACCGCGCCCTGAATGAATTCTCCATCGAGCGCGTCGGTGAGAAAACCGAGCAGAACCTTGTCGTTCTTCATGGATACGGCGCTGGTCTAGGTTTCTTCTACAAGAACTTTGATGCTCTCAGCCGTGCCAAGGGCTGGCACTTATATGCCCTCGACATGCTGGGGATGGGTCGAAGTACACGGCCACCGTTTAAAATCCACTCAAAGGAGCGTCAGAAGGCCATCAGCGAAGCTGAAGACTGGTTCATCGATGCTTTGGAAGAGTGGCGAATAAAGCGCAGGCTCGACAAGTTCACTCTTCTTGGCCATAGTCTAGGCGGGTATATAGCCGTGTCCTACGCCCTCAAATACCCCGGGCGCCTCAACAAGCTCATCCTTGCGTCCCCTGTCGGAATCCCCGAGGACCCCTTCGCCGTTAGTGCGGAAATGCCTGAACCATCCGCATCCACTGTCGCCAACGAATCCAGTCAGGACCAAAAGAACATCACTAAGCCCGCACCAGACAACAACAACAACAACAATGGGGTCAGCGGTGAAGGCACACTCCCTCGCCGGCCCCTGCCCAAATGGGTGAAATACCTCTGGGACTCCAACGTCTCTCCTTTCAGTCTTGTGCGCTGGTCTGGTCCCCTCGGGCCTCGCCTTATTTCTGCCTGGACGTCGCGCCGCTTCGCGCATCTGCCGCCCGCCGAATCCCAGGCACTTCACGACTACGCTTACTCCCTCTTCCGCATGCGCGGCAGCGGCGAATATGCCCTGGCGTATATACTAGCGCCTGGCGCTTTTGCGCGGAATCCGTTGATTAGACGCATCCATGCTGTGGGGAGACAGGTGCTGAGGCCTGATGATGTCGATATTGATGTTAACGCTGCGGCTGCTGCTGCGCAGGCACAAACAGAGACGCAGACGCAGACGCAAAAATGGTGTGCTAGCAAACAAGACACGACAACCTCAACACCTCCACAGGAAACTTCGCTAAACTCAACGACGGATGCACCAACACCAGCACCACAATCCTCTTCCGCATCCTCCTCCACATCCACATCCACATCCACATCCACCCCCACCTCCCAACCCTCACCCCCGCGCCGCGAACAAGGAATCCCCATCGTCCTAATGTACGGCGAGCACGACTGGATGGATGTCGCGGGTGGCTACGCAGCGCAAGCACGCATTGAGGAAGAAAAAGCGCGGATCCTGCGTGACGCTAGCCCCGAGGAGCGCGCAGCGGATCAAGGTTCTGCGAAGGTGGTTATCATTAAGAATGCGGGACACCATTTGTATCTGGATGGGTGGGAGGAGTTTAATGAGGTTATGTTGGAGGAAATGAGGGGGGTTCACCGGGCGGGGAAGGCAGAGGGGAGGGGGGAGAATGAGGAGTAGGATATGAGGATGTGAGGATGCGATGAAGGGGAAAAGGGGGAATGGAGTTGTGTGTTTTTTTCTTTTCTTTTCTTTTTTTTTTTTCGCGGGTTATTATTGTAGGGTAACTAGTTGATTTTGGTTTGAGTGGAATGGGCGTTCTTAAGCGCTGGAAGAAATATGTTGGATTTTTTATTTTTATTTATTTTTATTTTTATTTTTATTTTTAATTCCCATTTTATCTAGATAGAGGATTTGGTATTTGGCATTTCTCCTCCCTTTTTTTTTTCTTTTTTTTCTTTTCTTTTCTTTTTCTTTTCTTTTTTTTTTTTTTTGGCATTCTCATTTTCCTATTTTTGTTGAGATAGGGCATGATTCATTCTCGTCAATAATGAGGACAATACGCGCATTTTTCTTTGTTTTAAAAAAAAAAAGAAAAGAAACAGAAACAGAAACAACACATCCCCTCCTGCCGTTCCATATATGTATAATAGATATCATAAGACTCCCAGATTTATGTATATACACGGATTCCCCCACTTGATCAGAAGAAAACTAGAAAACTAACGCTGTGTCCTGTCAATGGCAACTTTTGGTAAATGAAAAATGAAAAATAAAAAACAACAACAACAACAAAAAAAAAAGAACCAGAGGAAGTCAAAATGCTCAATACTCTCTTTCCATATCATGTCGTCTTGTGACGTTAACCTAATAGGTCATTAATGGATCATTGGGGATGGTAAATGGAATGGAAATAAGGATGGAAGGATGGCTTTTATTTTGTGTGTGTGTGTGTGTGTGTGTGTGTGTGTGCGTGTTTAGCTCCGTGATGGAAGAATGAGGATGGCTGCTAAAGCGCGATTTTTTTTTCTTTTTTTTTTTTGGGGGGGGGGAGGGGAGAGGGGGGAGAACTTTTAGCTCAAGTCCTTGTATATACATATATAAATATCATACGACTAAGTCGGTATTCCATCATATTGAATTGAATCGGAGGGTCTCTGCTGAAAACCTGGCACTGGCTGTAGGATAGATTTCCTCTTCTGGATCGGGCAGCACCAAACAATGCTTCCCAGGGGCTTCTTTCTTTACCGGTCAATAGTCGAGGATATCAGCAACGGCAGTGTCATCGTCATCGTCATCGTCATCGCCATCGTCCTCAAAATCAAAACCATCACCACCATCGCGATTCCCATGTCCACCATCACCGGTTTCGTCCGATAAGGGCGGGGTTATCTGTGGCCTCGCAGCAACGCCCGCGGGTGCTTGAAAGAGGCCATTGATCGGCTCAAAATCGTCCCCCAGGTCCCCCTTACTCACAAAGGTCCCCAGCGATACAGGCGTTGGAAGGCTGTGTTTGCGTGCTAATGGGCACATCCGTGGAGGATTGCCCTGTGAATTTTGTATTCTGAGTCTTCTCTTCCTCTCGGGCGGGGTTGAGCCCTTCCGCAGCAGGAATTGTGAGTTGCGGTGGTAGATACGGCCTCGGAACGTCAAGTTCTCAGTTGGTGAGTACGTGCCTGGTTGGGATGAGCTGCGGCGGTGGGTAGGGTCATGGACGGTGTGAAAATGGGGGCTGCCGGGGTATGCACCTGTAGCTGTCGAGCTGGGTGGGCTTGGCAGGGTGTGGAAATATGCTCTGGCGAGGGCGGTGAAAAAATCGAGGTAGACGAGACAGAGGCGCAGGAAGAGGGTTGCGAAAGCTATAGAGATGGTAATTGTTGCAGTGAAGGCGAGCGGGATGATTATCAGGAGAGCTATGGGGAGGATTATTAGGTTGGTTATGTAGATGCCCAGCATTGTGATGTGCGAAGTGGAAGGGATGGTGATGTCATCCATTTGAAGCTAGATGGGGAGGAGAAACAGCACTGGCCCTGCAATGAGGGCGCCAGAAGAGCAAATGGCTCCGTGTCGGTCCATCACGGCATAGTAATATAATAATTTTTTGAGATATAAAACGCTTGGGTATAGAATGAATGTCGATGGAGAGAGAGAAGACGTTGCAAGGGCGAATCAAGAGCTTCGGCCAGCTTGGCTGATCGATAAGATTGCGGGCGGCTTGGCGGCTGACATAACCCGAACTTTACTTCAACCTCTTCCAACGCAACATCTGTTTGTATCTAGATAATAGCTGGTGCTGAATATCTGGTTAATTCTGATCTTTGAAACCGCGGGAGAAGGGATCAAGTGTTTGGCGGTAGTGCCTAGTGCCGCATCTTCATCCGGGTGCAAAAATCAATGGATACTCCTTTTCCTTGGCATTTAGGCGTTTATGATGCCCATTGTCATCCGACGGACACGATGGCGTCGATTGATGATATTGCTCAGATGAAGACAGCTACTTTGACGATCATGGCAACTCGTGCACAAGATCAAGAGCTGGTTGCTCAGTCTGCGTCGCGATATCCTCCAGTCCAAGGCTCTGGTGACCCAAAGCTAAGAGTCCTTCCCTGCTTCGGATGGCATCCTTGGTTTTCTCATCAGATTATCAATGATGCCAACACAGAAATATGCAACGACACCATTGTCTCCAAAGAACATCATTACAAGCATGTTTTGACTCCCCCAGTCAAGGATGAAAACCTGCTGCGTGCTCTCCCGCAACCATTTCCCTTGTCGAAATTGATCTCTGAAACAAAAGCTCGGCTGGAGATGCATCCTCACGCTCTTGTCGGAGAGATCGGCCTAGACCGTTCATTTCGCATCCCAAATGCTGGGTTTCCTCACGAGATTGACAAAGACAGAGACACCAGCCTCACACCAGGCACGCGGGAAGGAAGAACATTGTCTCCTCATCGCGTCACCTTAACCCATCAGAAGGCAATTCTCAAAGCCCAATTGCAGCTCGCGGGGGAAATGCAACGGCCTGTCTCTATTCATAGCGTCCAAGCACATGGTGCTATTTTCGACCTCCTCCAGGAGCTCTGGTCCGGCCATGAGAAGAAAGACGTCTCTAATCGACAACGCAGGAGAAGGCCAACTGTAGACAAAGCTAACGACCTTAGCGACCATGAACAGGCTGAAGATAAAAATAGACCGTCAAGCCCTATGTCATATCCTTTTCCACCACGGATATGCATGCATTCGTACTCTGGGCCTCCAGACGCGCTGAACCAATTCCTCCGGAAATCCAACCCAGCTGATATATATTTTTCATTCTCTAACGTCATTAATTTTGCAAATGATTCTTCGAAAAAGGTCGCCGAAGTGATCAGCGCCCTTCCTGATGATAGAATTCTAGTCGAGAGCGATCTTCACTGCGCTGGAGAGAGAATGGATGACTTGATGGAAGCCATTGTGCGTCGGGTATGTAAGATCCGTGAATGGGATCTGGAACAGGGTACTCAGATCCTTGGTGAAAACTGGAAGAGGTTTGTTTTCGGATAAACATTGCAAAGAGATAGGGTTAATGGAGTGAGTTTCCGGCCTGCTAAAACTCTTTCCTCGCTTGTCCATGTTTCCATAAGCGCGACCAACTGCGGACTATTCGTTAGCTCCCGGACAGGAATCGGTGTCGGTATTTGAAAGACCAGCATACGCAGTACAATACCACCGATTGATTTTGTGTTAACATTTTCACGACTTAATCTACGCCGGTAGATCCCGGTATTTTCGTTAGAGCCACCCTAATATTTTAGTGCCCTGCTAACGATCATTCTGGGGGTTTACGTGGCATTCTCGCGTTCAGCGCGTTTTTCATCATAGTTGATAGAATGAATATCATATTAATATCTTGTATAGCCACCCCCTGCCTCTATAACTGCCTGACAGCGAGCAGGCATCTCTGCTATGAGCTCTTGTAGCTGCTCTCTTGTTATAGAGTCCCAGGAATTTCTAACCACCTCTCGTAGTGCATCATAAGAAAGATTTTCCTCATTCCCATGATTCTCCTGTATCCACTGCTTCATAAGATTCCATACAGCTTCAATTGGGTTCAGATCAGGAGAATATGGCGGTCAATCTATAGGGGTGATTCCATGTTCCTGAAGATCTTGAGAAGTCTCTGCTGCAGCATGCCCTGGAGCTCCATCTTGCATCAATTTCAATCCAGGATTCATTTGTATCCATCCATGAATGAGAGGGACTATACGTTCACGATAGGATGTCTAGATTGATTGATATAAAAGATGATAGATTAGCACTGTTATACTGAGTATTATAGTCATATTGTAACCAACCTTATTGATTGTTCCCCAATCCTTTTCCCAGAATAGACAAGGCCCCTTTGTAATACCATTAAAAGATCCCCAGAACATCCATCCTCTTTTTCTCTGAATCTTATTCATTAAACAGGTAGGATTCAGTGATTCTCCTGTCTTGTGAGTCACCCAGGTTCTTGTATAGCGGCCAGATTTAACCCAAGTCTCATCAGTCCAAAGAATGATTGACCACTGCTCAAAGGTCCAATGTTGATGATCCAATGCCCACTGAAGTCGAATAGCTTGAACTTGTATGGATAGAGGAGGCTTGTGTAGAGCTATTCTGCAAGAATAACCTCTTCTCTATAATGCTCGGCCCAGACACTTCTCATTGATCTCAAGATGAAGAACAATAACAAGCTTTTTATATGACATTTGACGGTTGACTTTGGAAGCTGTAATAAACTGTTCAATCTCATCCAACTGCTCATCACTGAGTTGACTAGGACAACCAGCATGTTTTTTAGGAGTAGCTACTTGAAGTTCACAGGTGTATTGAACTCCTCAATAGATTATCTCAAGATGATTGGATATTCTCTCATAGGTCCATCCAAGGCTGCAAAGAAGAAGGATATCTTGACGTTGATCACGGGTTAATCGCTTGGTAGGAGGTGTAATAGGAGCTTCAAGGGGTGCAGGAGCTTCAAGAGCAGCAAGTAAATCCATCTTAACAAGAGAATGAGTATAGATATTGCGTACGAAGAAAATAATAAGAATGAGAAGCTGAATCTTTGATTTGTATGGGGATATTTGAGGACGCGCCCCCCCAGAATGATGGTTAGTAGGGAACTAAAATATTAGGGTGCCACTAACGAAAATAAAGGGGTATACCAGCGTAAATACGGCATTCCTGAAACCACTTAAATATGGCTCACACAACCAAAGTACGAAAAGCAATGCAGCTTTTCACCATGTCTCAAGGAAACTGATCCCTTTCTCCTCTCGGCATTTTCGGCGTTTTGTTAAATAATCTACATGGAAATTTTGATTGACTGTGATAAAGGCCGTGAAATTTATGGCGTGTCACGCTCCCAACTGCTGTTGAACAAGCTTTGTCCCCGCGCATAACATGACTAACTCCGCTTGGGGAATAGTGCCGTGAGATCTACAGACCATCCGCCTGTATGTCTCAAAAAAGGGGTTGCACAGAAAGTTTCCACTATTGTATGATGGGTGATCTGAGGGCATTGGTCGACTCCGAGAACAAACAGAATAAGAGACCACATGGGCGATGACGACCGATTGTAGACGCTTTCAACTTGTTTTTGGGATTGCAAAATAACATTTCCAATCATTACTCTTTGCCCGCAAAATGGGCATTATCAAGAGTTTGAGGTTGGTGTTACAACGTTGAGCTCACAGGACCTGTTGGTGCGTACAGTACCCCGTACTGTGCCACCCAACTCAGTCTATCATGTCGATCAAATTCCCTCCAATCATATTCGTGTGTTGAAATGCAGCACAAATGATAGCAACACCAAAAAGCCACTTCAATAGAGCGTGCTATTATCGAGGTCTTCAGCGACACTCGGCCTTTGTGTGGCCGCAACATTGAACTTTCCTAGTACATATGTCCTTCCTATGCCTTCTTTCGCTTTCTTGTTTTTGCTTTTTGTACGGAGTACTCTTTGTTACTCGACATCTCGCGCTCGTGCTGGTACTAGATTTACTATGGATGATCTGTAACATCGCTAATCCAATTGTGATACGGTGTAGAGAACAGAGAGTGCCGCCAGGGGATTCTAGACAGCTTCAGATTCCCCTAAATGATGATATCTCCTTTCTTGGATGGACACTTCCTTCAATTGCTCCTTGCTTGAGAGTGGTATGCTACCATTCATACTCTCAAAAATGACAGGGATATTTGACTATGGTATATAAATTCTACCACGCTGTATTTGCCGATGATGTCGACTCCAGAAAATCATCTTATCCTTAGAACTCCCTGCAGATAGACATCGAGTTCCAAACCCCTGATAGGCGTAAAGGGTGCTTTGCCCAGTCGGCCCGCCATGCACGGAGGCAGCCACATAGCTAACCCTGGTGACATGGGGTTTGAAATCTGCGGCTTGTCAAGCTGCACAGAATCACTATAACGCAAATCTTTAGTTGATTACGAGTACCCGTGATCCTGGCTCGAGGGAATTACTCATACTTCCGTCTATACACATGATTCCCTTTTCTTTTTCATTATATTTTGTTCTTTTCGAGGATACAGACCTTCTCGTATGTCAATCCCAGAGCCAACAGCATGGAATAAATAGCTGGCATTTGAGTGGATATCCGACTTAACGTCATCTCTAAAAAAGCGCGTCAAGTCGATTCCTGGCGATAATTTTCGATGAAAGGCTGTTAATCATAAGATACGTTCGTCGGAATTTGCCCGTCGCGTTTCTTGTGGACGGAATATCAACATTTCAAATGGCATCGAACAAACCTTTATAAGTATTCGGCGACTAAAGTGCACCCCATATCCAGTTCCCACCTTCCGATGTATAACTTCTCCGAATCCCTACACTGGGGTAGTTTCCTAACCACTGTTATCTCTATCAACATCTTTTGGTGGATCTGGGACATCCCTCTGATATGGAAACGAGGGTTCCGTGCTTATGTCGATGCGATTACCTGGGAATGTGTGCGACTTTACATGCCTTCTATCGCAGGAGCTTTTGCGATATACCATACAGCCAATCGCGCCCGCTGGCCAAAACTCTACTATTTTGGTGGCCGAGATGAATCGCGTTTTGAAGGTATGACTGACACAGAGGTTATAAGGATTGTTATCACGGATTCCTTAACCATCACCGCCACTGTTCTGACGATCTCCAAATTTTACATCGAGCCATCGGATTCGATATTCAACACAGCTCTGTGGGCGTTCCCGAGCCTCCAAGTTTCTCTGATCGGTATCTGGATTGTCGGTGCCTCATATACCAAAACATGCCCAATACGAAATATCCTTTTAGGCGGAGCGTTGTTTGTCTTCGCGATCGGCATATGCATCGGAATTATTTTGATGTGTTCAAGTTTGACACAGCTTCAAGCGTGGCTGCCGACAACGATGTTGTACTTTTTCATGGCTTCGCCCTTTTGCCTGTACACGCATGGTGCGTTTGTCACAGTCATCGTGCTGATGGCGACAATGGCTCGGGTTGGAGGTTTGGCTATTACTGCCCTGCTTCCAAGGCATGCAATGCCGTCGACATCAATAAAAAATCCATTATTTGGAACTGTATACCTCGCTGTAGGGCTAGTTGGGGGAATTTTAGCAATTTACGGCAGATTGCGGTCAAGGCATATATGCATGATTTTGAAACAGGATGGAACGATACCTGACATGAATACTTCGATGTTAAGTGTAAGTTTTGACCCCGATATATTGACTCATTTGATTTATTCCCCATTCCAACCCCGTAGATATTCCTAATTAATAGGGTCTGGTATAGAATGGAGTAGCGTCATTGGATGTGCTTCAAACTTGGCTGCGCGGAAAATGTGGAAGGAAACACGTTTCTGAGAAGGATGGAATGGCTGTGGTAAGAACCAGAACCCGGGGTTGAAATTTTCGGCTCCTTGGTGCATCAGTATATATAACTGGATGATTGGGCAATAGGGACGCACAATATGGCCTCGGCAAAGTGGAAATTATCAGGTACGGTCTCCCCTTCAACACCCGAATATGGGAAGACCCCTCCCCCCCCACCCACCGAGGTCCCACCCCGCTAACATCACCTGAAACCTTGATAGCCAATAATACAACCGCCGGAACGAGCCTATTTTTCCGAATTAATGGTGGAGGTTAGAACTCACCACTCCCCAAACGTATCATTCCCGTACTTCTATCCCTGGTACATTGGCTGATTGTTTTAAGGAATGCACTCGACGATCGCTACCTGTTCATGATTCACCGGATGTGGTATGCCGCTGGCCCTGAAATTATCCCCGAGAATCCCTAAAGAATAAGACAAAAGATAGAAACAATATCTGTTCAACAACGCTAATAGAAACACACCTTCATTTTTTGCTTGCTTTTAGGGAGTCTGGGGACATATATCAGCTCGGCGAATACCGGCGGACGAGATCCATGTTATCAATGCTCCCAAGTATTCCGAATCTATAGAGTCTGCATTCTTCAGTGGGAGAGCACGGGCGCGGTCCATACGGATAAAACGGAAACCGGTCGGAAGCGGGTCTTTGACAACAGTGCGTAATAGAGATCCCTCCCCCCCCCCCCCCCCTCCCCGGCAAAAACTGGCTGAATCTAGATTAAGGAAAATCGAGCGCAGAGAAAAAGTCTAGCTTTGTGCATAGCTGACAACAATTAATTTTCCGAAGAGAACTACCCCATGGCGAAATGACGACAATGACAAATATATCACAAACGTGAGGAATTCAATTTGATTTTATTGACTTTTCCTCCCCCTGGACGTTTTTTTTTTTTTTTTTTTTTCGGTCGCGGCTTTCGCCATATCAACTGATCCGAATTCGCTCTTCTGCGGCCTCCTAGAATTAATTATCTGACGTCGACATACCTTTAACAGATACAGAAACCAATATCAGTTACATACCAACCACACAATAACACCAATAAAGTAAGACATGTGGAAAGAAGCTGGACAGTAATAATAATGACCCATCAGCGCTAATAATCTATTAACCATCCACATAGCTTTCCAACGAAGCGGAGCTCGCTCAGCCCACGAAACAGCAGCTAGCCCATTCAACACCGCTTCGGGCCTCTAGTTGCCAGGTACGTTTTGTTGCTCTTGTTGTTGTCCATCGACCTAACCGACAATTCCCGCATCCATACTTTGTTTATATGTATACTATGTATATATATATACATAAATAAAAGCATCCACACACTAACCATTCCCCACTTTACATACAACAAGTAGCAACCGGGCAATAAGCGACGAGCACGATACTTCGAAGCCGAGGCCGGCAAGATACACATAGGCACACGAGCGTGGCAGTCCAGCCCCCCGGTCCTGAAGTCGAAACCCCTGCCGAAACCACCCGCTGCCGCTACCGCCGCCGTTACCGCCGCCAGCCCCGTGATCAGGTTGAAGAACTGGGCAAGGGGTGAGGGTTGACGTTAGTGATGACGATGTTATTTATTTATTTATGCCTTGCTTTCGTTTTTTTCGTAGGGGCCTCTGCACCCTCTGCGTCTTCTTCCCCCCTTTTTTTTTTTTCCTTCTCTCTCTCTCTCTCTCTCTCTCTCCTTTTTTATACGTCCTCTTTCGCGGAATACACCTCAAAGAATCGCAGGGAATACATTTATTTGCCTTCATTCCCTGCAGTACGCACGCGATTCCATAAAATCCCCCTCTGCTCTGCTCTTATTTACCTACTTAATGCGAATTAATGGCTAATGTTTGGATATATTATATTTGTATTTGTGGGGGAGCGGGGATGGCTGGTGTGTTGGTGTGGGGTGTGGGGTGTGTGTGGGGGGAATGAGGTGAGGATTATTATCAAACGCAGCCTAGAAGGGCCCTGATAGGGTTAGATATAGATATAGATATAGATATAGATATTGATTGTGGATCTTGGGAAGAATTGTCTGGTGGCTCTCCCTTGTGGTCCAGGGCGTTGCAAACGATGGAGGGAAAAGCAAAAAAAAAAAAAAGAAAAAAGAAAAAAAAGGAAACCAGTAAACGGCGGGTTTATGATTTTCGATCTATAGTTAAGGGACGTGCAAGTCGTGCAAGCCGTGCTTTGGACGTATATATATATACACAATACACTAGGGGCGCAAGCATGCCACGTTCACTCTATCCTGGTGGATTTTCGGGTTTCTAGATATCTTCTGACGGGGGGAGGGAGGAGGTTGGTTGTGTGGTGGAATAACGAAAGGGATGCGAATACAGCAACCCAAAAAGGAAATAAATAATAAAATAAATAAAAGTAAAAGTAAATGGCCACTGCACCCACCTCTATCCACGGCCTCCCCCGGCTTTCTCGAAATAGTATATATACGTACCAACCGCGCCTGCTCACTTCTTCTCAGCGACATACTTCCCCTCCCTCCCCTCCAACTGCGCCTCCAACACCGCGGCCTTCCCAGCCTTGACACTCTCGACAGCCTTGGGCAGCAGATCCGCCAACTCCTGCACCGACGCCGCACACCCAGCCCACAGCTCCCCCCCGGCCGCCGCCTTTGCAATGCCCGCATAATCCGGGGTAGGCGCAAATGAAATATTCAGCTCCTCGTTCGTCGCCCTCGACGCGTCCCCGTCGGGATGGACCAGCAGCATGCTACGCTTCGGCGCATTCCACCCCTTATTGTTCAGCACGACAGTGAGCACGGGGATGCTGTACCGGCGCGCAATCCAGTACACGGAGCCGGGCACGCTGAAGAGATACGTGCCGTCGCCGACGATCTGGCAGACGAATTTGCCCCGGCCCCGCCCGCCGTGCTGGTCGTCGGAGGCCAACTTGAGGCCCAGGGCGGCGCCGCCGGACCAGCCGAGCCCCCCGCCGCCGCAGTTTACCCAGGAGTTCGGCAGCGTGACTTGCAGGTGGTCGGCAACGAAGCCGGTGAGGGTCACGGCTTCGATGCACCAGATCGTGTCGGCGGGGCAGGCGGCGCGGATTTGAGAGATGAGGTAGGCTGCGTTTAAGGGAGCGGTGGGGCCGCCGGTTGGTGTTGCGGCTTGTGCGGCCAGGGCTTGCAGTCGTTGCTTGTGGGCGGCTTCGATGGCGGCGCGGCGGGAGGTGTATTCCGAGGCTGTGAGGGTTTTGAGGAGGGAGTTGTTGCTGGAGATGTGGTGGTTAAGCTGACGCAGGGCGGTGGTGCAGTCAGCACGGTAGGTGGCCTGGGCGGGGAGGTAGAAGACGGGCATTTGCTGCTTCAAGGGGTCGATATCGATATGGAAGATCTTTGCGGATTCCGAAGGCTTGCAGAGGCTAGGGATCCAGGGCACATCGCAGTCGATGACGAGGATGACGTCCGCGGTGGGGATTTTCTCGTGCACTCCGAATCGAAGGCCGAGGGATGCGGGGTGATCGGCTGGGAAGCACATGTCACTTCCGCCAGTATCGATAACCTGGAGGCCATGCACGGTATCTGCGAGACGGACAAGCTCGGTCACGGCAGACGCAACTCGTCCGCAGTAGGCCGTAATCACCAGCGGCTGCTTGGCGGATACCACGAGCTCGGCGATCTCGGCGACCGCATCTTGAGGGAGCGCAGCGGGAGCAACGGGCTTCCACGTATCTCGGTTGATGGTGTATGGCTCGATTTCCTCCTCCAGGACCTCTCTAGCCCCGACCAGATACACAGGTCCCTGGGGACTGCTGGTCGCAAACTGCAGGGCCCTATTGACGATCTGCTTGACATTCCTACCGGTCTTGAACTCTCCGGAATATCGACAGTATTGAGACACGATTTGCTTTTGGTCCGGGACATCCTGGATCCAATGGATATACTCCGTGCGGGAGCCCCGCATCTCGCCCTCTAGCGTAAAGGGGGAGAGGCCGGCAAAAATCAAGACCGGCGCACGGCCACAGGAAGCATTGTGGACGGCAGCACCCAGCCCCTGAGTGCCCACATCGACATGGACGATGACGCACTGGGGCTTACCTGTAAGGCGAGCGTACCCATCGGCCATGGACAATGCCACCATCTGAACTCAAGCGCGGGCATCAGCAGTCCATTCGTTATTCGAGGCAATTTTTTTTTCTTTTTTCCCAAAAGAGTTTGCATGCCCTGGCGATAGCCGCGCATATAGGAAGAAGATGAAGCTGTTTCAAAACAACCTTACCTCATTGGGACATGTCATGATACTGGGGAATTGGCCTCTTTTCTCATTCTGGCCCTTGACAATGGCTTCCAAGATCGAGGGATGGTCCGAGCCGAGATTGACGAAGACGTGGGTGACCCCGGCCTGCAGGGAATGGTTATTAAAATACCAGTATCAAAAGAGATACTAAAGGGGGGTGGAATGGTGGGAAAACCAACCTCCCAGAGCGCCTCGAAGAACGCAAAGGACGCAGTGTACACCCTGTTGAAAACCATGACAATGGTACACATCAGCATGCAAAGACATCACGCCGGATATATGCAGGAAGGTTTCACATTTTATATATATATATGCCGTGCTGCTTAACAGCGGCGACCACCAGCAAGCTCTATCCTACTAGATAGCAGACGCGCCTAGCAGACGCCCGGCGGAACGGGGTGGATGACCAAAGAAATGTATATATATACGATCGAAGAGAAAGGAGGAGAGAGAAGAGGCGAGGTGACAACCAGCAAGATGAAGAGGAAAGAAGAAGAAGAAGATGAAGATGAAGATGAAGAAGAAGCTCGGATCGAGGGGAGAGGCTGAGTCAGCGACTGCTACAGCCGGTGCCGGGGAACGCGGGGGTGGCGCTAGGCGGTTCCTGGCCTAGTGCGGGGAGGCTGGTGGGGACCTCGGCCCAACGACCCAACCAGAAGCCGCCAACAGTCGCCGCGGCTTGGAGGTGGCTGTGGCTGGTGTCCGCAGTGGCTGGAGCTTCTTATAGTGACTGCTTACAAAGAATGACGTTGAGCATTCAACTATATCCAACTCCTTCAACTCCAACGTCACTGACCATTAGAACTTGATATGAACATCGGGCGATTCATTCAATGCCTCTAAGCTCCCTTGAGAATACCTGTTTCCTGGGTTTGGTATTTTGGAGAGAGTGAACCGGGGCGAGATGCTGTACCAGTCACTTTCCGCACCCTCCCTCTCTTCCGCACCTTCCCTCCACCCCAACCGTTGATGCCGCTGAGAATGTATCTCTCGTTTCCTTTCTCTCCTCTCTCTCCTTTCTCTTCCTTTCCTTGGGGATTGTTCCAGCTCCAGATCGGGTTGGTAAGCTTCTCGGTGGCGGGGTTCGCTGCTCTCTTAAGCTTCTGCTCCCTTGTCTTTGCACTGCTGCTGGCTCGTCCTACCAGTGTGCACTGGTCCTGCGACGACATGTTCTCGGAGTGGACGTACGAGCTTTGCCGGGACGGTTCGAATGTGACTTCGGAGCTTGCCGATGATCCTGAAACCACCCCTCGTGATGTTATCCACCGGCTATTCAAGCCCCGCAATGGTCTGTGCGGGAGATGCCAGCGCGGCGAAAGGCACAGGGGAATTGGACAGCTTGACCTACAGCAGGCATATCTGTGCGGGAAATGGGGCGCCAACAGGCCCAGCGATCTTTTCCTTCAAGTATGGAGAACCGTGGAAGATCAATTCAATTTTTTTGGTCGAATTGTTATTATTATTATTATTATAAGGAGGGTTTTCCCCCCCTTCTAACAGGAATGTTCTAACTCTGCAATCTTCGTACCAGATATATCACGATGTGCTCTGTACTCTGGACCGCAACCCGATGGCCGGGTGTGCTTCCCCGGCATTGCTAGGGAGCTCTGGTGTTGTGCCTTTGACTATCATTGCTCCGACTCCAGATGTCTGTCGCCATATGGCAAACTGTATAGTTCGCGCGGAGCAAGAGGTGTTCCTGGCCACAAATTTCTGGGTTTCATCTCGTTGCTCGACAATCATCACGGACGCTCTCAAGGAGCTCTCCGTTCGCGCTGGTAGACGGGGCACCGCAAAAGTGGTTGTTAAGATCATGTATGATCGCGCACACTTGAAACAGGTTAGGCTAAGCTGAAGTGATTTAATCCCGTATTGCATTGCTGCAAAAACGCTTTGTGACGCCTAACAACGGAGATAGATCATCAACAGTCGCCAGCTCGTTTATCCCCAAGCCGCCACCGATGTCCACGTGCAACTGCCACCTCCAGAACATATTCCAAACCTTGAGCTCGAGGCGATGAATTATCATCAGCCCATTCTAGGGACATTCCATTCAAAATTCATGGTAGTGGATCGGAGGGTAGCACTGCTTCAAAGCAGCAACATTCAGGTTAGCCACTGGTGATACGGGTGCATTTGTTTTGTTTCTTTCCTCCAAAATTGATGTAGCAGGAGTTAAATTAGCTCGCCTCTGATATATATATATATCTCTTTTTTTCTAAATTTGTTTTAGGACAACGATAATTTGGAAATGATGGTTCGACTGGAAGGCCCTATCGTCGATTCTATCTACGATATGGCCATTATCCAATGGAATGCCAAGTTGAGACCGATGCTTCCCATGGTTAATTCGCCAGCGGCGTTGGGCCAACCGCCCACTTTTGCTAATCCTGCTGCGCAAAAATCCCCCGAGAAAGAGGTGTATGCTGTCCCACAAGAAAGGTACGACCATCTGATCTCATCCTCTAATTGATTGTTACCTTGTCGGGTTTAACACGTTAATGGCTGTTGTCTTGAAGTATTCGATCGGAGGAAGTAGAAAAGCGGAACGAGCTTGGTTGCGACCGCGAAGAATATCAGCCCGATATTGAGTCGGAAGCCGCATGTATCCAGGCATGCCTCAGGCCCCGATATTCCGAGAATAAAGTCGAAAGCGTCACTCGCTACTTGAGTACGTATACGTATATATGGCCATGTATATGGTTTGTTTATTTACCCCGCTCACCCAATGTAGATGTTATCAAACGCCCTGATGTGACAGGCGATGCCCCTGAGTCGTCTGGCCAGGATGAAATGACACCTTACATCCTCCATGCACCCCATAATCCATTCCCAATGGCGCTGGTATGTCGAGAGCCATGGCCTGGTAGGTTTGACCTATGAAGTGAAGAGACTTTTTTTCCCGCAGCTAACTTCAGGAGCCAGCCTTGAATCATTCGAGTCTTTACACACCTCAAAACGTGGCATTCCTTTCAGCTATCCGCAGCGCTCAAAAGTCCATTTTCATTCAAACGCCAAATTTGAATGCAGAATGCTTGCTAGAGCCCATCCTTAATGCTGTTCGTCGAGGGGTTGTGGTAACCTGCTATCTTACCTTAGGATACAACGACCCAGGACAGCTTCTTCCCTTCCAAAACGGCATCAACGAAATGATATCAAATCGCCTATACAACTCGCTCAAATCCGAAAAGGAAAAATCACGGCTCCAGATATACAACTATGTGGCGAAGGATCAAACGAGACCTATTCATAATAAGTTCAAAAAACGGAGCTGTCATATAAAACTGATGATTATCGACCGGCACGTCGCGATTCAAGGTGAGAACTATGAAATGCGAAGCGGCATCAGTCCGGTTTCGTTTGTTAACAACGCAGTTTTCTAGGGAATGCGAATCTTGATACACAGTCGATTTTCCACTCTCAAGAAACGAATGTCCTCCTTGATTCTGCGGAGGTGTGCCAAACTTGGCTTGACGGCATCCGCAGAAACCAAAACACGGCTATATATGGCGCAGTTAGCCCACGAGATGGATGTTGGCATGATCCAGTGACGGGAGACATGGCGGAAGGCGCGATTGGAGTCAACCCCGGAAGGTTCAGTTGGATAAAGGGGTTTGTGGGGGCGATCAAGCGAGTTCGGGGAGTAGGTGCGTTCTGAGGGCATGTGGAGGTAGGTGCAAAATAAAGGTTTGTTTTGCACACCGTGTTTGAAGCCTTGCTATAAAAAAAAAAAAAAAAAAGAGAGAAGTTTCGTGGATTGCACCCTGGTCGTTCGGTTTTATCCTCATATCTCGATATAAGATATGTCCGCTTTTCCCTTTTTTTTATCATTTTTACATATCATCCCGGATGTACTGTGCAAGCAGCAGGAGCGAGTCTCAAAACAACCAATGATCCACGCAACAGCTTCTACGGCAGGATCCATAGTGAATTGAACAAACTCAGCACATAAACTTCACTTCTTAGTTGCGGCTTTTCTGTCCCAATTCATGCATATATGGCATAGCAAAGTCCGAAAGACTAAGACGCATTTTCAACGGGGAAAATCACGAATGTTTCAATCCGAGTACCTGCACTTGGACTTTGGGTTACTCCACTTATGAAGGGGTTGTGTGGATCAGGGAGCTGGCGGCGCGGGTTTCGTCTTTGTATTGTTGTATTGTTGGTATTATCCTTCAACGATTTTTTTTTTTTTTTCTTTGGTGGGTTTAAAAATGAAGAAGCATGAAGGAAAGAGGCATAAATAAATAAATCAAATCCGAAACTGTGGGTTGGAAAGGGGTGTATGGGTAGGAGAGGCAGAGGTTTTCTTGTATCAATTAATTTACGCACAGGTAAAAGAAATGCTGTGGAAGGACTGTAAAATGATATTAGGGAAGTTATGTTTACGCAGTACGCTCAGTAGAAAGCAAGCAAGAAAGAAAGAATGAGGCAATGAAGTATACGCTGCGTATGTTGGCTTTTTATCTTTCTCTCTCAATACTTCGAGTGGCCCACCGTTCACATCATCAGTATCATCACCAATGATTCAGCAGGAATTTGTATTTTTTCCCTTCTCTTCTCTTTTCCTTTTGTTCATTATTTGCTGCGATTCAAAAGAGAGACGGATTTTAGCAATTCTGCGGCCTGCCGCCCGCTTGCAGAACTTGCTCATTAAGATTTCAGGGCCAGGGAAGCTCCTCTCGCTTGCTTATGATCTGACCGTGGAGTTAGTTACATAGTAGAAGCTGTGGCTTGCACACACACAGCTCTTTGGCTACGCAGTTAACGATCACGGACGCTCGGCCCTTTCCTGAGACACCGACCAACATCCTGCTGATTTATCACCCACGACAGCCCATCCCAGTGGAAGCATAGGTAGGCTGGGCCCCCACAGGCTGTGTTCGGTGATATTTTTTTCGTTCGTTACCAGTCCGGGTTAGACTAGACTAACTTACTTGCTTGAGCTGATGATGTATCGTATGCGCAAGTAACCTACGGAGTAGTATCTCTGTATCAGTAACTCCGTAGTATTGTTGGCAGATTGTTTCAATTTATGTTCTCATTTTTGATCGACCTGAGTCGCGATTCCCTTGGATTTTTTTTCTTTTCTTTTCTTTTTTTTTTTTTTTGGAAAAAGGAGGAAGAAGGAAAACGAAGAAGAATGGGATCATTGTATGCTCCTGGATTGGCGTCGGCGAGTTAGGGCTAGGTTTTGCCGCTTTGGGACATGCTGACAAAGTGACAAGTTGGAAACCAGCGCCAGCCCCGTCCCCGATTGAAGACTCGATAACAGTGTGATAACATTCTAAAAATATCACCGACCGGTGTTATCTTCATTCCGTCCTCGCCTCTCTGACTGGGATAAATGACCGGGGGGAAAAAGAGAGAAGAAAAAAACAAAGAAAGAAAGAAAGAAAGAAAGCGCTAGAACAGCTTCTCTTCGGGATTCAAGTCTCGTGCTCGCTCAAGGATGGACAGCCCAGTTTTGCTATTTTTGATGCTGCGGACGCCTCTGTCGAAGGTGTCGGCTGTCTAATCTGGCCTTCTAAAGAGGCTGGAAAGATTGGCCGGAGGAGGGAGATTGCTCCTGCGTAAAAGTACTATGAAAGGAGCAAGCAGGGCTCGAGCTCTGCCCCCCGATGGATTGTCATTGTCATGCTTGATTGAGTGTTGAAACCAGGGCTATCTATCGAACAGTGTGGAGCCCCTGCACCCAACCCTGGCTACTGACCTTGCCCCCTTGCCCCAATGATCCCGATGATTTGGAGGGCATTTACCTGCCTGAATCTCTAGGGGAATGAATCTATGTTCCAGCCTTCCGTACAGCCCACGTCGGTGAGCTTTCTCCCGGGGTGTGCGATGTACAGTACATGCACCGCCGGGGCCATGAAGCTTATCTGTTGGTGGAGAAGAGGGAAATACCAGGAGAAGTGCAACAGGCCAAAATGTCTCCCCAGGGATGTATTAACCGGCTTTTTGAGGCAACGCATGAAAGCATTGCGCCAAGTGCATGACTCTTTGGCACTTGATAGTGCGAAGCGTAGTGTCATCATCAAGAAGATTTTTATTTTTTATTTTTTATTTATTATTTTTATTTTTATTTTATTTTATTTTCATTCTATTGTTATTTTTGGTTATTTATTTATTTATTTATTTCAATTGAGAGGACGAGATATGTGTCTGACAAGAGAGCGGAGCTTGTGGAGATCAGTCAAGCCTCCTTGTCAGGCGCTGAATCTGCGGAGATTAGAAACGATCCCTGGCGAATTAGAGGGTCGCTGGGCGACATCCTAGGTATTAGCTGCTCCAACCTTGCAAAACTTCCACACAGACATCCCGCCCTGTTACTCTTTGACCAGGTGCTGACGAAAGAGTACAGAACTGACGATGGAGAACGATGGAAGGTGAATACGTGCTGCCAAAAGGAACATACAAGTAGTCCGCCAGTGAGCAGGGAAACTATAAGTTACGGTCTGGTATGCAGACTACATACATCGGCGAACAGTCATTCCACAGCAGCCTTAATGGAAGAGTATCAGGACGTGCTGTCCTCGTACCGTATGCAGTACAGATTACATGGACGATAGCTATACTAAAGGCTGGGGACAGCCCAAGCCGTGACTGCCCAGTGACCCTTGCCCAACGCCTTACCCCTGACGCTAAACTCCCTGCTTCCTCGGGCCTTGGTTAACTAGACGATGTCATTAGTATGTAAGCTCGAGGGAAGCTTCGCTCGCATTCGCTGATCCAACTCTAAAGCTATATTTGGAACTCAGCAGACGATTTGATTATCTTCCCCCGGCTAGTGTCTTCGCCGTTGATCCTAGCACGTCCGCTGCTTCTTCTCTGCATGACAGCTCGTCCTGGAGTTAATAATAGACAATCCCACTGAGAAGTAAACAGGCTCAGGGTTGTGCTGCAGGTTCGGCAATGGATCGCTTTTTTAATGAAACTACTGTTTTTGTTTCCGCTTCTAGCTGGGTCTCTGGCACGACGACATCGCTGAATGATGTTCTCCGGCTCTGACCCTCGGCCGAGCAGTAATACGACACCAGCGACAATAACGGTCATTTCACTTTCTCTAGTTCTCGATATGGGGAGCTTATGTGGGTAGGGATCCTCAGACCCAGTCCTCCCTTAGCGCTGGACATAAAAAATAAAACAAAAAAAATTCTTTATAAGATCCAGCCATGCCCCTATGTTCATCGAGTTATCATTCAACACAACAGATGACAAAAGCCATATGCAACCTTCCTTATATGTTTATATATTTTGATAAAATACCCGGTTTTTGTTTTGTTTCCAATGCATCTCTTCGACACATTTCTACCTCTCGCCCTGGTGGCGCTATCCACCACCACCGATGCAGCACCATTTCTTGAAGCAGGCACTGACGGCCAACTTATTCCCAATCAATATATTATCGTAATGAAACCGAACACGACAGACGAAAAATTCGAGACTCACCAGAGTTGGGTTTCTTCAAAGCTGGTAGCTGCTGATTCTGGGGTCAGTAATGGCGGTGTCAGCGACCACTTCAAATTCGACGACCAATTCAGAGCATACGCCGGTGTCTTTGGCGATGACACTATAAAACAGATTTCCGATGACGAAGACGTATGGACAATCCAAATTCCAAATCTAACAGATGTTTATGACTTCAAACCACTGACTGAGGTTTAACTCCCCAGGTTGCCTACATCGAACAAAACAAGGTTGTACAAATGCACCAGTTCGTCGTTGAGAAAAACGCACCGTCCTGGGGCCTTGGCCGCATCTCTGCCACCGAGCCTGGTGTCAAGGACTATATCTATGACTCGAGTGCTGGCGAAGGCATCACCGCTTATATTATCGACAGCGGTATCGACGCGAAGCATCCCGAGTTCGGTGGCCGCGCGACCTGGGGTACGAACACTCTCGACTCGCAAGATGAAGATTGCCGCGGCCACGGAACTCACGTTGCGGGCACCATTGGCAGCACTACCTACGGTGTCTCTAAAAGGATTAAGCTTATCGGCGTCAAAGTGCTTGACTGCAAGGGAACTGGATCAGCCGCAGCGATTCTGAAGGGTGTGAAGTGGGCTGTCAACCATGCTCAAGAGCATGGTGACCCTAAGAAGTCTGTCATGAACCTTAGCCTTGGAATGGGCTTCTCACGCGCATTCAACGAGGCTCTCGCCGCGGTTGTCCGTGCAGGTATCTTCGTTTCTGTGAGCGCCGGTAACGCACATGTAAGTTCCATTTCTCTCTTCCCTAGGGACGGACTCCTTTCAAGGGATCTCCTGCTGACAGGCTCTCTAGCGGGATGCGTCGAATGAGTCGCCTGCCTCTGAGTCAACTGTTTGCACTGTTGGCGCTACTGACGACAAAGACAAGATGGCCGGATTCTCCAACTTTGGCAGTGGTAGTAAGTTTGCAACGTAATATGATTTTTATCTTCTATTTTTCCTCTGGTACTGACTCAAACACTCTACCTCCAAAGTCGACCTCTTCGCACCCGGTGTTGATATTATATCCACTATTCCGGGAGGCAAAACCGACAGCTACTCTGGAACCTCGATGTCATCTCCCCACGTCGCCGGAGTGGCTGCTTATCTTATGTCTCTTGAGAACATCAGTGGCGGCTCTGTGTGCGACCGCATGAAAAGTATAGCGCAGGACTCCGCCGAAGGTACCCCCAAGGGCACCACCACCAAACTGCTTTACAACGGCGGAAAATCCATCAAGAAGGACCCAAAGCCCAATGACCCAAAGCCCAAAGACCCAAAGCCCAAAGACCCAAAGCCCAAAGACCCAAAGCCCAAGGACCCGAAGCCCAAAAAGCCAAAGACCAAGAACCCAAAACTATGCCATTCCAGGAGAAGCCGCAGAATGCTTGCATACTAATGTAAACGCTGGAAATAACCGAGCCCTTTTCTTTAATATCTTCTGTTTAATTTACTTCCCTTGGACCATGCTCTTGTTTTGCCATTACAACGTTTCATTTTCTCATGTACGATACCATACATTGTCCGAAATGCATATAGACCTAGCGCTGTTTTTTAAGAATTAAATCTATTGTTTTCATGATGCAAATTCTGCCTGATCCGTCATGGGTCTTCTGTCATCGTTGGAATGTTTGAATGCAGTGGGTTCGGGTTAAAGCTAACTGACACGGTTCTAATCCCAACCTCATCTTACCCTTTTGGGCCCATCGCCAATCTCAAGTGCATTCATCCCTTGCAAACCTGTGACAGTGCTTCATCTCGCTGAGCCCCTGGTGTCGCTATTTATAATATCCAACAACATGGTCGCGAAAAGTCGCGACAGGTCAAATGCAATGTCCAATAAAAAGAAAGAAAAAACATTGGCTATTGTCACTTTTCAGCGGAGCGTTGCCCAGAAATCAACTCAACGCGGAGATCCTCGCGGGAGGGAATGGTGTTCCGCTGAAGGGAGGGATCCACACAACACCAAGGCACTTACGCACTTGTATCGAGCGTCAGACTCGAAATGGGAAGGTCAAATTGCGCTCAAAAGACCGGCCACACCATGATCTGTCAAGGGAGCCCCCCGAGCCTAGTTCCTACTACGGTTCCCACCGAGCCCCAGTCCCGTTCTCCTTGCGCCGCTTATTCGATGGCAGATCAAAGTCACCCCTGGGGCCTTCCTTGGAGATGTGTCCCGTGCTAAGTCCGCCCGTAGCTTAAATTTCTGACCAGTTTTATTTACGACGTGGGGGATATATGAACCATCCCCATAACCTTCAATCTCACGAGTCACAACGATGCTGTTGTTGGCCATTCGAGCGTTTCGAGTCCACAAGCCCGAGGCCCAAATGTCTACTGTGCGTAAAAGCGTAGCGAGATCGTCCTTGGTAACTGAAATAAATACGCCCCCCTGGTACTCACTTTCCTCGTACCCCCAACCACTTACGGTGTTGGACAGCTTTAGCTGGTTGGTATTTTATAAGCGCATCCATGGGTGTAATGGGCCTTACCTACTATGTCAGCACGGCAGAGCCAGCGGCTGCGCACACCAAAACAAGATCCTACAACCCTGATCGAAATATTCCACAGTCAAAGCATTCTGAGTTATCCAGGGGGCGCGTTAGCGGCGTTATAACATGACCCCCCCAAATAACCCAGTTATCCCGGACGCCACCCAGGCCAAACCCCCCCTGGATAACCGAGTTATACGGGGGGGGTCTGCTTGGCATGTTATCTTGGCAGTTATTGGAGCTCCCGTACAAGATGAATGATTGAAGAAAAATAGTATGGGCAACAATCAGTTGATATCAATATGACTAGCTAGCTATATATATCTTTCTTCTATCTTCTATCTATAATCTGCTTGACTTCATTATATGAGCTACTGATTCTAGATGTCAATATAAAGATGTAAGCTATATCTAGATATCATACACAGACTTCATACAACTGAAGTAAATAGAAATTATATACATCTATATATCATCACTAGCTATCATCGCTAGATATCATCGCTAGATACCATCACTAGATATCATCGCTAGCTATCATCGCTAGATATCATCGCTAGATATCATCACTAGATATCATCACTAGCTATCATCGCTAGATATCATCACTAGATATCATCGCTAGATATCATCACTAGATATCATCGCTAGATATCATCGCTAGATATCATCACTAGCTATCATCGCTAGATACCATCACTAGATATCATTGCTAGCTATCATCATTAGATATCATTGCTATATAGACAGATAGACAGTCAGGTAGTCATCTAGTAAGTCAGTATTGTCAGATAGATAAGTAGCTAGATAATGATGTTTGTTTTCATAGAGAGGTAGACAGACATGCAGATAGATAGATAGATAGATTAGCAGCTATCTAGTATTCTTGATTCCATCAGTAATCAATCAGATATTGAGCAGATTGGTACAGATCTGTAGATAGATAGATAGATAATTCAGAGATAAGAATAGAGGCAGTCTGAGCCAATTGCAGTCTGATATTTCAAAAATTATGTGCTAAAAGTTATCGTGGGGCTTGGCTAACATACATAGTAACACAGGTTATAACGCCACCCAAACCCCCCTCTGTATAACCCCTAGTTATCCAGGGGGCGCGTTAGCGGCGTTATAACATGACCCCCCCAAATAACCCAGTTATCCCGGACGCCACCCAGGCCAAACCCCCCCTGGATAACCAAGTTATACAGGGGGGGTCTGCTTGGCATGTTATCTTGGCAGTTATTGGAGCTCCTGTACAAGATGAATGATTGAAGAAAAATAGTATGGGCAACAATCAGTTGATATCAATATGACTAGCTAGCTATATATATCTTTCTTCTATCTTCTATCTATAATCTACTTGACTTCATTATATGAGCTACTGATTCTAGATGTCAATATAAAGATGTAAGCTATATCTAGATATCATACACAGACTTCATACAACTGAAGTAAATAGAAATTATATACATCTATATATCATCACTAGCTATCATCGCTAGATATCATCGCTAGATACCATCACTAGATATCATTGCTAGCTATCATTGCTAGATATCATTGCTAGATATCATCACTAGATATCATCACTAGCTATCATCGCTAGATATCATTGCTAGATATCATTGCTAGATATCATCGCTAGATATCATCGCTAGATATCATCGCTAGATATCATCACTAGCTATCATCGCTAGATACCATCACTAGATATCATTGCTAGCTATCATCATTAGATATCATTGCTATATAGACAGATAGACAGTCAGGTAGTCATCTAGTAAGTCAGTATTGTCAGATAGATAAGTAGCTAGATAATGATGTTTGTTTTCATAGAGAGATAGACAGACATGCAGATAGATAGATAGATAGATTAGCAGCTATCTAGTATTTTTGATTCCATCAGTAATCAATCAGATATTGAGCAGATTGGTACAGATCTGTAGATAGATAGATAGATAATTCAGAGATAAGAATAGGGGCAGTCTGAGCCAATTGCAGTCTGATATTTCAAAAATTATGCGCTAAAAGTTATCGTGGGGCTTGGCTAACATACATAGTAACACAGGTTATAACACCACCCAAACCCCCCCCCGTATAACCCCTAGATATACTGCTCAGATATCATTGCTAAGAATGATAGACACTATAGAATCAGTGGACATACTGATGGAACACACGGTTTGTGAATTAAACTTGAAGAGAAGAAAAGAAAAATTTTTGATTTCTTATCCTGCTAGTTCAAACTGCACAGAGTATAAAATGAAGAACAAAGTAGAGAAAAGAAACGGACAAACAAGACAGGACGGAGAGCAACTGAATTCAAGAGTACACAGAATATAACTAATTAGAAGCAAAAGACGTGAAACAAGTAACCTGTATTGACAATGTACGTAATTATTACAAAATATATTATTAGTATGTATGGATATGTAGGATCGAGGATGAATAGATGATGTGTTTTTGGCCCCTTGAACATTCGTGCTTCCCAAAAGTTACATATACCCAGCAAAGCAATAAAACAAACAGGACAAAAAAGGAAACAGTTAGCACCCAGGCAGATTACAAAACTTAAAAAAAGAAATGGAAACAAAATGGTAAACAGAAAAATACTTAAAAAACCAAGCAAAGAGATGATGACAGGAACAAAATGAATCAAAGAGAAGAGTCGTAACATTACGGTGGCTGGACCGCAATTCTTTTTCAACCTTAAGCGGAGATTTTTGGCAATAATTGGAGACGGTTACCCTGGTTTTACATGTTGGCAAGTTCAGTATCGATCTGGCGATCTAAGAATGCTTTCTTTTCGCCAGTCAATGTCGTCTGCAATCGTTGTTCGACGAGAGCACGGACTATAGCCACAACTCATTAGATTACGAATGCGAATGGAAAGACCGAAGGGTAAAGTGACATAATTAATAAAACGTACCTTGTTTTTTGGTCACCGTGTCCAAGTCCACTTCAGACAGGCAGTTCTGAATAGCCTCCGTAATAGTTGCCTTATCTGGCCCTAGACCTTGTGCAGATCTGAAGTCCACCACAGTGCTCATTGGCCGAGGCATACCCAGTGGGCTAGGCATGCTTTGCCGTTGAGGTACTCCAAGATGAGTTTCGCTTGTCATCGGTCCAAGCCCGCTTAGGCGGCTTGCGCTTGCTGGGTTTTCATGGTAGCTGCTAAGATTGCCCATCGACAAATAACTTTGACTACGGCCGCCAAGGGGCTGATCCGTGTACCGTGAGAACGATGACAAGTGCGAACTTCTGTTACCGGGGATATTGCCGCCAAAAGGACTTGGTGAGTGTGGAGTCATATACGGTCCATGAGGTCCTTGGGCAGGGAAGCCGGTAAGGATTGTTGATGCCGGCTTCACTGACGAATAAGTTGAGTGCATATCATCCATCTCCATGGCCGCGTCATCAGCATAAACTGGCTGGTAAAACTTTTCCTGCCCGGAAGGAGAATTTCCACGACGACCTGGGAGGTTATTGGCAAGCGCGTAATCATCCCAACGTTGCAGAGGAATGCTTCTCGGATCGAAACCTTCGTCCTCGATAGCAATGACGCGTTTATCTCCTTTTTCACCGATAACGATGCGAGTATTTCCCCAAGTGAAATTATCCTGATTCCAGAACGAATACATAGGCAGAACAAAACTGTAAATCGGGAATGCAATGATATAGATTATCATCCATCCAATATGTTGCCACTGGCGTTTTATAATAAATATAATTGCCTGTAGGCCGTAAACACCAGCAATGATCGCAATCGAAATAATCGGGAATTGTCCACTATTGGTTGCAGCGAGGTAAATGATATAGACCAAATAAGCGCAGGTCGCTGGGAGAATAATTGTTCCAAAAAGATCAATAAACACCACAAATCTCATACTGAAGCAGCAGAAGCCGCACAAGTCTGAGAGGAACATTAATTCTGCTAGATTGTGTATAGTGGAGTTGATCCAGCGACGTCTCTGGGATAGCAGAACACTCCATGTTTCTGGAGCTGCAGTGTTTGCGTATGCGTCTGGAATGAATTTGTACCTCATGTTCGGGAAATGCTTGGTCATTAATGTTGTCAGATATCGATCTTCTCCGAGGGCCAAAAGATTTTTCTTGTGTAGTGTATCAACGTCTATGTCAGAATATTCGCTCAGAACCTTATCAGAGATAATCAACGGCCGGCCTTTATCAGCAGTGCGAAGACGATACATGCAAAAACTAAGAAAAGTTAGCGAACCAATGCCAAAAATTAGGAAAAGAGACACGAGGATTGATCATACCATCCAGGAAGACAAGTAACACTGCCAAACAACGACTCGAAAGCTTTCGCCAGGTGGTGGGAAATATAATACTCGTAAACTTGAATCATTGTCCACCAAGTACGTTCTTCATTCTCCAAACTGGTTTCACCACAGATACCGGCAATTTTAGAATCATTCGCGCAGCTCGCTACAAGTCGGTTCAACGAATCTTCTTTCACACTCGTGTCAGCGTCAACCATGAAGAGATACTCGTAAAGCTCAGGATCAACTCCGATAACGTTGTTGATTTGGTGGAATATTTCAAGCTCGAGTGGTGACATTGCTGAACGATGGTGTACCCTGTTTAGGAAGCTCATAATCAAAACTTGGGAGTCTCGCTTCCCTCGGTTTCCCGGTTTCGATTTGGTTTGTTCGGACTCCTTTCCAACCTTGACAACAACAATGTAAGGAACAACATTGCCTTCGAATTCATAGAGACCAGAATACACTTTGCCATAGTTGAGTTGATCGCTTCCCACGCCCACAGACTTAAATGGGAGCGCGGGAGGATCGATTTTTGGATCGACACCCAAGATATCGAGCACAATTTTTGGAGTTGGTCGATCATTACCACCTCCAACAATCATACCATCGCAGATCACGAAAATAAGCTTCCGCTTATTGTCATACTGGAGAGCTGTGAGGGAATCGAGTCCTTTCCGCAGTTGGTCTTCTCCCTCGGTGTACGCGGGAACTTGACAGATAACAAATTTATCTTGCATCGAAGGTCGCCGTTTGGTTCCAAGCTGGAGCGCAGCAACGAATTTGATAAGAATAACACCAGCAAGTACGCAAGTGAATGCAAGCAGGATATAATTGTTCACTTGGCATCTAGCTGTTTTTCGGAAGTCGGTTTTGCCAAGATAAAACTGATGCTTCAAACACCAATAGCTGTTCTGGAAGTCAACGGTACTCTCCCACTTGTCGGTTATGTCCTCACCCGGGTTATTCAAGAACAACTGGGTGACTTTATCAGGGAGGAAATTGTAGGCCTGCAGATTGTTCATCAGTTTAACGGTGTAGAAATAGTCCGTTAGATCAAACACTTCGCCGGTTAGTACGACCCAAAACCGTTGGTCTTCTTCCGCCTGTTTCTGTAATTCAGCCTTGTCCCAAACCACATCCCCTTTGTAATACTCCTTGATTCTTGGTAAGAAATCATTGTTATACCAGTTGATATCGTGCAATTTGGATTTGGGGTCACGCTCATTTAAAGGACCAGAGGAGTGGAGAGCATTTGGATATAAAACGGCGTCGGTCTGGTTGTGTTGAAGCTGAACATAATCGGCTATGCCGAAGCCGCGACATGCCACAGTCAGTGGAACGGGAAAGTAAGCATCCATATTTAAACCACGGAACGGATCCATTGCAGTCCTGGAAGTGTCTCTAGTTGTAGCGTGCGGAACTTTCCAAAACTTGCTGATATCATACACGATCCCATGGATACTGACGTAGTAGTCATTATCCCCTTGGTGGTAAGTGACTTCTTTCTCAGACCAGACTTTATCTTTATTCGGGCAGAGTAAATTTCCAAAACCAATAATCCAAAAAACCATTATGGCGTTCAGGAGAAGGATTAGAGCCATGAGAGTAACCTTTTCTCTCCAAGCCATTCGAACATCTGGGCGTTTCATACGGCCAACATATCGAAGGACAAACGAAGGAATCCAAAAAGTTGCCGCCCAAACGAAGCCTGCCCACAGACGCCGAGACAAGGGAATTTTTTTCTTCTCGATCTTTTTCGGGTCACCAAATTCAGGATCCATTTGCCCAGTGAATACACCAAGATCTTGATCGTAGTATTGGGTATCGTGTTTTCTGTCATCTCCCTTTGGGCCAAGGCCGTAATCTCCCAGTGCGGTTTGGCCAGGCTGGCCAACAGTAGGTGCGATGGAACGAGCTCCCCCCAAAGCACTCCGAGACATAGTTGCCACGCTCTGCCTTTGCATAAGATTTTCACGACTGTCACCAACACTGATCTCTGGCTGAAAGAAGCCGCTGGCATTAGGTGGTGGGGTGGGAGAATATGGGGTGTCAAAGGGGGTCATCACAGGATTGAACGGATCCTGTGGGATATTTTGCGGTTTCAAATCCAGCATCGACTCAGCCTCCCACCATGCATTCTCTCTCATCCAAATTCTCTCGTTGCCGATAACCACATCACCATTGCTCCACCCTCTTTCTAGGATCCAGTTCTCCACTCCGTCCTTTCCTTCTTGGCATCCAAGCCGAGAATACCTCGTGACAAATTCTTCTACATCGAAATCTGCCGTGAAATCAAGGTGTTTGTTTCGACGGTTGGCCCATTCGGGGAGCCTCCATGCGCGAAGTTGGCGGGAGACAGTTCCGGCAGACCAAGAGGATGTAACGGATGGTAAAGATGCCAAAGTGGCAGGTGGATCGTCTGTGGGATGAAGTGCGACGTGATACCAAACTCTGCTGCTTCCTAGAGTATTGGTGAGGTCAAAACGGCCCTTCTTGCCAAGACTAATGCCTTCATTTTCAACGGAATATAAAATCTGCCGAAGAAAACTGCCCGTTTCAAGTTCCAATCCGACTTTTTCCAAAACACCTTCTTTTCTATCGTACTCTTGTTCTCGTTCACGGGTTGCCGCGCTTTCCGGAACCCCCATATCGGCCTCAACCTCAGCGATTGCATTGTGCATTTCCTTGATCACAGACTGTCCTGGGGCAACAACTTCGATTCCATCTTCTTTCATTTCAGCATTAATACCAAGGGAGTCATCGAAGACTCCCCTAAGGGCGATGGCTTTTCCTAACGCTGGATCTGGAACCTCAACGACTGTGATTCCAACAGTGTCACCCGTTTCCCCATCAATCCAAGGGGTCCTCCGGCCAGGGCTGTCATCACCTGAGGTACTATCCTGGGTGCTGTGAATCTCATTAGAGATGGTCTCATTAGCCTTAGATATCACCCAATCAATCAAAGCTTCGTAGATACCAGCGATCAGAATGGCACGATCATCTGTGGAGCACTTGTGCAGAAGTACATCCGGATCAAGGTTTAGAAGTCCCCCAACATCTTCACATATTTCCTCAAGTTCCTCCTGGTCGACCAAGAAGCCCAGAGAATTACCTAGCTTCAGTAAAGCAGCTAGTATCGTAATAAAATTTCTATGTGACGCGCCTTTGATACCTATAGCCTTGAGAGCAGCTCTAAAATCTTCAGCAGAAGCCGCATCATCAGCAGTGGGTATATATGCTGGCGGATTAAATGTGTTCGATTTGTTCAAGAGAGAGTATGCAGAGGCATCTTTCAGGCTGAGAAACTCCCTTTCAGCCGGGGTCGAAGCAGATGTAAGTAGATAGTAAAACACATCGAAGGCGCGGTAGCCAGCCTCGGCAGGAATATTAAGCAGGCCACTAGAAACATCAAGGCCAGCTGTGGATAAAGACAGTGATACCGCTGTGACGTTGCCAGTGAGCGTGAAGGTATAAGACACAGCAAGTGCAGAACAGCGAAATTGCGACGGATTATAAGGTGTAACTTGTGCAATGAACGGTCGAAGGGCAGAAAGTGCAGTATAAGTGGTGGAAGGAGTCGACAATGGTAGCTTGGCTAAGAACGGAGCAAGAAGGGAAGGAGTAGAACGGTGAGATGAGCTATCGTTTTCAACAGTCAGCACGGATTCATCATATATGATGCATCTTCCGGGAGGGAGGTGGATTGCAGAGGTTCCTACCACAAGACGATACACCCATCTTCGGCTCTGCGTCGAGCATGTTCCCAAGCCCGTCTCGCGAGTTCTGCGTCCACTAATCCGCCCACTTCGCCATTGGGTCCAGGGCTTGCAGCGGTAAGCCAAGTGTTAACTGTCAGAGCCGTGCCTGAGTCGAGTTGATATGACTGCCCAGAGGAGTATATCGCATGGAGGGTATTGAGGAGGGTTGTGGTAGACACTTGCGCAGCTGGCTGTCTGGTCGAGCGAGGGGCCGGTGCAGTGGAAGACGTCGTCGAATAAACAGAATACCGGCTCGCCATGCTTGCCTTGCAGATGGATGGATATTTTAAGGTTGGAGCAAGATATGGCAAATAAGGGAAGCCGTTAACAATGAATTAGTGAACTGAGGTAACTGACTCCGGCCCCATCTAGCTATGGCAGGATGCGTCCTCGGCCCTTGTAAGGGCAGGCAAAGAGGAGAGAGACCCGTCCTGCTTGGAAAATCACGACCCTTCTTTACGAAAATCTTATCGTCACCGGACTATTTGAAACCACAGCAAGAATAGTCAGGAGCTAGAATTAGCCGTGAGAGAGAGCAAAATCGTTGGGAAGAGTGAGGAATGGGTAGGTGCAAAAAGCGATGGACGAGGACAAGAAGTCCAAACGAATGCGAAACAAGCAACTCCTTGCTGACACAGCTAAACGAAAGGAATAGTAGAAGGAAACCAAACGAAAGACGAGCAAGGAGACGAGCAAGAGGACCAGATCTGATGAGGCCGTGAGGTTGGGTTGAGTTGTTTTGCCAACCTCGAGCAAGAGAGAACGGCGGACGAAGGAGGATTTGCGTACGGTAATGTGTACTGTATGTACTGTACTGCGTGTACGGAATATTCGCAGCGTCAAGTTCAGTATTGTAACTATTTGCTAATTATAGACAACGAGTCTGCGGGAGGATCCATTGAAACGCGTAACAATACGGAGAGTGTCAGGAAGTTACAGCCAGCCCAGTAATTTCGACCAATTCGTAGCTACATGAAAAACTAAGAGCGAATAGTAGTTATAATTATTACGCCAAAAAAAAGAAAAGGAAAGAAAAAGCAGGTTTTAAGAGGACAATCACTCAATTCATTATTCTCATGTTCATCTGTTCCAGGAATCAAGTTTTGAATCCTTCAAAAACCGTCTCTTCTGCCAGGTGTATAGTATATTACAAGACAGTCGAGTGAGCATCGGAAAATTTTCATTATGCATTGAAGGGATAAAAAAAACCGTCTCTTAATATATCTTAAAACTCTGCTCACGAAATTTTTGTGCCCTACATCCAGCGTCAACAGGAATTTGGCGTTGGTTGAATGTTGCCCTTCATAAAAGTGACGCCCCACCGCAGTATGTATTGGAGCATGATCTGTCGCCTCTCACTGTGCTTTCCTTTGTGTAGAACTCTCAATTTACATGTCACTTTCGCACCAGATGTCCTGGCTGGCACTTGGCTGTGCATACGCTGCGTACCCCCGTAGGCCTGCTAGCTTCCTGCCAGCCGGCATGACACCTATACTTTTAGTGGTGACCACCTCCTGTTGCAGCAGAACAATGTCTTCCGTGTGGTTGCTTTTGGGAATATGAATAGATTTGTGAATCAAGCTGTTTATATCGTAGTGGCTGCCGCACCTCAAGTAAGCCAGACAAAAGATGTAAGTTGAAAGCCTCTGCATCAACATAAAATTCGCAGTTTTTCATAGATGTATTCAACCCGAATCCCTTTGAGCAAGGGTGCGGTTATCAACCGTAAAGGTGTCTGTCTAAATCTCAGATCGTAGGCTCATGGTGCAGGGTTGTGTTTTTCAATCAGAGCAAAAAATATTGATAAACCCCAGCAATAATGATATCACTCTTTCCAATGCTATTGTTGACAGGAATCGGCTACGTAGAAGGATCGCTACAGAATCGAGGCGCTACAAGCTTGATACACCTTCATGAGAAGAGCACATATATCATCATGTCTTATTTGGGCCTCCAGCTTGCCTGATACTGATATACTGTGCACAGGTTCCAAACCTATCCTTACAGCTTCCCACCATCGTTGAGACAAGTCGCTCGTCTCTCCTCGCCGGTCGACTGCGTAATCTGTACTCTGAACTCCAATTCGACTCGGTTGGTCCAGTAGCAGGCCCCTGCAAATCCAGCAAAGCCAATTGTCTCACTTTCCCTCTAGTTTCCGCTAGGAGAAAGACCAATGGCCAACCAGCAAACACCGTGGGTCGGTGGAGAAACAATTTTGAGGCCGACTTAGCCCTAATAAAATTTGTCTGATGGTAGATTTACATCTGTACGGAGTACGGATACAGATGTAGACTCTTAAGTATATCGTAGGGTTATTGCTTTTCAACAATAAACATGATCCGCTTCCGATGGACTTGCTGGCACAGCTCTATACATAATTGCACTACCGGACAATGAGAAACATACGCAGAAACTATAGACACAATCATTGTGTACTTTTTGTCTTCCACGAGTTTCTACCTGGTAGAAACTGTTCAAATTTCTCACCACCCCAAGCTTGAAGCTGGAATATTAGAAATGGAAATGGAAATCTTAGTGTCAATGGTCAACGAACTTTGACCCTCATGAGTAGAAGTTATGAGGGCTCGACACCTACTTTGACACCCAATTCTGAATCTTTTGGGTTAACCGATAAGAGAGAACTTTCCACTGCATCACAAGGATCGATCCTTAAGTTAGGGTCACCCATTGTAAGTATATAGTTTGCATGCCTACCCAAAGGCATTATTCCACACCTTTGTCATAAAAATACTCTCAGCCAGGGCCCTGGGCCGCCTGACAGAGCCGTGGTAAGGTTTAAAAAGCTTCAGTGAGATCGCTGGCTGCAATCGACCAATCTTCCACGCCGAATGATTAGATTACTAATGTTGTTTATATCAAATGGCTCTTTAACTACTATTTGATAGTTGTTCTGTTGAAGAAAGGATGTAATCAAAATCCAGGTACGAAACATATTAAATTTGGGCCATTTTCTTTCTTTCTTTCCTTTTTTTTTTTTCAAAGAACGATGTCTATACCCCATCTAAAATACACTCAACGCAAATGCTGTAAACTGGCTGTTGGGCGGATTAGGTTAAGGGGTAAGTCCTGGAGAAGTTTGAAGAAAAAATCCCCGTCCGCCATTGGTCCTGCCGAAGATCGGAACCAGGTTCGCCTTCGACCATGCAGATTTTAGAGTATGCTTGGGAACGTTTTCGAAGCCTTGAACCATGGATCCAAAGATAAAATACAAAGATTTTGCGCAGTCAGTGTGCAGAACATCCGTCCTAAAAATGGAACACTGAATGGTATGGGGCTGAAATACGATTGCTTTCTGGTCTGTTGCTTGTTGTTGTTTGTTCCTCATCATTGCACAAACTGATACAATTGAGGATGTTTGCGATGGAAAAGGTAATCTTGATAATGATTTTGACGAACATTGTGTCTGAAACCTGAAACACGAGAAAGGATGAGAGCAAGATCCACCAACTCTATTGTTCAGCTTTCCAAGAGGCTTCCAGATTTCATCCCGTATATTTATATTCGTGAGAAGTACGACTTCTGGTACCATGATGATCATCATTGATTTCTTCTGTGTCCACAAATAGCTATAAAACCTTTTTGGCTTCCTTGCCGCATCACGCGCTCTGAGACGACTAGGTGTGGACGATTTTCAGCATGGGCCTATTTTTTTTTTTTTTTTTTAAAAAAAAAAAAAACTCCTTAGATTTTCTACGAGTGATAGCCGAACCAAGTGTCGAGGGGTCCGTCCAGCTGAAGGGGTTCCAGTTCCAAGTCCACACTAGAGGTGGCAAGAAAAAGGCCTTGCTTGGGTGGATGCATCGATTGTGTGATCACCCACACCAATCGAAACATCGCTTTTGACGGTCTCTGTGGATGTCTTACCACCTTCATTCGATTCGGCTTCCACATGCTAGGGAGCAAGGACTTGTTAGAAGGCTGGCTGAGTTTTTTTCCGGAATCCTCCTCATCGTTAGAGGAGTTTATCCCATCGACGATTCGTTCTCCGTCCATATCACTTTTTATTTTTAGTTGATTTTATTACCTCAGTCGACAAGAATATATTTAATTATGTGACGTTTTCCTCTCTCTGTGCTTATTGTTGTTTGTTCTTTCATGCTCTAGACTCGCCTAAAATAGATTTTGAGCCTGCCGCTTGTTTTGGATCGCGAAACTAGTCGCCCTGGCGAGACGAGACAACCTGGGGGGAGGCCTGCACCCTGCAACACGGCAGCCTGCTCTTCCAGGCCTGTCATTCGAGATAAATCTTGCAAGGGCGGGGATCCCAGCTGCAAGTGGGCAACTTACAACCTGCCAGTTGGCTCAGCGAGCAAAAAATATTTTTTTTAGCGCAACTCGATGCACTGTTATTTTGAAATATAAACAAAGTGTGATCGCGGGACAGCGAACCAGAATACGGATGTGGAAAACATGAAGTAGCCGGGTAATCTTTGAAACGTAATATACCGTACATACGTATGTAAAAATACCTACCTGTATTTCGTCGTATGGTACTCCGTACACATACTTCCCTTCTGGGCGGCTCGACACTGCCCGTTCCTCCTTCACTCGCTCGCTCGCTGGACTTCTCTTGAAACCAACCTCACCTCTGGCCCTCGTGTTTCCCAGAGATACTCCCCTCGATGCCACTCGCTCTTTTGCTTCCACTTCCTTTCGTGTCGTTTGCCTTGGGTTCTCTCCTCGTTTGAGGACCGTTCTTCCTTCGTTATTTTGGTGGCCGCGTAGGAGCATTTTACTTGACCGCCGATTTTGCTTCTGCTATTTGACTCGTAACGAGACTGAACAGAATAGCTTAAACCACCCTTGATTTACTGATTATCTTGTTCGCTATATTTCGTTGCCTCTTGACGATCCTTCTTGTCCCTTTCGTTAATCTTCCTAATGCCTTAGAACGCCAATCGTCAATCAAAAATATTCTGCCCTTCGAATCAGTACAGAGAGTCGTCGACTGTCGTTATTGCTTGATTGAACCCTTTTCTATCAGCCCAGGTGGGCTTCGTTCCCTAACCGTTGACGTTGGCCATGGCCCTCCACTCATTGACGGGGACGGGATCTGTTCCTGCCCACGCACAATCCTCCTTGCCTTCACTTCCCGCCCATCTTCAATCGGACACCCACCTTACGGCCCATCTGGCAAGCAGGTAAAGAATTTTACACCAAGTCAGATATCTTCCTGAAATTTTTCGCTAACAAACTTGGTTTCGGTTTCTGGCTTTAGATTCCATGTATCCCTTCCGACGGCACGGCTATCGTCTCAAGGATTGATATGCCTGAATACGTACACTTCTTCCACCCGCGGTCCGGATGGACAAAGGGAAGGAAGCGCAATGGGGGAAGCAGACGATCTGGCTAGGCGTGCTTGGGCCCGCCTGGGAGGGAGAGGAGAAAACCAAGCTGTCATCTTCCTGTAAGCCTTGCATTCCAGAGAAGAATTCCCCTCGTGAACTTGCATGGGGAATGCTGATTTTTTTAATTTTTTTTTTTTACTACCACTAGCGGAGAAACTGGTTCCGGGAAGACAACCGTTCGCTCCCATCTTCTTTCTTCCTTCTTGTCATTATCATCCACACCCCTTTCAGCAAAGCTCTCGCTCGCTGCCTTCGTTTTCGATACTTTGACAACTACAAAATCAGTTACTACCCCGACTGCGTCCAAAGCGGGTCTGTTTTTCGAGCTTCAGTATGATGCCTCGTCAACCCTCAACCCGACCTTAATTGGTGGCAAGCTTTTGGATCACCGGCTAGAAAGAAGCCGTATCGCGTCCGTTCCTACCGGTGAACGAAGCTTCCATGTGCTATATTATCTCCTTGCAGGAACCAGTGCAGCTGAAAAGGCGCATCTTGGTTTGGACAGTTCAGTCGATATCCGCACCGGTGGAAACACCGGCAACCATTCATCTGGCACAATTTCTCATAAGAGATGGCGGTACCTCGGCCATCCCACGCAACTGAAGGTCGGGATTAACGACACCGAGGGCTTCCAACAATTCAAAAATGCGCTCCGCAAATTGGAGTTCCCCAGGAGCGAAATAGCTGAGATCTGTCAGATACTTGCATGCATATTACATATCGGACAGCTGGAATTTACTACTGGCCAATCAACGACAACGGGCCCAGAGGAGAGCGGTGGATACTCACATGAAGGCGGTGAAACTGTTACTATTGTCAAAAATAAGGACGCTTTAGCAATTATCGCTGCGTTCCTCGGACTCAGCGTGGATGATCTCGAGACAAGCCTTGGCTATAAAACGAAAACCATTCATCGGGAACGTGTAACTGTTATGCTTGATCCTAAAGGAGCGCGGAGTAATGCTGATGACCTCGCCCGGACCCTGTACGCTCTTCTGGTTGCCTATGTAATCGAAAACATCAACCAGCGCGTATGTGCTGCCGAGGATGCGGTGGCCAACACCATTTCGATCATCGACTTCCCCGGTTTTTCTCAAACGTCCGCAACGGGCTCAACATTGGACCAGCTCTTGAATAACGCCGCTACTGAATCGCTTTATAACTACTGCTTGCGAAACTTCTTCGACCACAAGGCGGAAATCCTCGAAGCGGAGGAAGTTAGCGTCCCTCCGACTAGCTATTTTGATAACTCTGATGCTGTCAAAGCCTTGCTGAAACAGGGCAACGGAATCCTGACGATCCTGGATGACCAGACGAAGCGCGGACGATCCGATATGCAATTACTTGAGAGCTTGAGAAAGCGATTTGCAAACAAAAATCCGGCCATTTCTGTCGGGAGCTCTACGGCTACTCTTCCTGGCAGCAACTTCGCTTCAAAAAATGAAGCTGCTACTTTTACAGTTAGGCATTTTGCGGGGGAGGTCGATTATCCTGTCCAGGGATTAGTTGAGGAAAACAGCGACTTGGTTTCTGGCGATTTAATGAACCTCATCACTTCCTCCAGGAGCGCGTTCGTGCGCGATCTTTTCGGTCAAGAAGCACTCCAAACTATCCGCCACCCTAAAGAAAAGTCGGCTATTATGCAAGCCCAAGTCAGTTCGAAACCTCTTAGAATGCCAAGTATGGCAAGACGCAAAATGGATAGACCTCCCCGACTTACTGCTCGCGCAACTCAGGCGGATAAGGATATTGACGACGATACTGGGGCCAGTTTGACCTCAGTTCCAGGCTCTAAAAAGCGCAAGCAGGGAGATTCCACAAATGGACCTGGTCAGAGTGCTGCTGCTCAATTTCTTGTATCATTGGACAATATCAATAAGTCTTTGGCTGCAGACAATGTCAATTCCTACTTTGTTTTCTGCCTGAAACCCAACGATCGTCGAATCGCGAATCAATTCGATAGCAAATGCGTGCGATCGCAGGTTCAAACCTTCGGGATTGCAGAGATCAGTCAGCGGCTTCGAAATGCAGATTTTAGCGTGTTTCTTCCATTCAGTGAATTCCTTGGTTTGTCAGATGCAGAATCTATCATCGTGGGCAGCGAGCAAGAAAAATGCCAATTGGTGGTCGACGAAAAACGATGGCCAGGAAATGAAGCACGAGTTGGAAGCACTGGAGTATTCTTAAGCGAAAGATGTTGGGCGGACATTGCAAGGGTTGGCGAACGGGTTCTCCCCAGCTACAGCGGAGATGGCACAGATGACGACAAAGATGGTCTGCTCGGGGTTGGTCAAAAAGCCCCATATGGAGACTCAAAAGTTCGTCTCCTTAACTCGCCAGATGTATCTCCATTACCTGGCTCCTACATATACGGAGATGAAACCAAGCAGCCATTCTATGGGGTTCGTGACATCGACGGCCGTTCCGATGCGGGGGCATCAGCCTTTAATTCTGGTGACATGTTCAAGAATTTGGAAACCCGGGAGCAGATGGCCGAGAAAGGTAATGAGAAGAAAATGGAAGAAGTTGATGACGTTGTGGTCTCCGGCAGTCGTAAACGGTGGTTGGCAATCGTTTATTTGCTTACCTTCTACATTCCTGATTTTACTATCAAATTAATTGGACGAATGAAGCGCAAAGACGTGCGTATTGCCTGGCGAGAAAAGTTTGCCATTAACCTCCTTATTTGGTTTAGTTGTGCGCTTGCTGTCTTCTTCATTATCGGCTTTCCCCAGTTAATTTGCCCGAAACAATATGTCTTCTCACCCGATGAACTCTCATCTCGCGACGGGAAAAAGAATGATGCCTATATAGCTATTCGGGGAGAAGTGTTCGATTTGGGCGCTTTCATACCCTCGCACTATCCGAAAATCGTTCCACGGAAATCGTTGGAAAAGTATGCCGGCCTCGATGCAACGAAACTATTCCCTGTGCAAGTTAGCGCTCTTTGTGATGGCGTTGATGGCCAGGTCGATCCATCTGTACCCCTGGATTTCAGGTCTACTAATAGAACGGGCTCTGTCAAAGTTTCACGAGACGATGATCCAAATGCTCAATACCACGACTTCAGAGCGTTCACTGATGACTATAGACCCGATTGGTATTGGAATCAAATGAGAATGTTGAGAGCAAACTACAAGAAGGGATATGTTGGCTACTCTCCTCAATATTTGAAAACACTCGTGGATAAGGATCAGGCAATCGCAGTCCTCGACGGCTATGTGTACGACTTGACAAACTATGTCATAGGCGGCCGTCGCCCGAGGCCACCCCCTGGTCAACAGGCCCCAAAAGACGTCAATGTCAACTTTATGGATCCCCTTGTTGTCAATCTATTTCAACAAAGACCCGGCCAGGATATCACTGAGGATTTCAATCGGCTTCCACTTGGAAAGCGAGAGCAAGCCATGCGCACCTGCCTGGCCAATTTATTTCAGGTTGGGAAGCTGGATACTAGAAGTTCCGCCCAGTGTCAATTCGCCCAGTATTTCATCCTCGCTATATCGCTCCTTTTAGTCACCATCATTGGTTTCAAGTTCTTTGCCGCATTGCAATTTGGAAAGAAAAATCTACCTGAAAATCTTGATAAATTTATTATTTGTCAAGTTCCAGCATACACTGAAGATGAAGAGTCTCTGCGCCGAGCCATCGACTCAATGGCTCGAATGAGGTATGATGACAAACGTAAACTCCTTGTTGTCATCTGCGATGGCATGATTATCGGACAAGGAAATGATCGACCTACGCCCCGGATCGTCTTGGACATTCTCGGCGTTTCAGACACTGTGGACCCCGAACCGTTAAGCTTTGAAAGCTTAGGAGAAGGAATGAAACAACATAACATGGGCAAAGTCTACTCCGGATTATACGAGGTTCAAGGCCATATCGTACCCTTCTTGGTTGTTGTTAAGGTTGGTAAGCCTTCGGAGGTGTCTCGCCCTGGAAACCGTGGCAAGAGAGATTCGCAAATGCTCTTAATGCGTTTCTTAAACCGTATCCATTACAACCACCCAATGAGTCCCCTTGAACTTGAAATACATCACCAAATTCGCAACATTATCGGGGTCAACCCCACCTTCTACGAGTTCATACTTCAAGTAGATGCAGATACCATGGTAGCTCCGGACTCTGCTACTCGAATGGTTGCATCGTTCCTTCAGGATACACGTATTATCGGCCTTTGTGGAGAAACAGGACTCAACAATGCCAAATCTTCCATAATAACAATGATCCAGGTTTACGAATATTACATCTCGCACAATTTGACGAAAGCGTTCGAGAGTCTTTTCGGATCGGTGACATGTTTGCCTGGTTGCTTCACAATGTACCGTATCAGAGCCGCAGACACAGGAAAACCTCTTTTCGTTAGTCGAGAAGTCGTAGAAGCTTATGCCGAGATCCGCGTTGACACTCTACACATGAAAAATCTTCTCCATTTGGGTGAAGATCGTTATCTCACCACACTTCTTCTGAAGCACCACCCGAAATACAAAACCAAATTCCTCTTCAATGCACATGCCTGGACTATTGCACCTGATAGTTGGGCTGTGTTCATGTCTCAGCGCCGGAGATGGATTAACTCGACCGTCCACAATCTCATAGAACTCATTCCTCTACAGCAACTTTGTGGGTTCTGTTGTTTCAGCATGAGGTTCGTTGTCTTTGTCGATCTTCTGAGTACCGTTATCCAGCCTGTGACAGTGGCATATGTCATATATCTCATTGTCCTTATCGCCATCAACCCATCGCTGATTCCAATCACGGCATTTATTTTGCTCGGAGCTATCTATGGTCTACAAGCCATTATTTTCATCGTCCGTCGCAAATGGGAAATGGTTGGCTGGATGATCATTTATATCCTTGCTATGCCCGTTTTCTCCCTTGGCCTCCCGCTCTATTCTTTCTGGCACATGGATGACTTCACCTGGGGTAACACCCGTATCGTCACTGGAGAGAAAGGTCGTAAGGTTGTCATCTCAGACGAGGGTAAATTTGATCCCGCATCCATACCAAAGAAAAAGTGGGAAGAATACCAAATCGAGCTTTGGGAAGCGCAAACCCAACAAGACGATCGTTCTGAGGTTTCAGGAATCTCCTATGGCACTCGGTCCTACCACCCACCGGCGTCTGAATACGGATTTGCGGCCTCACGACCTGTTTCTCAAGTCGAGCTTAATCGCTTTGCCGGGTCCCGGATGTCCCTCTCTCCTTCGGAGATGTTGGGTACCGGCCCTGATATGGAGATGGTAGACCTCACGGGACTTCCAAGTGACGATTCACTGCTTGCAGAGATCCGTGATATCCTTCGTACCGCAGATTTAATGACTGTTACGAAGAAGAGTGTCAAGCTGGAGCTTGAACAGAGATTCAATATCAATCTTGATGCCAAACGGCAGTATATCAATTCCGGTATGTTTTTTTTTTTTTTTTGATTCCGATCAGCCACAAAAAAAGGCCACAAGAAAAATGATTATTTTGCGTTTCGCTAACGTCTGGATTTAACAGCCACCGAAGCCGTTCTTTCAGGGCAACTTTAAAAAAAACCAATGAAACCCATCTCTCATCAACCATTTACCCGGAGTTCCAAACGTATTTTCCTATCTTCAGTCTCATTCTTCATCTACTCTTGTTTCTTGTTTCCAATTTTCCGTTCAGTACATTGTGAGCGCATTTCGTTGGGTTAAGTTTATTTCGTTTCTCTTCTAGCGTTTGGATTTAAAGTTGTTTCCCCCCCCCCCTAGTCGCCTTTATCTAATACCGTAACTACAAAAGAATTTTGGGCTTTATCAAGCTAACTATTTAATTATTGCAAATTGCGAATTCTGTCTTTTGGTTCTAGGATTTTTACTTATGAGTGTGTATATCTACGCATCAGAGGCCGTTCCATTTCCATCCTTTGCCTATTTTGTCATTCTTGACATGTTGCTTGAAAAATGATCCGAAAACGACATTCCTTGCGCTTTGTATTTGTTCTAATCTTTTATCAACGTGGCTCCTTTTATCTCGTTGTCTATCTTTTTCTTTTTTTTCCTCGAGATTTTCTACTTCCTTTCTATATAGTGTTTGGTTTTTGGATCTTTCATTTTCTTGTGTATACACATTTTCAATTAATGATACATATTTATATTTTAATTTAGAACTTTCATGATAACTTATGCTCTGGGATTATTTACTTCACAATTTCTTTCAGAATTATCCTCCAGGGGATGGAATTCCTCTTATAGTTATCGAAGACTTCCTTCTGCTCGCAAGCAGCGATTTTAATCATGGGAGTCTTCTGAGAGCATCACCACGAATCGAGAGTTCGACACATTTGGTCCGATGAAATTAGGGGATGCAAAACAAGTTACGTAAAGCAAGAAGGCTTCGTCCAGAAAATTTGTAGGGCTATACATACTAGTGGTTAAAGGGGATCAACGGAGGTGTGATGGTATGAATACCGAATCCGTGGCTGTCTTTTGCCATGCTCAGAACTTACATGTAGGAAATCATTCCAAACGGTGTCAAGGGATGCGTCAAATTAGGGCTATGAGATCACGTGGCATTCGCCCATCATCATCGCAAGCTTCACCAGTGGTCTGTTCTGTCCGTCTATCAGTCTCAGTGCAAGGATTTGAACCAAACTAAAATTAGAAATTGATCCCATTGGCAATGCTGCGGGGCGCGGCGGCGATTGGGCGGAAGTTCTCGATCAACCACCAATTGCCATTCGCAAGGTATGTATCTGCATACATATTCTCCCTGGCCCCCTACGCTCTACGCGCTGGGCCCGAGAAGCTGCATTGCCACGAACTCGAGACCATTTCTGCACGTTTCTTTTTCCGCAGTGTACCAATCCTCTTCTTGCGAGCGTATGCGCGGCAGTTGTTTAATGCAAGGCTGGAAGGCAACTGGGATGAGGGCGGAAGATGGAAGGCGGGGGAAGTGCGTGGAAAGGTGTTATCTAGCCTGGTCTCCGACTTTAAAAAGACAAAGAAAGGAGAGAGAATGACAGGACCAGGCTGCCAGTTGTCTCGATTGTCAAAGTCCATTTCCAGGAAGTTGGATCGAAGGCACAAGTCATCAGTATATATGGATGCCCAATAACCGTGGATTTTACTTCCTCTTCGTCCACCTTCCCTGGTGAATATTTCTTATTCTCTCTCTCTCTCAGGCAATTCTGATGCCTGTTAGTAAATTCTTTACCCCAAACTACCCATTGAATACGTACGGAGAAAATGTTCCCGAAGCTCCTCCACCGCTTCTACGGTTCGATCCTCCTCCTCGAAACTCTCGGGCAGGTCAGAGGTGACCGTCGAAAGGCAGAGATAATATCGAACGAACCAGGGCTTCATAACAGGAGGCTTCGCCACCATTTCTGCAACGCGCTTGCGTACATTTGTGCCTTTGACACGGGTTCGGATCATGTCACCGCCATCGCCCTTGATGCTCAGCCGGGCATCACCAAGGTGCTTATCGCAGCTAACAGGGGCGTTCCCAACGAGGTCTTCGAATTTTTGCAGGATATTTTGTCTATCTTGCACTCTATTGCGAAGGGATCCCCCGACGAAGAAATCGTTGATGCCCAAGACAACATACTTCACAAAGTTGTCAGCCTTAACCAGCCTCGAATCCGCCGCTACCATGAAGTGGCTGTCGAAATGTATGAATCGTGCGGCCCAATCATGCAATCCGCCCGCAAAGAACTTGGTGGTATACTGAAATTTTTATAGATGTCATCCTTCGGAAAGTGCCAGGAGCTGACGGTTTGTGATAGCCAAGGTACCAGGTCATCCAAGGGTCTCCGAGCTGGACCGAGTTGGGGCGTTCTTGAATCGTTTCTTCACCTCCGGCAAGTCCTTAAAGGATGAATATGAGTGCCTTGATTTAGTGAAGCAATGCCATGGGCTTAGATATTCGGGCATGATCGACACTTTAGACTCATTTGCCGCCCATGGGCAATCGTGCCAATCGAAATTTCAACGTCTTCAGGAGCTGCTTAAAAAGCTTGGAAAGCATGCAACCTGCTCTAGAAGACTTGTCAGCGCTGCAAAGCAGCTGCCTGAAGAATTTACCGGTAATTTTGAGGTCATACCTATCGAGCCATCTTCGCCTAGCCCTATCTGTCTCCCGTTAAAGAAAGCGTCCGTAGAGAGCATTATTGGCCGGATGACACCGGACAAAGCAAGTCAAGAAATGATGGAAAATATGCTCAAACAGCGCCTTGATCAGAGCACAGATGAAATTACACAGGGGATAAGTGAAAAGCTCAAAACCAAGACACTGATACACGCTGAACTTCTCCTGATGAGCTACATTGAAGAACATGGCTGCAACTTCATTGAGCCTGATGATAAATATATAGGTTGCAGCAAGCCGGCATGTTACCTCTGCAGTTTATACATCTGCCACCATCCGGGGAATTATTCGCTGCCGGACACGTCAAATAAGCTGTACATCAAGTGGCGAATGCCAGATACCTATTCAAGCCACAAGAGCGCTGCTCGATCGGCTCGTGAAATGGAGGTGATACTGGATAAAATGATTCAGGAGATCAAAAAGAACTTCAAAACGGACGTGATGAGGCCCAGGCCAAGGAATATGCACGCAGATTCGTCGGCGGATATGACCACTACTGTGGATGGCGCTGCTATGGGTGCGGGCGATTCTGGATTGCAGCCCATTCCCATGGATTTACAATCGCATATAGAAGCGTTGAGTTTGTATCACACGCTATATACTCAAAGTAAGTCATATTATACATTCGTTGTTGATACCCTATTGATGCGTTGGATTGACGATAAGAGAATTCGAATCAGCAGGCCTCCTCGGCACCACCAACTACTTCCCCAACGCTTCCCCACAGCCAGAACAGCATCAACCGCCCCCCAGCGGACATCTAGAGTCCCAATTTCAATATTCATATCCATATATACCCCAAATCTTTCGTGCGCCCATTCCCGTGCCTTTCCCTAGTCCAATTCCTGAAATCCCTTCCTCTTCCGCCTCTTTTGCTCAGTCCCATGTTTCCACTCCGTTATATCCCAGTAGTATTAGTGGCGGTAGTAGTGGAGGAAGCCGCAACTACATCCACAATAACAACAATAGCAACAGCAGCAGTGGCAGAGGAGGGACAGTATCCGGGAGAGTATCCCAGCCGACCAGCGATATTGCCAGCCTCAACAGCGGCCGAGAGCAACAAAACCCAAACCCGCAAAAGGCGGCCAAGAGACCCGGGTGGAGAGGGCCACCCAGTCAGCGCTGGGTTTCTGCACATCATTGAATGATAGGCAGGAGGAGAGTGGAGGTAGGTATGAATGTTTTTTCTCTCTCTCTCTCTCTTTCTTTCTTTCTTTCTCTCTTTCTCTCTCTCTCTCTCTCTCTCTTTCTTTGTTTCTTTTTTTTCATCTTCTCCTTTCCCTCCCGTTCCTTTTGCTTTCCCCCAACGATGACGGCCTTTTTCTTTTTTGAATGTTTGTGTGGCTAGGGGTTGTTGGTAAACACACACAACCTTTTCGGGTATGATTGTTTGTGTCTATTTCTATCTGTTGTAAGGCGAGCTGGGCCTCGCCATATATTTCTTCGAGTATATCTTTTATTTGTCGTTCTAGTTTTTGATTTATTTAACTCCGGCCATTTTATCTTTTATTTTTTCATCTTGTATCTCGTTAAATACAATAATGATGGATTTCGTCCAAATTTGATTCCTGATCAATTTGTCACCTTTTTTTTTTCCCCCGTAATTGCTGTCCGTAAACATATTATATTCAGTATTGAGGGGGAATAAAGATCCAAAGTTGGCTCTCTGAAAAATTTATTTTCTTAGTTTCTCTTGTTTTTCTTTTCTTTTTTTTTTTTTAACTGCATGGTGGTGGGTGAAGGAGATACACAAATACAGAAATAATAACAGGAGGGAAAAAAGAGCAAGAGAGACATCAATCAATTCCATCAATTCCACCAGAACCAGTTAACCCAATCAACCAAACCAGCCCCAGGGGAAATTTAAGAGCTACAAAATAGGGAAACAAGGGGGAAAACCGGCAGGAAACGAGATTTTGAAAGCGAGAAATCAAAAAAAAGAGGATGAAGTAAGGGATAATGATAATAATCAACATAAAACCGCAAAAAAGAAACAAAAAGACTAAATTTAAAGCAATTTCAAGAAGAGCAGGAAAGAACGGGGTAAAAGAAGAAAAAGAAAATAGGTATGGTATCATCAACCCGGTAGTTTATCAGAGAACAACGCCGAATCAACTTTTATTTTCAGTCAGAACAGAAGAGAAACCAATATAGCACCAAAAATAAGAAAATGGAGAAAAACCGCAAAAAAACTGATTCAACCAACGAAAAGTGCTCTCCCTTCCATCCAGGGTATATAGTTGAATAGTAGATATATATAGAGATATATAGTTTTCAGGAAACAAACAGAGCAAAGAGAAATGGCTCAAAAAACACATGCAACATACGTTTGTTATTGATAAGAAAAATAAAAAAGGGAAAACAACCAAACACAGCAAATTGAAAAAAAAGCTAGCGCAATAGGTAAAAAGAATGGCTAAGTAAAGTTAAACAAAGACGTTAGCTTTTTACTCCTTTGGTATCATAAAAGCGATTGCAGTAGACTGGTATTGTAGAGAGGGGTATATTGCGAATGACTTTGGGGGACTGTATGTAGCGATGTATCATGCATGTATATGGTTAAAATGTTCACGAAAGTAGGGCTCTCGAAGCGCGCGGTTTTCCTTATGTTATACTTTTATTGTTCGTTCCTTTTAATTTTATTTTATGATTCAACGGGGTGGCCCGATAGGAGCCGGGTATCCAGAAGTAGAATTGGAAGTACTTGGGCGGCCACTGTCAAAAGAGGCGCGAAGGTCATGTTTGGGTGTCATGTCTCCCGGCGCAGTCCCAAATGGGAATTTGTTATCAAAACGAGACGCCCATCCGTTGGTGTTTAAGACGTCGTCCTCCGGGAGGTTCACACCAGAGTCGTTCCAGGGATTCTTGTATCCACTGTCACGAGACTCCATGGATATGAGGGAGGCCTTGGAAGCATTGCTGGAGGCGTGTTTGAAGAATGAGCCGGGGGACCCAGACTGGTTCTTGCGTCCAATGAAGGACGAGAAGGACGAGATGCTGCCTGGCTTGCGGAGGCGTTCGAAGATGGAACCCCGATCGCTCGCGTCGTCTGAGAAGTTATGGCGTGTTGGGGAGTCGGTTGCTAAAGGCGCTGGGGCGTGTTGTAGCAATTTAGAATCGAAAAATGGTAAGGATTCTTCGAAGGAGTCTGATTTGGGTCTCTGGATGGCCCCCTTGACGGTTGTTGCATCAAGGCCATGGGATACGAGTCGAGAAATGAGAAAATCAATGGCGTCTTTGAGTCCGCCGGCATTGTTCCGGGTGTACCCGAGCATGATCCGGTCTTCTGGTGGAGGTTGGTTCTCAGAGGACGATTGCTCTTCCGCACTCATATCCACAACTGCATCGACTTCATATTGCTCTTTGAGTTTTCCTCGGACATCATTGCAGAATTCGGGGGACTTGAAAAATTCTCGAAGCTCCGTGGAAGTCTGGAAGGAAAGCTCATGGCTCTCAGGCACCATTCCCTACACATCATTAGTATATTTTCATCTTACAAGACTAGATTGTATGGAAACGTGTTGATCTTTACCAGGAAGGCATCTACCGCCTGAGGAACTTGATACTCCGGCCCAGAAATGGTCACAAAATCACTTGCCAACTCAGTGCTTGGAAAGTCTATCTTGCAGTTCCATTTTTTCTCAAGTTCCTCAATCTCAGACATGCGGGCTAGTAATTCGCGGTGATACAGGCGGTTAATGACGACGGTCTCAGCAACAAATTCCGCATCCTACAGTTTCGTAAGTGGAACCGCAAACTATAATAGTAGCGTATTTCAAACCTGTTGAACTTACAACTTTCTCAACCATGTCCATAATCTCTTGTTTGACCAAATCGAGGTTTTGGGCATTCCGAGCAGGGGTCCGACAGATTACATTGTCGATTTTAACGTCATCATCCTCCTTGCCAACACCGCCACGGTCCATTGCATTTGAAAATTTGACGAAAACGGAATACTTCTTCATGATCCGCTGGATATGTTGACCACCAATGCCAATTATTCGCTTGTGGTACTGGTCAGGAACATGGAACGATATAGAAGCAGGCATTTCCTGCTCAACTAGGTCAAGCCCATTCCTGGTAGCATCGTATTGAGTTCCGCAGACGTCAATGTAGAAATTGTACTCATTGAAACCGTCGAAGATAATTTGAACATTGCCTGCCAACATAACCATGATAAGAATTCACACGCAGACCTCGTGCATACAAGAGAGAGTGAACAACTCACTTTGACCCATGATCTTATTTATCTTGCCATTTTTCTTGCCGCTGACGAACTCTTTGTGCTCATTTGCTAGCTCGATCTTAACACGCAGTTGGTAGGGGGTTCGCTTAACGAAGGGGATCTGTTGGATCACCATCATGGCGGCTTTGACGGAATCATCCGAGCCGTTGATGGTGAAGGTCAGTTTATCAAAGCTGACCTCAGCGCCCGAATTCGTGCAAATATCAGAGAGCATAGTCCTAACATCAGCCGGGGACGGGCCTCTCATTGAGCCGGATTGGGTAGGATCGGGGAGAATAAGCCACCAAGATGCACTGTAAAATTGGCCGGCCTGGGTAGGAGAGTGAGTCTGTATACCTTGTGTCTAGTGAAAACAATGAAAAAACTCACCAACGCCATGATCTCCCTGACCGTTCGCTCGATATGTAAGACTTCGGATCCTTGAACGCGAACAATACCATGCTGACTGCCCAGCGATGGGAAGAGAACGTAGGTGCCATTTGCCTCCATCACTTTCCGAACTTTATCCAAACGATCCAGGAGAATATTGTCGATTTTGCTCGACGATAGTTTTACATTCTTCATGAAGATCTTGACTCCGCTGACGAGGTCGTGCAACTTTTGCTTTGCAAGGCTGATTTGCTCTTGAGTTTCACCGGTAATATAAACTTCGTCTTCACTTCTTCGGCTACCCCCAGGCGGGGTATAGCCAAAAACTCGTGGGAACGGTGGTGGAAAATAGATGGCAGTGTTGGTTGATGCCTCGATAAGTTTGATGTTCTTGCGGGTACGGCCACAGACCAGGGTATGCATTGACAACTCAAGCTTCATCGCATCGACACGGCGTTTCAACTACAGAATGTTAGCAATGAAGCTACGGTACTAGAAGCGTTGTGATGACGGCGCCTACAATTTGGTCGATCATGATCAATACTCTAGTTTTGGCATGTTCTGCACTTTCCACATCACTGTATATCGCAACGCGAAACCGGTTTTCTAGCCCGTTTTCTGTAGAGTGTCCATACGAGGATGCAATGGCGCTGTCAGCATCAAGGATTTTTGGGCTCAGCAGAAAGATATCTGCTCCGGTATATCGTGCCAGCGTGTCAAGGTGTTCAAGGACACTTGACCGGACGCCATTCGTATTCTTGTCCATGACTAGGCTGACATCAATGTCAACCGTAGCACACTTCTTTATTCAGAGTTAGTGAATCGAGAATCCTATTTAGAGACGGGACCAGGGCCAGGATAGCGAAAGTTTTATAGAGATATACTGAACAAGCACGTACCAGAGCTATCGGGGTTTCCTTCAAAATGTTCTGTCGTACTTGCTGGACAGTTTCGCCATCGCCGGAAATACACACATTGGTGACGAGTCCCTGCGGGCGGCGTTGTAACGAGGCGACGGCCTTGGGTTCTGATGAAGTTACGGTGGCTTCAATTCTGCCATGGCTGGACTCACTGACATTTCGACATAGCTTTCTCAGCGCATCTAGGTTGTTTGCGTGGACGGGGAGTTTATGGATCGGGGTACCCTCGGGCGTTCCCTCAGGAAATGTCCACCGTTGGAAAGCACCGGGGCTCGAGTGTAGGACATCTTCGGGATCTGGGCCGGCAAGGTTTGAGGAGAAGGGGACGTTGAAGGAGAGAGTTACAGTGGCATCTGCTCCCGGCGGCACTGTAACTGGAGGAAGGTGATGGGGCCTTCGAAGGGCCTGCGACATGTCCTGATGAGGCCGGGAAATGCTAAATGTCGGGGTCATTCTTTCCCACCCATGACGGGCCTGGCCTGTAAAATTGGTGATCTTGTGCATGATGATGGTCCGGTTAAATCTGTCCCCTCAAAAATATTTTGAGGGAGCAGATGGCAGTTGGAGGAGATTACACGAGGAGAGGAGAGAATTCCTAGGTTAGGATTGGCAAGGGTATTTAAGTGACCCTGGATGAGATAGCAGGGGGAAGAGCGAGAGAGAGGTGGTGGGAGCTGAGACCGTGGTGTGAACCAGCACTATCGCAAGGACAAGCGTAAGACTCCCAAGTTGGCGGCAGTAAGGATGGGGAGCAGTCGTTGAAGCTGGAGTCGGATTTGTCTGGGCTTTGTTGAGGGTAGTGACCAGGGCTCGAAGGAACAAGCGATACTAGAGGCTGAGCACCAACAAAATCCCAGCACTGGTTTGCACACCAGATCCTGGCCGAAGGGCCTGACAAAGAGCGGGTTAGGCGGCTGGCTAGGCTAGGAGGGTTAGGCAGGGAATCAAGGTCCAAGTGCTCTCGAATCAACACACGATCAAGTGGATTGATTGACGGAGCAGGATTGGGATTCGGGATCAGAAACTGCCGTTGGGCGGGACAGAAGCAACAACTCTCATCGTTCTCCCACTCAAGGGTGTCTGTTAATGTGTCGCTGCAAGGATATGTGGACGGCAGCGGTAGGATGGGAAGGACAAAGTCCAGGTCACTAGCTGCTATACCAGCAGCAGCAGGAGTAGCAGCGGTAACAGCAACAACAGCAGCCAACAAACCAAGAAAGATAGAAACAGGAAGTCTGCAGGGGCAACAGAGAGCAGCACAGGGGGAATAAGGTAACCAGAAGCAAGCAGAAGCAGCAAAAATCAACAGCGAGATAGATAGAACTTTGCAAAGTGGGCGGAGAAGGTTCAGCAAGGTGGATGCCCCAGACAGATCACGTGAGTGATCAGTCAGCGAGGCTGTGGATTCCGGCCGGGAGAGCTGGAGATGAAGATGTCATAGACTTCGCGCGAACGTTCGGTGTATGCATACATGTCTGTGTACTGTACATATGCTACTGTATTTCCTGATGTCTCCTGATGTCTCAATCGCGCACTTGAAGGACTTTCCCCCCCACAACCGTCAAACGATGTCGCTCTTGTTGGAGCAGGATACACCGGTGAAAATCTGATACAGCCGCTATGTCAACAGCGTATTGATGGCTTTTGATAGAGAATACTCCTACGTTCTAGACTATGGCAATGTGTTGAACAGTGGTAATTTTTATCATCGTCATGGCCCTCGTCATTATCTAGTTGAACGGCTCGAGAATGGTTTCATGAGAGCATGGAAACGCTCTTCACCCTCAGCTTTCCATGGATCATGTCTTATATGGGACACGGATCCGCCAATATATATATATATATATATAGGTTAAAACTTTAACCCCCGGCTGTCCGGAAACTCCAAACAGTTGAGCAAGTTAAAAATGATCAAACGCCAAACCAAACCCGACATGACGAAATGCTAGAAACTTTAATAAAAGGGAACTACGAATTTCGACAGCAGCTTGGCTTGTCTGGCAAGGGAGGAAGAGAGGTGGATTCGATTGGGGGAGTGACAGGTTGGGTAACGTGGAGTTGGAAGGAATAACCTTCCAACGGTAAAATATTTAAACATTTGAGCGTTTGCAAATGGCGCTCTAGGCTAATAATAACTAGCCCACATCAAGCTTCCGTACAATTTTTCAGGAGTAATCCTTGAATACACAAAACCCCCATTCTATGTCCATGGGTCGAGTGTGCATACATCCTCATTGAAACAAAGGGGCCGGCCTGTATACAATGGATAAGGTAGGAAAGAAATGACCTATCTTTTTTTTGAACTCGAATTCTTGATTGAGAAACAAAACACAACGTAATTTGGTATCCATCCAAAAGGCAAGGTGTATCATCAAGTTGCCATTTTTCAGGACTTCGATTTATCAATCTGTTTTCCCTGCTATAAATGGGTCTCAAACTTTCTCCCGACAGAATGATTCAATATATCCACTGTATCAATTTCCCATGCTGTGAAATTGGTAGTTCCCTCCGGGGGGCCCTAAAATAATAGTTGATGTAACGTTCAGTATAAGCCACGTCGCTGGAAATGACAGATATGGCTTGGGTGATTGTTCGCCTCGGGATGTTTTACGAATGTAGATTTCAGAGGAAAGTTTGGAAAGGATGGAGTGCTGTATGCTTCGAGGATATATCAAGACCGGGTGGTAATGATTTGCTCGCGGGTTGGTACAAGTCGTATATGAGTGGATGGCACAGAAAGGAAAATGGCCACCCGGAATATAAATTTAAGTGTTCGTCTTGTGGGAAAACATGGGCGGTAAATTCCAAGGTTTTCGTTTATTTATGGGACTAAGTGGCCACCTACCTGTATTATATATAAATGGCTTCAACGTTGGACTCCGCAAATAAGGAGTTTGTTCCACTTCGAATAAACCCGCCTTCCCCTTCCCGCAAAACGCCAATAACCATTATATCCTGGTCTAAAAGTCGGCTTCCGCGTATAGTTGCGTTGCCTTTTGCAAGAATTCAGGCTTTTTTGCCAATGGAACCGTAGGTGGTTTGACTACCCAAAAAGGTGACATTCCCGGAAACAATACGCAGTAGTTTCAGTAGAGCTTTGGCCCAGGCATCCGAATGCCAAAGCGAGGCTATTTTGCGAAAGTATGAAGGTCAAATGCCAAACGAAACAACTTACCTTGTTACAAACAAGCGGATACAGCTCATCCTTAAGAGCCATATTCAGTAGATCCTTTTGAAGTAAATCGCTCCGGCATTCTTTATTATAAACTCTTGACAGCAATTCGTTACTAGATGAAAGTGCAGCTTTTGTATAGTAAATCTTTGCTGGTGATATCGATGTGGCAATATTGTGGGGAACAGATTTCAAGGGACTACAAAGTCATATGTTATTTATTGACTAGCTCGGAGCAGGTGAGCGGGCCATAGAGGGTTGGTTGCGTAAGCTAACTGCTAACAAGGTGCTGACCCGTCACATAAAGAATTTACTATGTATAGTAAATCTTGATTTAGAGTAGAATAGGTCTTTGATAGTTGATAGAATAATAATATTAAAAAAAAATCAATTGTATATGTTAAAATAAAAGCAGAGTAATAAAGGTGATTAATTATGTTGGTGAAGAGTTTTTGTTGATATCTTGAGATAAATAATATCTTCAACCAGCATAGAAAACATATGCTTTGATCTTCTTATCTACAACTTATAGTTAAAGGCAATATGGCAGAAGATAGTGTAATATGAGAGGCAGCAACCCTATAACTACGACACATTGAACTAAATGATACATAAACTTCAGTGGGTAGTTAGCACGTAGCGCTGCTCTTTGAGCCTTGTCATCTCTTCCATCAGATAGATACATGGAGAATTGGCACCAAATCCCCAGCCTATCTTATCACGTTACCAGGCTGACGGAAGCCAAGTGGGAACTGGTTTAACTACATGCCTGCAGGGCCCCTGGTCTATGCTAGTGGCAACCCTTTGAGACAGAGACCATATTACTACCCTGAATCTACAAGGCTAGCCGGTCGTCATCACACCTTCATAAAATCTAGTGAGCTTGTTCTTTCGATCCTCGTCCCACACACCTCGCGCCTCAAGGTAAGTCTGGTAGTGCAGGCGAACGCATTCAAGATGGAATATCTGAGTTTGTACCGGCCTTGATGAAACGCATTCCATGCCTACGGGGAAGAAGGAGGAAAGTTACTGGTGTAGCCCGAAGGGCCGCCGTAAAATCATCGAGATAGCGGTGCTGTGAGTCTGACAACATCTAGCTCGATCAATAGGCGGCAAACATGGGCTTCTAGGCTGTATCCTATGGCGCACCCACGTTGAACAGTCGTCGGATGGCAAGTCTCAAATGATGGTCCTTGCTTTCTAGCAAGATTGGTTCCTTTCTCTAAGCGCTAGGCTCAGTAAGGCAGGATGGCGTTGATTTTTAGAAGTCAACCGGAGGAGAAATCATGTAGATCAGCCATCGCACATGTCGCACCGACTGGAAATGCGGAGATAAGACACTACTGCGTACGCAGTTTTATTAACAGCTGAGGCATTTATTTTGTGATGTGCTAGTCCACAATAGTGTATGTAGCACACACATTCTGAGAGTCATTGAACAAGAGGGGGAAAGGAAATGTTCGCAACGCTTGAATTGGGTACGAAACGGCTGAATGTGGTTCAAAACCCCAAGGTTCCAAGTTGAACATGGCTCCAACTTCCAAGTTCTGAGCCTGGCAGTTGGCAATAATCCGAACTCGTACCCTGGTACGGAGAGCATAGAAGTAATGAGTGCCGGTTAGGCTCCGGGGGTATCAAATTCAACAAGGCACCTTTAGTAGGTAGATTAGGTATCGACGACAATATCGAGAAAGATCATAGAAACGAAAAAAATTTTAAAAATGAAAAAAAAAGATGAAGTAAATAACAAAATTAAGAGAATAGTCAGTAGGGCCACTCCAATCATTGCGGGCTACTGCTAGGCAATCTTGAGTTCAAATCGATCCAATATTTAGATGATAACTGATGTGGTGGGAAGATTCGCCCGCTTGCCTCCAGAAACAGCCTTCTCAATCCACTTGCTCATATCGGCGTTGTTGATGCCGCAGCCCGCTCGAAATCAAACGAAAAAACAAAACCCAAAACACTAGCTCATCCACGCGAACATGCCCAGCCACAATAACTACCAGTGTATCTGAAGGGAGGAGAATCCCTTGTTACTTACGGAGTAGCCGAGTAGTAACTCCGCGCAACCCGTTGCTGCACCATATCTTAACTCTTTCCATCCCGATCCTCCAGGCCTCCTAATCGTCATAATACTGCTCCTCCCTCACAGGACGAGCAGTCGCAAACCCAGCCCGCTCAACAGGGGCATATTCGCGACGCGGACGTGGTTCATCGTCCACGTACACACTTACCTCACGCCCGCCAGGCCTGTTACTCTGCATACGTTGCAGTGGCTGGCGGGAAGGTTCCCCATATCGCGACGGTGGGGGCCGAACGCTGGGCATCCTCACCATATCTTCCCTGGGCAAGGGATCCTCGAAATAGGTCGCATGCCGAGGAGGAGGTGCGTAGTCGGCGAGTCCTTGTTCGTCAACCTCACGGGCATAGATGGGCCGCTCACGAACGACTTCGCGAGGATATTCCGGCGCTGGTGCCCGTCGATAAGTTAGAGGCGGGGGCGGCATGTTTTGGGAGTAGCGGCGGTCACGGTAAGGGTCCTCCATTACAGAGCTAGCACGAATGCCACCGGTTGGCATGCGGGAAGGACCTTCGTTATATGACTCCATCCTCGCGAATCTTCCTGATGGAGTAGACAACGGTTGGAGCCTGGGGGCTGGGGTGGCTATTTGTTCGATGTATCGATTGCCATCAGCGTCGACTACTACGCGTCGCTGAGGTGGGGCCATGACACGGGGCTCCGGCTCTATCTCCGGATAAGATTCACGGAGCCTTGATGGTGGGGGAGGCGAGACGTCCCCAGATATATATCTTCTACCGTACGGTTGTGCTGGCTCCTCATAATATCTAACCCTTTCTTGCGGGGCTGGACGGTCGGTTACGGCATAGGAAGTAGCTCGTATCAGTCGGGGTTGGTAGTCAGTTGGCGACTCTATATAGTCATGCACATACTCAGGCTGTCTAGCATTGTGCAAGCTTGCAACACGACGTAGATTTTGGTCATCGCGAGGTGGTTTCGTGTAAGCAATTCTGGATGTAGACCGCGGGATACTCAAATCGATAGGGTGTCCCATATCATAGCCTCTATCTGTATGTTCCTCGTATACTCTTCTTTGTCCACTCTCCCGCCGATTGTCCACAGGGGAATATCGCGGGGAGGAAATATCAACATATACAGGTCCCTCGTGGTGTGGTCGCTGTTTTGATGAGCTAGCAAGTGGGAGATCGGACAATACCGGAGGAGAAACTGGCTCGGGCTTGATATAGGGTTGATCGGGTGAGTCTGCCACCCTTGCTTCATTGGCAACGCGAGGTCTATTCTCCTGAGTACGTCGCCGTTTTCGGGGGTTTAAAAGGGGCGGAGCAGTTTCAGGGCTTGTACGTGCAGATCCGTGCACGTTGGTCACCTTATCGACAGGGCGTGTGTGCCGCTGTTGCCGACTTTGGGGAAGTGACGGCACCTTTGAAACAGCAAGCGGAGAGACTCTCGAGGGCTGTGGGGCAGCTGGAGAAGTGATATGATTTCTGACGACCCTAATGTCATGACCTGGTGGTGTAACACGCCTCGCATCCTGACCACGATCTACCGGCCTGCCATAACTCCTCCGCCTATAGTGTATACCTGGTACTGGTTCCTGAATGTAATCTCCCTCTTCCTCTCTCCGTCTCAAAGGGATATCTGGACCGGGTGGGGAGTATTCTGGCTCATCGTACATATCAGGCTGCTCCCGGCCATGGTATCGGCTGGGGCTGGGGCGACGAGGAGTAAGGTTTTCTGGGCTCCTCGAAGGCCCATGCTTGTCCGCAACATTATACAATGGTTCCTGCATCTCCACATCCATCATATCGCGATCACCGGAATCACTATTGCGATCCTCAACACGCTGCCGGACTACATGACCTTCATAAGGAATCTCGTTGTCTTCTACTGGTCGGACCGGATTTTGTCGGGCGGCGGTGGATAGCTGCTGAGTTCGGTCACCGGTTTGAGGAGAATCGGGGGCTTTGCTCGAGTAGAACGAGTTGTCCTCGAGAGAATCACTGGCTGCGGTGTCTGCATTAGCCCCATCCAGATCAGTTGTTGAAATAGGTTTAACAAGTAGCAATGCCTCTCTCAAGACTTCTGAAACGTCGAAGTCAGGCTTCGCTTCTTGGAGACACGTCTTTAGTCTGTACTCAATCTTCCTCTGCTCAATCCGGTCACGCAATGTACGCTCAACCCGCTGCCGTTGGAGTTGTAATTCAGCTCTAATCAGATCGTCAGATTTGGTAAGGAAGATAGGATCAATTTCAGATGCTGGTTTTTGAGTAGCTAGATGGCCACTGGGACCGCTGTGACTGGAGGTAGCAGCGGCCTGTGAAGCAGCTGGAGCAGCCCCAGCCGGAGCCGCCGCCGCAGCAGAACCATTTGCCAATGCCAATGTGTTAGGCTGCATGCTGGAAGGAATGGGATGCGTTTTTATCCGCGGAGCCTCCAGCGGCTCTGCAGGCATTGAATGGACAATAGGGAGCGGAGGTGTTTGCACAGAGCGGGTGGTAACCTTGCGAACAACATGCTGGGGAACCTTTAACCTTGGATGATTTCCAGAGAATATCTGGTCATGTAGATTCACAATTTTCTCGTACTCTATCATCTCCTTCAGATCTGGTTGATTGCCGCGATGGCCATTGACTGGGCCCATCACACTGTCGGCTACGGACATGGCGATAGTGGCACTCAGACGATGTTGATGTGGGTGTCTCAAGGCAAGTCCTAGTTAGAACGACGACAGCAACCTTCCCACAACACGCATTCCACTTTCCTGTGTAGTGCGAAGCAGGCAAGATTGCTGTGAGAGAATGGCTATGGCCTGTGATGAGCAACAGCAGTTCAAACTCCACCCCGTGGGCACAGAGCAAGAAACAGCAAGAAACAACCCTGGAGGTGTTTGGAGGTCTGCATCCACCTCGCTTACGCGGAGTTTTCGCTGCTGCAGGCGATTCCGCGGCCAGCCAATCAGGAGCAAGGCTGGGCACGCTAAGCCGAAAACGATCATCCCGAGACTGGTATCGGAACATCATTTTATCCGAGCATCAATCGATGGTGAACATCTCTTCTTGACAGGAGCATGAACGTTGCTCACTCATACAGATAAATATTAGTGTTTTTTGCGGCTCTAGGCGGGGCACTTTATAGACAGGGGCTTTGTTGCATCCCGAGCATCCAGTGTTGAACTGTGTTGAGATTCCAATCTACCCATCCTCCTTATCCTTGGGACGGCTTGTGTATCTTGTTTATACAAACTAGAACACGGGTTATTCGTCAGGTTTTCTAAACTATAGGGCCTGTGGCGATGATGGGATTCCAAGAGGAAGACCTCGAGAATAGCACAAGGCCTGAGCCTAGCCTACCAGCTCATGACTTACGGCCTGTATTCTTTTTCGATATTGATAACTGTGTATGTGTAATATATTTAAGCTGATGGCTTAAATAGAAATACCACTGGCCATATCTTATCATTTTATATTACGGTTGGGCTGGTTGATTGACTAACGTTATACACATATGTTCGCCCCCTACACAGCTTTACTCGAGAAGTAAGACCGCACCCCTGAGCGAATATGTCTATGTACCTGAACAGCTATGCTAAGAACTAGCTAGGCAATAGAATTCACGACTTAATGCAACAACTTATCAGTATGTATTTCATGCATGCTTTTTATCATTGCATCAATATGATCATCTCAACATTAACCCCGCTCATCCTTATTTTTTTTAACCCCCCCTTCTCAAAAAATCAGACAACTTCTTCGCCAAACACCTCTCCCTTGACTCCCAAGACGCCACAATGCTTCACCAAAAATACTACAAGGAATACGGCCTAGCCATCGAAGGCCTAACCCGACACCACAGGATCAACCCTCTCGAATTCAACAGACAAGTCGACGACGCTCTCCCTCTCGACTCTATCCTAAAACCGGATCCGCAGCTCCGCTCCTTCCTGCAGGACTTCGACACGACCAAGGTGAAGCTGTGGCTGTTCACGAATGCATACTCCACCCACGCGAAGAGGGTGGTGAAGCTGCTGGGCGTGGATGATTTGTTTGAAGGCCTCACGTTCTGCGATTACGCGGCGCTGAAGTTGGTATGTAAACCTGACATGGCCATGTTTGAGAAGGCAGAGAGAGATGCGGGCGCGACGGTGGCCGGGGGTTGTTTTTTCGTTGGTGAGTTTTTTTTTTTTTTTTTTTTTTTTTTTTTTTTTTTTTTTCATAAATGAAATTTAAGAGATACTACCATCCATATTGCCATCTTTTTTGTTTGCCTAAAACACACGAGGCATACCGTCCTGACTCCTTTATTTCTAATTTGTTGTTCTCCTATTTGTGGTGGCGCCAGACGATTCCGCTCTGAACTGCAGAAATGCTCAAGACCGCGGTTGGGAGACGATACATTATGTGGAGCCACATATTCTTCCACCAGAGGTGCCAGCATCGAAGTATCAGATTCGACGTCTCGAGGAGCTTCGGGATCTATTCCCGCAGTTCTTTAAGTCGGCAAGCTCAACGATCTAGACGAATATTTACGTATCGGGGCGTTTTCGATTTTAGAGGACCTGGTTTCCTCTTTTTCGTTTCCGTTGAGTTGTTTTTTCTTAGAATTATGCAGTTGGGCCTGAGTACCAAGGTACGAATACATGCAGTGTTTTGGATTCATATTAGCGGTATCTCCTCGTCTGGGGGCGAGGCACAATTAGCGCATTACCATTAGTGTATTAACTAGACTGTTAGTTCAGAAGTACCAACCAATAATTTCTCATACTAAAATATATGCAATTCTATTTGCTGGTACAGATCCACTATCTCATATTTTCTTCTCAACATATTGCTGCTTCATCATTCAGCTTCAAGAATCCATCTTTCTTCTCACCCCACACTCTGCAGAACCATGGCATTCAAAGGTATTTCCAGTTCTCTAATACTTCTTGAAATAATATCTGCTAATTATTTATTAGACAGTACAAAAAAGAGTGAGAAACAAAAACAATCTCCAAGTGAAATTATAGCAGATATTCCACCTCTGAAAGATGTCAAATTTAATTCTATGAAAGCTCTTCATCGCCTGCCAGCTGTCAATCTACCTAATAATATTGATCCACAGAGTCCATATGCTCTATTCTCTCTCTATATCTCAGAGGCAGATATTCAGAATATTACAAGCTCCACCAATGCCTATGCAGAGATACAGATCTCAAGGAATCCAGCTCTCAATCCTTGAGATTGGCAGCCAACTACTTCTGCAGAAATAAAGGTATTTCTTGGGCAGATTATCTATATGAGAATACATAAATCTCCAACAGTTGGAGATTATTGGAATAAGAATGATGCTCAGGGACCACTACATCCATCAAGATTTCACATGGGACAGTATAGATTTGAGCAGATTAAGAGATATATCCACATATTCAACTCTTACAGATTGGAATCTTCCTTCATTCAGAAGCTAGAGCCTCTGTACTCAAATTTTCATACAGTCTGTCAGAGATACTACATCTCTGGTTCCAATCTCTCCATTGATGAGATGATGATTCGATTCTTTGATTGATCAAGATACACAGTCAAGATGCCTCAGAAACCAATTAAGCAGGGATATAAGATCTTTGGACTAGGAGAACAGGGCTATCTTTGGACCTTTTCCATGTCCAATGATAATCTCCGCATAAGTACAATGTTCCGAACTCCAGGATTAACCAAAACTGGATCTCTTGTGGTGGAATTGATTGAACAGCTGCCAGTATTCTTGCAGAGCACCGAGCAGCAGAGCACCGAGCAGCAGAGCACCGAGCAGCAGAGCATCAATCAGCAGAGCACCGAGCAGCAGAGCACCGAGCAGCAGAGCATCAATCAGCAGAGCACCGAGCAGCAGAGCACTGAGCAGCAGAGCACCGAGCAGCAGAGCATCAATCAGCAGAGCATCAATCAGCAGAGCACCGAGCAGCAGAGCACCGAGCAGCAGAGCACCGAGCAGCAGAGCATCAATCAGCAGAGCACTGAGCAGCAGAGCACTGAGCAGCAGAGCACCGAGCAGCATATGGAGTTGAATAACAGTAAAGAGGTAGCTGGCTACTCAATTTATATGGACAACTACTTCACCTCTGTTGCTCTATTCCACTATCTTTGAAAGCAAGGAATTGGAGCTTGTGGAACCACCCGTCCTGCCAATCTACCACCTCTTTTACAAGAATTAAAGAACTCTGGATTATCTGCTCATATTCCCTTCAATACTCTGTGTATTATCCCTCAAAATGAAGTTCTCTGTCTTGCATGGAAAGATAATAATGTGGTTTTACTACTATCTACAGTTCATAAGCCAGACAGCTTCATTGAATGTATCTGGAAATGTCCTGGGATCAATTCCACCAATGGCTCACAGATTCGACGGCTATTTGGTGATAAATTTGAACAATCTATGGAGATTCCTACCATCATTGATGACTACAATCATTATATGAATGGGATTGACCTAGCAAATCAGTATAGAGCTTCCTATGAGACTCATATGCCCACCAATTGCATCTGGTTGTCAATTCTATACTGGATTATTGATCATGCTATTGTCAATGCTTATATCCTTCATCGACTGGCTACTACTGGCACTACTGGCACTACTGGCACTACTGGCACTACTGGCACTACTGGCACTACTGGCACTACTGGCACTACTGATACTACTATATCTCATCTTGAATTCCGTCGGCAGCTCTATCTTCAACTCCTGGAATTCTCAAATCCTCTACCTACTACTCGATCAAATTCAGATCTAAATCACCATCAAATTCCTCTGTCAGAACCTTGAGCTTGTGCCTGGTGTCAGTACAAAAGAAAGAGAACAGAGCAGAAACAAGGTAGAGCTCCGAGATCAAGATATGGTTGTGCTGCATGTAACAATATTCCTCTCTGTTTGAAAAGTCAGTGTTGGCAGGAGTTTCATTCCAATGATTAATTAGGATTAGATCAGATAGATTACATAAATTACACTAAAACACACCAATACAGCAGATCTCTCATATCATCCAGTAGTTTTTATGTATTTAATACACTAAGGTACGCGCTAAAAAATTGCGCTAATTGTGCCTCGCCCCCAGACGAGGAGATAGATGGATTTAAGGGGATTCAATTTGTTCATTGCACATGATAACTTCTAAAACGACTGAATGGTTGAGTATATGGTTGTGATGGTGATGTAGATAGCAGCGATCGGCAGGAGGATGTCAAGACGATATATGAATGGGCATATATACTAATAACAGGAAATTATGTATACGCCCCCGGAAATAAACGGGAGTAGCGCCCTCCCTCAAGTGTAGGGAAAAAAATGTTCGGAATATTATAAACAACAGGCCGCAGACCTAAAGTGTTACCATGTCATCAAAGAGAATGAAGGAGAAAATAAGAGTGAAAGATATAAAGTCCAATCGAGCCAATGATCTATTGCTTAGAAACTTCAGTATTCGGAGCCGCCAGAGGCCTAGGGTTCCCAAAAGCATCGCACGGACTAAAGCGCCATGCTCCCGAATATCGCCATTGTAGAACGTATTTTGATAAGTACTTGATTGGCGGCGGGACCGGGGGGAAAAGTCGAGATTCCCCATCTATCTTGAACGTGGAATCCATACAGCCGAGCATAAAGGGTGCATCTCTGTATTAATAGGGTAAGCGTGGAAATAGTCACCGAACAGGGTAGGGAAGAAGAAGAAGAAGAAGAAGAAAAAGAGGCCCATACTGGAATACATCCATATTCTTCGTGGCGTTCTTCCCAGTTTGGCTCCACCACGCCTCCAACTTTTTCGAATCGTACTTCGCAAGATCGAGGAGCGTCGGGATTTCCCCGACCAGATGCTTATGAAGCGCCGGAACCAAATTATCCAAAACCTCCTGTAAGCTCTTGCCATCGTACGACTTGGCATCTGTCTCGAAAATATATTCGCGGAACTTCTCGAGACCATCCTCAAAGTCCTTGTGCTCTTGAATGTTCTGGTCCATGATGTCTTCGACTCCCGTCAACTTTGCGAGGCCTGGGAACGAGATCTCCTCCTCCACATCGTGGTGGGATTTGATGTTCTTGTATAAAGCGCGGTTGTAAATCAGGAAATCGCTCGCGTCGACAGTGTCCGGTTTTACGGCGAGACATTGGTTGTACGAAGAGTTGAAGCCACGGATGATCACGTTATGCAGGTGGGCCATGTTCTGTGCAGCCGTGATGGCGAAATGGCCGAGGGGGATATCGGAGCGTTCCTTATATCCAGTTTCCGAGATCAGGCTCATGGGTGTATCCGCCCATATTTTTGACATTTTTGGGTCGCCTGGCAAATGAGTTTCAATAATCAATAACTGGGGGTGAATAAAACAAAAAATAAAAATTTGATATCCAAAGGGACAGCAAAAGCGATATGCACAGAGATGGGAATGAAGCTTGGGCAGCCCTGTATTCGAGAGTGGGACTTCGAATAGACAACACTTCTTTCCAAAGAGAAAGCTGCCTTGATTTATATTTCATGGCAAAGTTATTTTCACGGCAACACGACTTCTCCAACCCAACCGGAGATCTGTGGGGTAAGCAGTCGATACCGGTACGATTTTGTGTGTCTGGATTTCGCATGCGTCGGAGCTCACGTACAAATTCCACCGATCGCTCTTGACGCCACAAAAGCATTATTTGACGGCCCAATTGCTAGGAAGGTGTTTTGCTGCTGTTGCATGTATGGCCCTAATCCTTGCGAGGAACGGCTGGTTGGATTCGGCGTTCTGGAGGAAGCAAACCGGATATGTTTGGGTGCGGGAAAACGTGGCGGAGTCGGAGTAGGCGCATTCATTGGGAGAACACCATTCTTTCTTGCAAGACTGCATGGCTGAAAATGGACAGAAAGGGCTCGAGAGGAAAGCTTCATTTGTTTGGTTTCTTCGATTCACGGCCTTGGGGTGGGCGGCAGATGAATGTGAGATCGAGGCGTGAGACGACAATGTTGTGAATGGAAAACCGGAGATTCGACTCTTTCGTCTTTGCCGGCAATGGTTTTGGCGAACATCTGATTGAAAGCTGTGCTCTGGGTTTCTTCTTTCGTGTTGCTAATACGAGAATTTAGTGGAACGTCAGCCACAGCGCACCAAAACCGCCGACATGCCGATGGAAGAGTTAGCACGCGGGATCTTAGCATGCAGGTTGTGCATCATTTATTTTATGATGTTGTTTCTCATCTGCACAACTTTGAGCTTTCTCCATATGCATCCCTAAGTTTCATCGGGAGGAAATATGTATGAATTTCTCTTAATGACGTCTCCACGCTTTTGTTCTGCCAAGTTGCCAACATCTCCGGGTGCTGCTCTGGTTTGTAGAATGTCGGTCATTTTTGACCTCTTAGGGTCCTGCTTCCCCCAACCGTGCTACTAACCCTTGAAGTCCTTAGGGGATCTGCAGCACTCACTGCTGATTGATATTAGGGGCAAGTTTCTGGGTGTTTTGGGATGAAGGGGGATGTAACTCCCTGCAATCTGTTACCTGGATATGATACAAGCTAGAGGGTTTTCTAGCAGGTGGTGTCCATCATCTTGTGTTACTTTACTTTTGTAAGCATCTCGTCCGACCGAAGTGTGTGGGATGGGTCAAGTGATCCTCAAAAAGAAGGAAATATACTAATGTCAGATGTTTTGTGACCGTCAATGGAATAAACCAGCGCTGTCTGGAGGGACCTTCCACTATCCGTCACCATGTGTTTCGGGATGCTGCGTGAGCTGACACAAATCCAAATGCAGCGAGACAGACATTTTTAACCTGACGGATGGCTCTAGAATCTTTGGTTGTTCCTCAATCATATTTGTCATACATCAGTGCAATGACAGGTCTTTAAGCTCGGAGTAGAATCCCATAGTTATCACTGTCAGCTTGCTCAGCTCACAGAATCCGAATCCGAAAATCCCTAGGGTACAGTTCTTGAAACACTGCTCTCGTTAAGTAGGGACAGACTGCTCATTCCTAGGAGTACCTAGGTGGCTATAATATAGTTTGGAACCTCGATCTTAGTTATCTATTGTTATTGCAGCCAAGATGAGAGGGTACAAGAATGTAGTTCTGTGGCCGACGACGAACTGAGATGAACACCACGTCCGGAAGAGGATCTGTCATACGTATATGATGGCGAGCAGAGTCGGTCCATATTTTGACAAATGCTGCGTAGAGGGCCTTGAAGCACCAGCTAGGAGTCAATGTGGTTTGTCTGCGGTTGTGCTTCAACAAGTGCGGCTCTTGACGTTGATGCCAAGCTGGGTGTTTGTCTTGTTTGACAGGTCGCGGTCCACGTCAAACCAAGTTCGTTCGTGAGCTTTGTTTAAGGGGCCGCCGAAGAGGAACAACGGACAACATCATTAGCACCAGGAACACACGGCCCTCCCAAAAGCAGCGTGTCCGCTGTTCGGACTACACCCGTTTTGCGTTTGTCTCTGATGCTCAGTTGGAAGTTCCGCCTCAAAGATGGGTGATCTTTCCCCTGGCCAGGTGGTCTGTTTATCTGATGGCCGAAACGCAATCATCCGCTTCATCGGCAGTACCAGTTTTGCTCCCGGAGATTGGATTGGCGTGGAGTTAGGTGAGCCAACGGGTAAGAATGATGGATCTGTCCAGGGAGAACGATACTTCGACTGTGAACATGGCTTCGGAATGTTCGTCAGGCCCGCTGCGGTCGTCAGTGTGCTAGAACAACCCAAACAAGAGGAACGCAAGACGGGACCAAAAGGAGGTCTACACGGAGCTTCCCAGAGAAGCAGACCGCCGAGCGGCACTGCTGGTAGCGGCCTTGTGCCGAAAAAACAAAGCGTACCTGGCCCAAATGCTTCTAGGAAACAGAGCACCACCTCCAGCCCTTCGCCGGCTCCAAGGCCTGGAGCTCCAGGCCGACCTCTCAGGGTAGGGAAACTCCTCAATTTCATTCTTCCGAATATAGTTTAATACGGTTTATAGTCCCCGACAAAATCGCCCACAAAACAGTTGTCAACCACTTCCCGAACATCCACTATTGGGCCGCGCCCTCCCGCCACTGCTTCGAAACCCCGACAGAGCTTAAGCGGCCGTAATTCAATGGCTCCCACTCCTACTCCAGTGGCTGCCAAAGGGCCTCGACAATCTCTAATGGGTACATCAAGCAAAGCTTCCCGTCCTCTCAGTCAACCACCTCGACCTACCTTTACCGGTCCGGCCAAACGGATTTCCCCCAGACCTACAGCCAGTAGTAGAACAACTAACATCGAAAAGATCAGGAGCCCAACGAGCGAGTTGAGTGAGGAAACTGGGGATACCGAAATCTCCAACACACACTCCGAGTCAAGTAAACCTACATCCGCTCCTCGAGTCTCCCTTGCTGTACCGCAACGATCGGTGTCGGGAACCAATCCTGTACTTAAAGAAGTGGAAGATCTGAAAACGAAGTTAAGGGTAATGGAGAAAAAACGAGTAGAAGACAGGGAGAAATTGAAATCGCTGGAGACATTACGATCCGAAAGGGATAAATTCGAGGTGATCATCCAAAAGTTACAAACGAAGTATCAGCCGCAACAGCAGGAGATTACCCAGCTTCGAAAACAGCTAAAGGATGCCATGGCAAGAGTCGAGGAAGCGGAACGCCTTCAGGCTGAACATGAATCAATTGTCGAAATGGCAACCCTTGATAGGGAAATGGCAGAGGAAATGTGTGAGGCCATCAAGGCCGAGTTTGAAGCCCTAAAGGAGAAATCGGAGGAGCTAGAACTAGAAGTTGAAGTGTTGAGGGAAGAGAATCAGGAACTAGGCCAAGTGATGAGCCCTGAAGAAAAGTCGAGTCAAGGCTGGCTCCAGATGGAACGAACAAACGAGAGGCTTCGTGAGGCCCTCATTCGTCTTCGCGATATGACGCAACAGCAAGAGACTGACTTACGGAATCAGATCAAAGAATTGGAAGGGGAGTTGGAGGATTTTGCTGCTATTAAGGCTAATTACGAGATAGCAAAGGAACAACTTCTTATTACTGAAGCAAATATGGAGGATCTCAAACAACAAGTTGAAGCTCTCGGCGCTGAGGACATGATTGAGGAGCTGGCTGAGAAAAATATGCAGTATCAGGAGCAAGTGAATGAGTTGAAAGCGGTGATTGAAGACCTTGAGAGCCTGAAGGAAATAAATGACGAACTGGAAATTAATCATATGGAGACGGAAAAGCAATTACAAGAGGAAATGGATTTCAGGGAGACTATCTATCTTGAACAGGCACGAAGAATGGCTCAACAGGATGAGGTAATTGAGGATCTAGAGTATACCTTGTCCAAATTCCGAGAGCTAGTCTCAAATTTACAGAGCGACCTCGAGGACATGCGAGTCTCACAGCAGCTCACAGAAACGGAGTCAACTGAGCTCACTGCACGTTCGAGGGCGATGATGGACCTAAACATGAAATTACAAGCATCTGTTTCGAAAGCTCAAACGAAAACAATAGAAGTGGAGCTAGGTCGTATGGCAGCAGAGGAATCGGCACAGCATTTGGAGATTATGAAACTTTACCTGCCTGAATATTTCGAGAGTGAACGAAATCCAATTCTTGCTCTATTGCGTTTTAAAAGAGTTAGCTTCAAAGCATCCCTTATGGCTACCACTGTACGGGAACGGATATCCGATCCCACGTCTCCATCCGCCGGACAAGACGTGTTTACAGCATATGAAGTTCTCGAGAAGTTAACATGGATAGCCTCTCTTTGCGACAGATTTATCAATTTCATAAATGGCTGCTCCACCGAAGAATTCTCTGCTTTTGAAGGTGCTGTGTACGAACTTGAACCAGTGGAACGCATTCTCAATTCCCGGATTGAAGGACTGAAGAAAAATGAGCTTGATGAAAAGAAATGTGCGATTGAGCTCCAGCGATCGATCGCGCTACTTTCACATTTAGCTGAAGCCCTCATTCCACCTAACCTGGAGTCGCATGCTGATAGAATTTACATGCGTTCAGCAATGACACAGACCTATCTGGACTATGCTGCTCTATCATTTTCCCAACTAAGATCGACATTACAGGCTAGGCTTCCACCTCCAAGTGATGATGACGAGGAAGGGCTGTTACTATATCAAAAAATCGATGCGCTGGGCAACCAAACCCGGACCGGAAAAATAATTGCTGGAAAAATTACCCGGTATTTGGATGATTTGAAATCAAGGTGCCTTGCATTGACTGAAGACTGCGCGGATCCTTTTGAGAAATGCGAGGGGGCAGCTAAGGAACTCTCGGAACTCGCCAGACAGCTCGGGGAAAACATAGCGTTACTGACTGAGGAGGAAGGGCGAACAGAGCCAGTCACATATGCCGAAATTACTTCCAATATGTCACAGACTGTCATGTCTCTTCTACAACCGTCCTCTGTTGTGGCTGAATCTGATGATAACAACGCTCTGTCCATAGCTGCCAGTAAACTTCGCATTTTGGGATCATATCTTGAGGAGGCTTCTAATGCTTCGTCTGATCTGACCCAGACTGTTGAGTTTGAACGCCATCCAGCCCCTTGGACCCTACGGGCGAATGAACTTAAGTCGAACAAGGTGATTTCTCCAGATGCAGATGAAGAGATTCGACGTTTAAAGAACGAAGTTCATGAGACATCTACTGCACTCGGCGTCAAAGACAAAGCTTTCGAGGAGCAGACAATTAAAATCGAGCTTCTTGAATCGAGAATGCGTGACGCTGGGAAGAAAGCAGCCTTGGTTAAGGAGCTTGGGTCTAAATTTGAAGCATTGCAAGAGAAGGAACAGGAATTAATCGGCATTGTGGAGAAACAGTCAGCCGACCTACAAAACATGGAGCGTGAACGAGATGATTATAGAGCTCGACTAGAAAAGTTGAAGCGAGCATCGGGATCCACTGGCGTCGTTCTTGGTGCAGATGGCGTCATGTCTATCGACGCAGCTGCATCTTCCGCCGTGATGAAAGAAAATGAAGCCCTGCGTGCAGAGGTAGCGAGCTTGCAATCCGCAGTACGCTTCCTCCGCGAAGACAATCGTCGTGCGAACTTTATGGACCCCTATTCTGTGCAACGTACAAACCACCTGCGCTCTTGGCTGGATACTCCCCTTGTTCGGCCCAAGATCGCTCCCGAAGACAAGCGAGCGGAATACAATGCTGCTTCTGAATGCCAGGATGTTCTCACGCATTTACTGAAGCTCACGAAAGAATCCAAATTCGTGGATCTCAGGTCCACTCTTCCCCCAGATGAAGCAAGCCGCCTGTCGTGGCGGCCGATTAAGTCCACAACCAGGTACCAAGTTCTACGGCAAAGGGAAGAGTACGAGCAATGGGCTCAATGGAAAGACGATGTCGCGCGGCGTGAACGCCTAAGGGCGCGGAAAGAGCATAAAAGCATTAAGAAAAACTCGTATCACCTGGATACGGCAGAGATTCCTGCCGAAATTTCACTGGCCAAGGTCTCTTCTGACTCTCGCCAGGCGATGGTGTTAAACGATGCTGGAGGCCAGAACCTTCCTACCAAAGGCAGAGGAGTCATGGATCGTGCATGGAAAATCCTGGGGATGCAGGGAGATGACGATTCTCATGATGAGTCTGAATATGGTGAGCCTGGTGAGGTAAAAATTGTCAATCATTAGCAGAATAGATATTCCTTTTCTCGTCAAGTTTACCCAGCCCTTTCTTGAAGGACATTCAACGTTTATTTCCTCTGTCACCAGTTACTGATACCCTCGTCGCAAGATCCTCTTTCATATTAGACACTGAAATGCTGCGTCTGCATTTTTCTTCATTTTTGGCCGCTGATATTAAAAATATGGACATTCCCATATGCCCACATTGGTTATATTTCATTGTTTAACTTATTATACATGGGCTTCCAGACGAGATGATCTAGTCCACTACCTAAAGCAAGGCTCTTTCTTTTCTCGCACCTTTCATGGCCATTATAAATTCTAGGTGCAACTCTGCTCAACGTTTGTACGCGCAGCATGCCCCCCTTACCAACTATTACGATTGTATTTTCCACTGGCTTTTTTGCACCCTTGCCCCCCACCTGCCTTCTTCCTATGTAAGATACCCATCGAGACTCCTTCATGTGCTCCTGGCTATTTCCTTGTTCTTGTTTTGTGTGTCGCTCTGTATTCTACAGTCCCTATTTCTTCCTTTGGGAACTTAGCGAAAGCTTACTGAGGCGCGATGCTGTATCATTATTATATACGGAAAAATGGAGGCTTAAAAATCAAAATTTATAAACTATAACCGGGTAATTTTATTTACGGATGGACGATATCATCAATGGTGAATGGTTTGGAGATTTTATGCACAAATTTTTATTTAAAACACTCTTGCGCCTGTATCCTGAAAATTGGACGGCGTTAGCGGCTCTTGTCTTCTTCCAATCCTGGTTGGTGGTTGGTTGGGCTCTTGGTACTGCGCAGGCATATATCAGAAACGGAGTCATGTAATGTAGATGGTCATAATATATTGGATCGAGAACGACAAGGTATCAAAGGGTATATGGTTAAAAGTAGCTAGGTAGCCAGTTTTCAAAGAGGCGTAATCATAGATTGATTGCACACCTCATTGAATAGAAATAAAGAAGTCAAGAAAAAGGCTAAAAAAGAAAAGGCTAACTAACAAGCTATTAGAAAGAAAAAAGACAAACCATCACCCTTCCCAGCTCGTGGCCGAAGTTTAAGGTCCGCAACAGCTTTTGATCCGTCCAAGGCCAAAGATTAAAAGAACGGGGGTATCGCTAACCTACTCCCTCGAAAATATAATGCGCGTGGGGAAAAAGATGTTAATTGGAATAGGAAATTGTAGTAACTGCGCGAAGGCGGCTTCAGAACAAAAACTCGGGCTTTGACTGGAGCCGAAACCCGGCACAATAGTAAGGGAACTGGGGACGGGTAGAGGAGTGTATAGTTTTGGAATGAAAAAAAATATATATATAAAAGTAATGAGGGAGGAAAAGCAGGCCGCAGAAAGGAGAATTGCATGACATTTAGGGAAGGATGTGGATAATGTGATTCGTAATTAGCATAAGTCTCGCGTAAGCAAAAAGCATTGTTAGCCTTCCTTTACGAGGGGTGGCTGTTGGACTCTGATCACTCGGGAGAACCTCAGTGTTACGAAGTTTAGTTCCATAGTTGGTTGGCATTTCGACACAGATATGGGTGGGAAACACCCTTGACATGAACCCAAAAAAGGAAAATTAAAATGCCACGCCGACTGCGTCTGGTCTAAAATCAACTGGACTCGTAGTTTCCGAAGTGATAAGGAACTTGTCATCATTATTATGATAGTAATATTGATGGGAATGGCAGTAGTCAGCTTCGTAGACAGTCGGGAAGGGTTCTTCAAGGCGTGAAGCAAACATCTTATTACCGTGAGACATGTTGAATGCTGTGGTTGTTCCAGTCGGCTCGAGCTCCCTGTCTACGGACTCTGGGATAGATGGCGGGGGATGGACGGTTGTGGTAGTTATGGCACTGGAGAGTGACGGAGTCTTTCCAGAGCAAGCCGTCACAGACGAGTTGTTTGCTGATGATGTGGTCGAGCCGCTTAGGGTGCGGGAGTGGATTGTTGAGTGGTTTGGATGCTGAGAGCGTGAGGTCCACCGGGTGGAGGCGGCCTGGAATGTCGTATCCGGAGAAGAGGATGGAGGTTTGGGGAAGAGCCATTGAGTGACTTTGTTGGAGCGGGGGGATTTTAGGCCCACACTCTTTATCGGTTGGTTGTTGAGCGGGATGAAACCTGTTTGTGATGCCATTCTGGTGGTATTGGTAGGTGGGGAAGGGAATGAAAAATCGTATATCTCTTTCGAACTACTTATGACATGTGGCTCTTTCTGGTGATCAATTACGAGACTGCTGTCGCGATTTTGCGGCTCGCTCATTGTTCGGGTATGCCCAGCATGGGTATTGCTCCGGATGTTAATTTTGTCGACTGAAATTCGTGGGGCCGGGTCGAGATTAGGCCCAGGAGGTTGAGGTTGCAGTCGATGGTCGTGTACTTCAATGCGGTCACTGACTGACAGGGACCGGCGAGATATGGAACCCACTGGCTTTCGACGGACCTTAAACGACGATACGGAAGGGCCATGAATGGCAGAGCTATCTTCCGGAGAGAATACCTTCGCAGGTGGCTTGGGGCGTAATTGTTTGAATCTGTTAAAGTTGTCGATATCGAATAAGTCGAACTCTGGTAAATCTGACAGTCGATTCCCTGGTTGATAGATGCTGAGCTCGAGGGGACGGAAGGACTCAAGACGGGAGGCGGGAGGGTGAAGCCTTCTAAAGTCCGAAGGGTTGCTGATTGTAGGGGTGTGGGAGAAGCGCTTGTTGGTTTTTCTTCGGGTAGATATTCGATCAGTTGCTCTGGATGCTAGGGTCCTGCCCTCAGAAACCCAATGGGATATGCTTGACGAACGAGAGGCACCTGGGCCTGGGAGGTCATCATAAAAGACCAGCTTCATAGGTGGGACGAGATGAGGTTGATCATGGCAGAGTTTCATTTCTCGCGGGACTCCTGCAGTAAGTGGTGTTAGTAACTGAGCCTGGAGTTGGTGATGATTGTCATTCAACAAGCACGCGACACAATCCCACTTACCCATCTCATGAACAGGGCGCTCATGGGCCTGCCCATCGCGCGGATGCCAGATACAAGTCAAGCAAGAGAACCATTGCTTGAGACCCGAGCCCACTTGCTCCATCGAGTCTGTTGTCATTACAACGGCACTTTCATGACAGCTGGGTCTGTGAAAGAGGGAGACCCTTCAGTGGGCCATAACATTAAGTCCGCAAGGTCGGAGCCTGAGAGGGACATTGTTCATTTATAAACAGTGCCGTGGTATATATATAGAGTGTACCCCTATAGGGCTTATCGGGGGGTGCCCGGGCCAGTGATGGGAGAGGCTGGCTCCATGGTTTCTTAGCCTGTCATTATCATGCAAGGACATCCCATCCTTGACTGTCCTGCTTGGGTGATATGCACACCTGGTCTGCAGCTAATTTGTGATTCAGCCAATTGGGTCGGTAAACATGAAAGTCCCATGTTTCCAGTGGTGAGATCGAAAGTCGTAGTTCAACGCCAATTCGTTGACAGTAGTGCGGGGAGTTGAAGCAACTCCTGTGTCTGCAGAGAACACGTCGACTCCTGACAGGCCGAGAGCCTATGAACCGACCTTCATGAGGAAAAGTCGCCAGCCATGCAGTCGCAATGGAGTGCGATCTGGGCGCTTAGAGATTTGGCTCTGTTGCTCCAGTCCAACAACCCCAAAGGTCCAGCTGGTTTTAGCGTCTTTGCGTAGGAGAAAAGGAACATGATTCGGTCACCGTCAGAATTAACCTTGTTGCTTCCTTTGCCAAGTGTCCAGCAAGAGGTGACGCCGTGAAGGAGAGAAATGAAAATTAAAGATGCTGCAGAAGGTTAGTCCTCCGAAGCGCAGCTTCACGGTATAACTATAGCACCCGCTCTTTTGAACTCAATCGAGAACTTCAATTGTGGGGATGGATAATTACAACCCAGCCAAGAGCCGCTATTTTCTATAGATAGTGTATACATCTCGATCACATACAAAGTAACCGTGTCATCAAGAGAGAGATGCTGCTGGTAGCTAACTATCATATCATCAATACATTAGTAGTTATAGAAAGAAGAAAGAGAGAGATATTATATATTATCTCAGTTAGCTTATACTTTACAACTATTTTTATAACTATGATCCTCACACTGTGCAGCAACTGATAGTTGTAGTGTATATGTTATTTTATATGTAATGGAGGCGTATGCACTATACCTATAAAAAATAGCGGCACTTGGCTGGGTTGTAATTATCCATCCCCTTCAATTGTGCTGTCTGTTTGCTTCAAATATAATTTCCGCGACGAGGGTTCAATGGTCATGGATTGAGCAAAGCAAGCACCCACTTCCCTATCTCTCAGCGCTTTACCTATTGCAGCTCTGAAGATGCAAGGTTCGAAAGCATCGAGTACCTAGGTAAACATGCACCCCTGCGTCCCACTCAGGCCACAGTGATCCCCGGGTGGTGCGTGCGATTCTTCTGTCAGTTCGGAAAGTCAAAGGAAGCCTTGAAGGAAACCTGGACTCACCCTGAACAGAGCAACTAGTAAGGCGTCAAAGGCATTGAAAGACTCTCAGACCTCAGATGGATAAACGGGATGCCGGAGATTTATTGGGAGTACCGCAAGTCATTATTATCCTTGAACCGGAACTTTTATGGACCTATACCCTGTCCCTGTTTGTTGTTCTTCTCGCGCGGGCTTAAAGGGAGCGCGCATGTTGAAGTGCAATAATGGCCCTTCCAGCTGCTTCTAGGCATGAAGCCTAACCCCCTATTTTTCTTTTATTAAAATCTGATATCTAGCGCCCTTCCGAATGCCTCAGCGGCTCCGCCCCTGAACGAGCAAAACAAACCCAAGCAATTATTATCGCAGGACCATTATTCTTCAGGGAATGGATGTTGTTTCATCTTGGATATGCTGACAGAGCAAGGCATGGATCAGTACTGAGCAGGCCTGGTAGTGCTGGATTTATCAGATAGGTCACTGTGTATGGAAAATTGGCACAATTGATGAAGCCGGCGAAGCATGTCCCTAGTTCGATATCCGTGGCGTACTGATGGTGATGAGGACGAATATGCGGAATTTTTAACCCCAATTTTGCTCTATGTGTTTTGCATCATTGATGAGATTTGTTGTTCATCGTCGTCTCCTCAAGAAGCTGCTTCTCTGGTAAAGACTAAGTCCCATTCTGAGTAAACGCACTCAGCACCAGAAATCCATGTCGCTATCATTTAGGACCCATTCTGCTAACAGTTTAGCGATTATTTTAATCTAAAATCCGGGCAAGTTCCTGAGCCCTTTCGCTCTCATGCCATCCGAAGACCCCTTTGCCATCGTGCGACGACGAGGATTGGGGTTGTGGTCGAAAACTTGACATGGGCTTGGCCTAGTCTTCAAGTCATCATGATGGAGAATCCTCCAGTCATCCACTGGGGGTACAGCCACCTAGCAACAGCAAGAAGTTCGAGATGATCGAGCGCCTCGTCCTTACCGGCAATCCATGTGAACCTCCGGCGGTTCAGACGGGACCGCCCCCGGATACGCCTTGCTTTGTCAAATATAAACACAGTTGTTAAAGTTAGTTACTGGAATGCCCTTTGGTCTTCAGAGACGGCAATAGTTAACTGTTCCATTCCGCGCATTGTCCGCCCACCCCTGAAGAATGAGGGGCGCAGGTAAAATTGTCTTTAGATCTTGATGAAATAAGGCGTCAATTTGTATCAAATCGTTGTCAAATCTTTGTCGTATGTACGGAGTACTCGGGCCCCGTTGGATTCTCGACCCCTTTTGACGACGATAAAACATGGTCTACGCAGTAGATCGCGAAACACCAAGAGCCCGGGCGGACTATGTTGTGGGCTACGACGTGGTTGCATTATGTGTCGTTATGAGGGTTGTCCTGTGTTTGACTGATGGAAAACGGAAACAGGGCAAGGCCGTTTCTGATGTCCCTCGCATCTATTATGCAACTCGGATTGTGTCTTGGACGGCGCGTAAGGAAGAAATCCTGATCAGTTATTCTCAAAATCGACAGGGCGTAGTATGGCATTTAAATACTTCCTTGTTCGATCGAGACCATCGAATATTTCCGGAGCCAGCAAAGCACATCAGGGGCAACTCATAAATCTCAAAAAAAAAAAAAAAAACAACCATGGAAGTTTCATCCATTGTTATTGCCACATGTCAAAACTAGAAATGAATCGAAACAAAAAGTGGCTAATGATATCCCCTTGCGCTGTTTCAAAGGACACTGACTAGGTAGAAAGTCCGTTCCCACTTCCCTAGAACGCCATGCCAATAAGCCATGTACTGTACTGTACGTACACATTCAAGAAAAAAAAAAGGGGGCTTGATCCATGAGCCAATAAATTGGATATATTGCAACAAGATAATTATCGCATCCCACTCATAAAACCACTGGTCCTAAATTCATCCACCCCAAGCGTCGCGTTCTTCGTTGAATGACCCATACGCCATGTTTCTCCCTGCAAGGCTTTCGGTGTCTGCCTCATTATCCTCATCAGCCGATCTGAGTTGTTCTGTCGGCTGCTCGACCATGCGCCTGCCTTCGATGCTTTCATATCGGCCGTTCGCATTTACGGGCTGATCACTTCAGACCTAGATTAGTTTTTTATAGAACTTCTAAGTTGCGGAAGTTGGCCACTCACACTAAACAGGCTTCCTTAGCTATGTTTTGTTGTTCCCCAGGCGCCCCAAAGCGTTCACGTTCGGTCTCGCCGACGTCATCCACGAGATCAATTAGTTGGCTCCGCCTCAAACGGGACTGGGGGGAGATGCTGGAGCTGCTGTGTTCTTTGTTTCCATTAACAGAGTGTTTCGATTTGCGATTTGACCTACGGCCTGAAGAGCTCTCTGACGCTTCGTTATTATGAATGCGTCTGTTTCTATGTTTAGCTGCTCTCTTTACATAGCTTGATTCGGTGTTGTTTCGAGCTGGGTTGGATACCGAGTGCCTCGTCCGTCGTGGAAGTCGCTGGTCGGGTGGCACCTCATTGGCCGTTATCACTGGATACTAAAGGGTAAGTTAGTTCATCATAGATGAAGTTTAGGGATTCGATTGGTTACATTATAATCTCCGAACTCTAATGCTCTCGCATTTGTGAAGAGTCTTTCGTCTTCCTCGTTGAGTGTCATGTCCTCCAGATCATCATTATCCAGGCTTCCATCATTTGCACTACCTCGTTTCGACCAGCCTTTGGAGTTCCTTCGGCTGTTGCTTGGCGAGCTTAAGAGGGGCGTTCGACTTGTTGCTTTACCTGGTTTGGGAATCCAGTATTTAGCCTTCCCACCCCTTTCATATCTCATACCATCCATCACTCTGGCTAAGCGTGATTCAGATTCCTCATGCGCTATTACATTATCACCAGAGTCAAATAGTCTGTACTGGTAGTTTTCTCCACGGAAAGTTTCTTTGGTGTCTTCGATGAGATCCCGGATTCCAAATGCATCCCGAATAGCAAACTTCACTGGCATCCGCGCAGCTGATACAGATGCATCGGCATAATCATGCCAGGAGAACGCATACCAGTGGGTAAGGGCGAAAATAGGCATTTCAAAACAAATCAAACTGTCCTGGATTGCTGCGGCAAGGTTATCTGGACTGTAGCCTGCAACGCCATTGGGTAGAGCTCCAAGCCACTGTAAGATTGAGAGAAAAAAACCTTGCCAATATGAGGCAAAGATGATGAGTTTGACGCAAAGAAATTTAGGAACAGGGCGAAATGGTTTGAGGTCATCGTGCATACACACCCAGAACATTGCCAATGAATAAAGACTGAGCGTGACGCTTATATTGTATATAATCCCGGTCCACAGGTATCCAGAAGAGAGCCCAAGATAGCCCTCTTGGTATGTCCCGGTAGCTTTCATTATTATGGAAGCCAAAGCAAGGATAGGCTTTAACCATGCATACTGCAGAATACCACGCTTTATAGCAAGGAAGGTGTGGGGATCGGAAATATCGACTTTACGAAGGAAGTGGTTGAGCGGCCAAGCATGCTGCACTGGTGCGCGTCCGTGTGTCATGACTATGAGAGCTCGTTCTCCGCCAACCAAATTGATAAGGAGTTGAAAAAATGTATATATCGTAAATGCCTTTCATGTCACCAAGTTAATGGAAGATTCCAGTATGCCTCAGAATTGAGGGCTCCTACCTCATAGATATCACGGATCGGTGCTATAAAAGCAGAGGCTTTCAACGAAACGATGCTCACCCACGACGAGACGGAGTATATCGGAACCCTACGTGACTATTAGCATGCCGGTCCAAATTTATATGAAAGGGCAACCATCAACCGACATTAAAAGTATCCTCACAACATAACGCTGAAGCAGCGGCTTCCGATAATTTTTCCTGCACCGCCTGTGTTATTTTCCGGTGATATATATACATATCGGAGCAAAGGCGCTGCTTACGTTTGAAGCCATATCGATCTAGGGTAGAAATCAGAATCAGCGGAATGTCACAAGAAAGATATCGTGCAAGCAGAGACAGGAGGCTGTTGACAAACATTAGAGATATTAATGTAGCCACTAAAGATGCCACACCTGCAACGATGACCGTAACCTGGGCCAGGCTAGACCCTGTGCCTCCAGAAGAGCCGGAGACGTTCGTCATTGTTGGCGTGATCGAATGCATCTTTCACGGTTGTGATGTTGTTTGGCCCATTGTTGCCCTGAGGTCATTCCGCGGATTGAATCATGCACCATAACAATGCTCTGTCCACGCCAAGACGGATTTGATGCGCTCTTTAGGGGTCACCATGGAGTGGCGTCGCGCAGGGAGACAGACTATTTACTATCGCAGATTGACAGGTGAGCCGAGTAGTCTGTCGTGTTCTGACAGCGAGAATAATTTATCAAAGCAGCACCGTAACAAAGATTCATGGGTGTTTGGGCGGGTCGAGGGTGGTTTTTGCTGGAGCTGGGAAAGAGAACAGCAATTCCTTCCATGTAGTGGGACCTTTCTTCTTGGCGAATCCTTCAGGCCCTATATCCTTACAACATCTTTCCTTATGAGGCCCTGTTCTCCTTCCTTCTGAGGTCTTGCTTATTTGTTTGTTTTTTTCTCTTTAAGAAGAAGGATTCCCTTATTTTTCTTTTTGTTTTTTTTGAAGAAAAAAAAGATCAAGGGGGATTGTAACTACCCATAGGAACAAGATCACCCCAGTGCCTGGAGGTAGGCCTCACGCTACAAGCAATCCAAAGAAGATGGAACGAGCCGCCCTTATCAAGACCTTCCCGACCTCAGAGGTGTGGGAGACCATCCATCTAGGGGATTACTGGATGGACGGGGTCTCAGCCCTCCACTCTGATGAGCATCCATTGTGGAAGGGCTATATTGATGTTGAAGAGATCACCACTGACCACACGCCTCCCTTCTACCGGCAACTCACATCCGAACAATTCCAAGCCCTGAGGGTGATCCTTGAGGACAGTTCTTTGAAAATCTTCCCCTCTGAGGCCTTTGGCCGGTGGTGGCCGCGCCATTTCACTCTAAATGGAAAAGCTAAAGACACAAAGACCGCCCCCATCACCGCTGAAGAAGCCTTGTCCCTTGAAGATGCTAAACCTCTTGTCAGAACCTTTATGTATCGAGGAAAACCTATGGTCAATCTTCCGAAAAGCCTGCTCCCCAACTCCACTGATGTGAGCCCTATACTTCCTGCTGCACAGCAGAAGGAACTTGAAGAGAAAACAGCCATGATTGCAGCCAAAGATGTCGCGATTAGGCAGCTGGAAAAGACGAAGGAATCCCTCATGAAAAAGGTGGAGGATCTGGAGACAAGCAATGCGGAGTTTGTTAGCAGGAATACCTCCCTGAAGATGGAACTATCATCCGCCCTGCAAGTCCCCCTGCCCCCTGAGGCAGTCAACAAATTGCACTGCGCCATCGAACATATTCGTTCTGTGTTACCTGTCGGTGCGGCTGGAACCAACAAGAGGCCTCTTGGGGAGACTACAACTGTTGGAAGCAAGAGCAAACGAGCAAGATCTACAACTGTTACAAGGGGCGCAAGCGCCTTAAACATCCTCCGAAGCATGAGCGAGATCCCCTCCCACGATGGTGCTAAGGACCCGAAGATATCGAACCCGCCAACCCAAGAAACATTAATGCAAGAGGTCAACAGGGAAGAGTCCCTGCCCCCTTTGGCTGGCCTAGAGGATACCCCGACCACTGTCATTACTCCAACCCACACTATGCCATCACCTCCCACCCCGATCAAAGCCAATGCCAGGTTTGACACCCGGCCTCTAGCAACAACAGATGGTGAAATCAAAGAGATTTTAGACACCATCATGCAGCACATCCTACATTTCAGTGGAGGTTTGACCTTATGGCGCAAAGATGATTATTATGATCTACTCAAGGCTGGGGCCCCCTATCCAAGGTTGCTGCAGGAGCTGGACTCCAGAGGGATTGAGTTGAACAAGCCCTGTCTCAGAAAAGACATAGCTTCAGTATTCAAAGCACGCCCCACCTCACAGCTCTCAGATCAGATGGAAAAAAGTCCAGCTTCAACTACTGCTGTCTCAGAGGCTTCTAGTTCCTCTCTGACTTCACTTGGAGAGGACTCCGAACAATTTGAAACCCCTGAACCTTCTTATAGCCCCGGGAACCTCCTCTCTAGATTGAAATACCCTGTCTCCCAATGCCTCCAGCGACAACTAAAGTACACAGTCCTTCTGAAGCTTGAGGTTATTGAACCACAACCATCTCAAAAAGGAGAACCCTCTGCAGTGATCTCTGAACTTAAACTGCAGGAAGCAGAGCGTCTATTTCTAAGCATCTTACTCGAAGGCCTCCAAGAAAAGGTTACTGGACTACTAAGGATTGCACTGTGGTTCCCCACTATACTGTGGCTGGCGGTCGCAGTATATAGGTGGTGGATTGGGTGGCCACGCCCGCTGTGGGCCGAGCCACACCACCACGCCCACGGGTATATATATCACTATGAGCGCAACCATTTAACAAATGGTTACGTTGGCTTTTTGCTATGGATAACCTAGTGGTCATAGTGCTATCTTATCACAGCACAAGAGATTTGGGATGAAGAAGTTTCGTCCTACCACCCTCCTCCAGAAGGTCCCAAAGACAAGGCAGGCAAAATAGTACTAGGGATAGGAGTACTGGATCCCTTTTCTATTGCTGGAGCAGCGCTCAGCAATAGTGAGATACGTAAGATCAAAATGCTGATTGTCGATCATCTTGTTGCCCATAGCTCCCAGAAACAAAGGTCTGTATATAACAATTTCATAGGATCAATCAGGTCCTATGATTCATATGAGTCCCTTGTTAATCGCCTTTGGGTGTATGGTGGTCAGCTAGAACCCGATGAGCTCAAGGACCAGATTCTCAACTATTCACGTCCAATCCTCCTTCTGGAACTTTATTCACCCCAAAGGCCTTATAACCTTCTTGCTGTCTTCCGGACCAAAACCTGGGCTCCAGAAGCAACTAATGACTTCTGGACTGAGATATTCAGCCACCTGGACTCTCATAACAATCGTAAAGCGGATGACAAGATTTCCTTTGAGGACGAAGTCGGTCTGACTATCATTCCAGGGGACACCTTCACACTCCTTGAGTTGTTTAATCACTGGGATAGCCAAAAATGGAACTTTGAAAAGAGAGAGATAGGAGCGAGTATCCTAGAGTGGGCAAGTTTATATGAACATTAAATAGAATCCATACGGCGATGGATTCATTATGGGGGGACTAGAGAACAGCAATTCCTTCCATGTAGTGGGACCTTTCTTCTTGGCGAATCCTTCAGGCCCTATATCCTTACAACATCTTTCCTTATGAGGCCCTGTTCTCCTTCCTTCTGAGGTCTTGCTTATTTGTTTGTTTTTTTTCTCTTTAAGAAGAAGGATTCTCTTATTTTTCTTTTTGTTTTTTTTTGAAGAAAAAAAAGATCAAGGGGGATTGTAACTAGCATCAAAAACTAGTCATAAGATTGTTCAATTTTGCCCTTAATCCTTAACTATTCCACCCTAAGCTAATCTCTAGGACTTGCGGAGCCTTGAGAGCTTACATAAAGATCCCCTAAAGAGCCGTGAGGCTTGTTCTGTTTCTGGGAAGCTTCGTCCCGTGACATCCAAACACAACCTTACCTTCAGCACGGCAATTATCATCATGCTCGGCACTCAACCCAACTCCGTTAAAAGTCGAATAGATATCCACACCCATGAAGATGTTTGGCCCTGATGTCCTCGGTATGGTAATATCACTTACATTATGCCATTCTTGAAACCTTGCTCTTGCGGTACTCCTTGCCTCTTTGCAGAGACATGGTTGCTGGCATGTGGAGGAGGATTTGCGTGCAATGGGACAGCCGAATCTCGATACCATCGACTTTGCATAGCTCGACAACATGGAAGGAGGCAGATTAACAGCCGAGTCACTGGCTTCAGTAGTTCCCAAGTTTAATTGGTAATATTTCCGATCCTTCAGCTTTTGATGTGGGGCTGATTATTGGCAGGGTGTTTTTAGTTGAACTCATTGTCTGTGGCATTCTGTGAGTCTTGATCCCCAACATATTTGAAGAGGAAGTACATCTAAAGCTCATATTCGCGACGTAGTACTCTTTTCTTCCTATTTTACTTCAATAGGCTCTTTGCTACCATTGTTTCGTATCCCATCCGAGCCTATACCTGGCATTACTACGGGGTTTATATCGATATCCATGCGCTTCAAATTTCCCTACTCGGCGGAAGGATATTTTTCAAAGGATTTCGCTATCACGGAGAGAATGAGACGATATTGGTACAATCAGGTTACCTGACATGGAAGTATTGGCTTCGGTCCGTACGTAAGGTTGGTTTGGCTCGAAATCACGAAGATGGTCCGGAATTCTCGAGAGAGCAGGTGGGAGAGTCTGATTCGGATGAAAGCACGCAAAGCCCAAACCCCAGCACCAGCCAGCAGGGCGGTGCCACTAAGAGAAATAGCCTGCCTTGTCGGTTGGAATTGACAATCCAGGGTCTTGAGTGGTTTGTTTATAACAGGAGTGCTGCCTACGATACTATTCTCTCTGGCTTTGGATATACTCCGAGAAAGGAACCTGATGGTAGCGACAATGGCCGAAGTGATCATGCTACTGGAAAGAATAATGAGAGATCGGAATCACGTAACTCAGCGCAAACAGGTAGTGGATCAACTGATAACAAGGATTGTTCACATCCCACCTCTCGCATTGAATCGGCTACTTCACGTCCGAGCCAGTCTGAACCGTCAACGTTAGCCAATCGCACTCGCATCCGTTTATTTCGTAAAGAATCGAATTCGGAAGAAGCTTTAGATTCCTCTTCGGCCAGCTCAGCAAAAGACGCGTCACGTTCCAAACCGCTGGCTCTGCTTCCCCTGGAGTTAGTTTGCACTAAAGGAGCTATGGTTATTGGTAACGAAAACACAAAAACGTTTTTGACCGCAAAGTTTGAAAGTGCTTGTGGGCACATTGATGCTAGCAGCTCTGGCCCGCTAGACATGTTCAGACATGTATTTGAATTTCGCCTATGCCACCCTGTAGTTCAGATGAAACCCAATCCAGACTTTAAACAATCCCAGCAAGCTACTGCCAGCGGGCTGCGAGCAGCGAAAGGAGACCAAGAAAGAGGGAGAAACCCAAGGGACCTTCATTCGAGATATCAACACCACAGACGCAGGATATGGCACAATGTTCGTGACCTGATCCCATATTTCCAGACTTCAGTCGAGTCATTCCACGTAGGTGCGGGAAGAGAAACACGTGGAGCATGTTCTAGTCCTCCAGCAAAAACGGGGTTGCCAGGTGAATCTCGTTGGCTCGGGTTGACTCGATACCTTGACGAAGATGATCGAGATGCACATGAGGGTTGGAGCGCTATCGAATATGGCCGATTCTCTACCATAATCGATTGCCCCAACCTGCTCCTCAATTATTATTGGGATGTGCCGGGGAAAGTGCCAAGGGGCGGAATGCATTCGCAACTTTCAGTTCATAAACTTTCTGATGATATCAATGGTGCGGATCCCCCCGAGTGGGGTATGCAACTGTGCATTGGGGGCGGAACTATTAACTATGGCCCCTGGGCGGACAGGGAACGTGTGTGTATCCAGACGGTATTTTTCCCAAACCTTTACCGAGATTCACAGCCATCTCCACCCCTTGAACCCTATACGCCTCGTCAAAGCACCAAGTTTAAATTAACCATCAACATCGAGAAAGATACTACCTTGCGGATTCCAACCAGAGAAGCGTCCAAAGATTGGTTGTGGAAAGATCGGGTTGATGCTGTTGGGGGACTTTCCAAATCGCAAAACCGGAAAGACAAAAAACATCCACGAAATAAGGACGCCGAAAAAAGTACCCATGGCCCCGATATTAGGCCCTTTGGTTGGTTTGCCATCCGGATAGCGGCAAATTCCACAATTCGATATTCAATGGACATGGTCGCTTCAAGCTCAGGGTACCAAAATCAGTTGGACCTTCACCTGAGCGGGAGCAGGGTGACATCTAGTGTAAACCATGGTCTATTGTGGACCTCTGGGGTGCAGATGATTTCTTTCGACTTGTCGAATCCGTTGGAGTGGAATATCCGGCGCTCCTGGTCCATCAACATTGACAGCGAAAACTTAGAACTTTTCTTATTACGAGACCACATTTTCCTCCTGATAGATCTAGTGAATGACTGGACTTCGGGACCTCCCCCCGACTTTTATACATTTGTGCCTTTCCGTTACAACATTGACTTTTGCTTCACGAACTTCAAGCTCTTTTTGAACGTCAACGATTCAAACATAATAAATAACCCATCCGATACTAATGACAACTCTTTCCTCGTCATACACAGCGAGCGCCTGACCTCCCACGTCAATATCCCTGTCGAGAAATATAAACCAAAAAGCAATGCTGTAGGATTCGATGTTAATTTGTCAAATGGATCAATCGAATTGATGACACCATTGTGGAACACGCAGCGCGCCTTTCTCCACGATAACTCCGTTGCGACGCTCAAAAGGATGGGCTTAACAGGTAGTTACAAGTATAATCTTGAAACCTCGTCAACCCTAACGGATAGGTTAACACTCGATATAGTCGGTGTTTCGCCTAAGCTTTATCTCTATGGATTTTTAATACGGCACTTTTTAAAAATAAAGGAGAACTACTTCGGCGAATACCTTCATTTCAAAACCTTGGAAGAATATCAAGGCTTACTCGCTACGGCTCACACGCCGGAAGAGAGTGGTGGCATGAATCCTTCACCGAAAACAAACGATCTTGACATCTTTATCCAGGTTCACGCAGACAATGGCAGCATTTTTCTACCCGCCCATATCTATGACCGTACAAATTGTGTGAGAATAGACACTGTAACTTTCGATACCGATTTGAGGTTTACAAATTATTACATGGACATGGAAACATCATTTGGCCCGGCGGAATTTGTTATAGATTCAGCTCAACCCGATGGTTCCCATTTTTCCTCAAGTACTCAGTTATTTCTGGATGGTTTATCTATCTACGGTCATCGCCTTTTCGGGCTGCCTCCTACCGAACCAACTTATGTTTGCAATTGGGATTTTCAAGTTGGATACATTGTCGGAGAATGCACTCCTTCGTTTCTAAAATATGCTGCATCAGCAGTAAATTTTCTGGCATTTTCTTTCGACGATGAGGAGAATGCACTACCCCCACTCCACCCCATCGAAATCCATGATGTGACGTTTGTGCGAGCCAGAGTGAATCGTATACGGACTTGGGTCCTAGTCGAGGATTCCGCCATATTGTTCAACTGTGGAGTTATCAACCTTGACTTCAATGATTGGGCGGACATGAACTTTTCTTCGCGGCTCAACCTAAATTTGCCCGATCTTATTCTCGCTGTAGTAGATCGAAACGCAGCTATTCGACTGCGAGAGCCCTCGCGAGAGACGGTCAAGACCTATGGATATTTCCAAACGTCACTATTCTTCAGGATGATGGAACGCAAATCGGACTTTTTCGTTTCCCGTGGTCTTCAACAAGAGCATATCCGCGTACATGATCAGCGGTCCAATAGGACACCTTGGCTACTTCATAATGTTGAAAATACATTAGCGCAGCTTTCTCTAAATACTACCAACTATAAGGTCAGCCCACCCGCCATGCCTGTACCGCTTATGCCTGAACCGATTCAATCGATTCCTAAATTTTACGAAGACTCCTCCATTTCGTCATCCCCATTTCCGTATATATCGAGTGGAAAAAGCTCGATACGGTCTTCTCGATCTTCTGGATCGAAGCGGGGAAACTTCCCAAACTTTAGCCGCGTGCCGCCCTACGGCTCTGATGTTACGGATGCTACAGTTGCATCTAGACGCCAAACCACTCACAGCTTCGATGGAGCACGGGGACCGAACAACATATTAAGCCCCACTAACAGTATATCCAGCCCATGGGCCATTCCGAACTTCCATTTCAATGGGATAGAACCTGATATTGGCGGCGTTCCCATGTTTCCCAACTCGGACGATATTCCAGAACGGAGCGAGTGGGACCTGGGCAGTAATATCACACTTGATTCTGGATCAAAATATGAAAATGCTACCCAGGTCTTTTTCCACTATGAATTTAAACGTGGTCTACGTGGCTTGGGCTCCCCAGAGGCTCTTTCCGCTATATCTTCGCTTTTCGATGAACTACAGCCAGCTCATCCAGTTGATATCATTGACAATCTCCAGGCCGGTGTCATTTCAAGCATTTTAGCGCATGAAAAAGCAATTGCAGGTCCCAAGAAAATATCCAACTTTTCGCTCGTTTTCCCCCGCTTGCATATTCGATTTATCAATTCATCTAAGTCAATGGATGTAGACCAATTGGGAAACTTCCGTGACCAGTATGACTTAAAGCTTGCTCATATTAGTTCCACGTTTCGCACCGCTGTCGAAAGCAAACGGGGTGGCCATGTACGACCTCCCAAGACAGACTTCACGATGCATTTAGCGGCTGATGAAGTTTCACTATCAGCTCATGGAGAGCAAATGGAAGCGCTTGATCGTAAAGGCTTGGTACACTGTACATTGAAAAACATAATTTGCTGGTCAGCGTTCGAAGAAGAGACGCAGCGCTCTCATATTCAGATTCAAGATATCGAAACCGCAACCTCAAGCAAATCCGTCCAAGACTCGGCATTCCTGATTGACCGTACTACCAACCTAGTCGACTCGATTGTGGCACCTTTTCAAAAAGCCTCCGCAGCTTACACAAGACGACTTCGCTGCTTGGTCTATACTCTTACTAGCCACGGCTCCCAAACACCTGATCCGTTGTTTCTGACACGGACGTCATACGTGCTACGAGCCGCTCAGGATCACTTAAGACTTCATGATTCCTGGAAAATCATTTCTCGATTGCGGAATATCTACAACTGCTTACCGGCTGACCAAACCTCGAAGTTGGCTTGCGATTGCATAACCAATACGATTTCATGCCCACCAGATGCTCAAACTACTGTATTATCCAACTTTGATCGCTGGAGAACCTGGGATCTTTCCCATGTCAAAAACAGCGCTGTGATGAAAGTAATTTGGGGGAATTTGGAAGAGGGAAATGCTAACTCTCGTGAACCGGCAAACCAAACCTTCACTTTAAATATGAATAGGATAGGGTTTTGTTTAGACCCTGGCCCGAAGGAAAGTAGATTATCACTTCAGGGTTTCTCGACTTCGCTGAACCTCGGAATAAGTCCGTTAAAGCAACAAACTGCAGGCGGACCTCACAGCCGGTATATAGCTGTACAGACGTTCTGCTCTAATATATCCCTGGGACTTAAATGGGAAATTTGTGAACTTGTTGAGGGGATCCTTGAAATGGTATCAGGACGACAGAAACAAACTGCGCCACCGGCCCAGGTTCCACATGATGCCGGGCCGGCCGCTAAGACTGACGAAATTCAGTTTGTTTTCCTAGTTGATGATGGATCAGTCGTTGTTGACGGAATCAACATTAATGTCTCTCTGCGAGGTAGTGGCATTAAAGGTTCAGTGATCCATCAGCCTTCCAGGCAAGATTCAAGAAGTTCTACAAGTGTGGTTGTCAGCTCCGATGAGTCTTCTGTTCAATTTAGTAGCCGCTTAAAAGACCTGATGATTTGGAGGCTAATGTGCCCCAATGTTTTCGTATCGCACACCTCACAAGTCAGCGGGGCTCGTGTTAAACATGACTGGAAATCCGCAGCTGCGTGCCGGCAGTTACTCTATGATATGAACGAAGATCCCCTTGGTATGGTTCAAGTGGTTGATCGAATTGTGGAGGATGAAGTCAAATATATTATTGAGTTGATTTCTACGATCGAATCATCACAATCAGAGCGCGAAATACATTCTACCACGGCTAAGAAAATGATTATCCATCGATTCCATGTTGCAATGTTTTTGGATGATTACCATGTACGATTTTTACTCCTTCCGTCATTAGTTTACTCTATTTCTGGAAAGGTCGCTAGACTCTCTATCGCCCCTGCGAAGGGTTCCAAATTAGAACTTGACTTTGACCTGAAGAATAATTCACACAAGTTCTGGACAGATAATGAGGCGGATTCGAGCATCATTTCTGCCCTTGATATCCCTCCTATCAACGGCCGTATCATTGTTGAGACATCTCCTAATCAAACATCTTTGGATATCGATATAACCATGGAACTCACCAAAGTCGATGCTGGAGCTGTACGTAACCTACTTGGTGCTTTAAATGGACCGGAAATATCGCATTTATTGTCAGACTTGGAGCACGATATTAAAATTCTTAGCCAACGTTTTGACCGCCTTGTTTCTCACGGTTATAGTTCACCCAAAATGAAGCCTTCTGACCATGACCTCATATATAAGGTCCGGTTCACATTGGCTGGTGTCGATATTTTTGCAACTGCTCCTGGTTTGAGTAGTAAGGATTACTCTGCGGACATGAACTTTAAAGTGGGCTTGGTGCAATTCCATTTAGAAAATGCTTCTCTCAATGGACCCGTTCTTCAATATCCTGAATTCAACCTCCGTCTATCTCGCATTAGTTTCGATCTCAAGAAACGCGATGAGGTGCATACAAATCCTTATGGTAGCTTACTGCTCGACGCTCAGATATTGGGAACTTCAAGGACCAATGATGGTGGTGATGTTGTGCGATCATATGATGTAATCAACAAAAGTTTGCAAATCGAACTATATGCCGAGACTGCAATGATGATTGTTGATATTGCGGCCCACCTTCAAGAGAGACTGAAGACTCTCGATTTATCGCAGGAGGTCAAACATCTCAGGAGACTGCGACTGATCACTGCACCAGAAAGGATGTCGTCCATGGAGACCTGTGGCGAGCAAGCCGAGACTCAAAATCTGTTCAATGCCATGTACTCAGTTGTGCTCGCTAATATCCAAGTGAGCTGGATCATTTCCACGCCAGCCCCCACTCTCCAAGGAAGACAACCAGAAAATCTCGTCTTTTCCATCCGGAAGGTAGAGCTGGCAACTAAAAGACAAAGCGCCGCCCGTCTAAGAATTGAAGATTTGCAACTTCAAATGGTTCCTCTACAGATGGATAAGACGAAAAGGTCACGAAATTCTGCTCTTCTACCCGAGGCCGTGTTCAACGTCGCGTACCTCTCCAATGGAAGGGAGCGCCGACTGGCATTTCAAGCCGCGGGGAAAGAGTTGGATATTCGAGTGACATCAGAATTCATTCTGCCAGCACGGATTCTTCAGGATTCGATCGCATTAGCCAGCGACAACCTGCGCAAAGCAAACAAGCTTTGGAGTGCTGCGATCCCTCTGGAAAAGAAAAAGACAACATCTAGCACAAGTATTACTAGGCTCGCTTCTCTACTCATCGATGCTGATTTTTCCGGAGCCGTCGTCAGTTTGCAAGGTCGGCAGGACGATGGGACGACAAGCGCTGCTTCAACAACGACTCGAAATTCTCGAGCGTCTGGTGGAGGCAAATACGGCCAGTATATCCCGCAGGATGCTGAAACCACAGCAACGCTGCGAGCTCCCGGGGTAGCGTTAAAAGTCCAGTACGAAGACTCTGGCGATGGGGAGCCCACCTTAAATGCGGAAATGAAGGTCGATGCCTCCACCAATGTCCTCTACCCCACTGTTGTTCCTCTGATCACCCAGATATCTGAGAGTGTGAAAGAAGTTGTTGGAGAATCAGACGGAACGAACGACTTCTCCGATAACAGCCAACAACCTGCCCAAAAGTCTTCACTTGAGAGACCTCTGGGCACAAATGACCCTACAACCATCCTTGGGCGGTGCAAGTTAAATATTGGTCTGCGGATTTGCAGGCAGGAATTCACCTTAAGCTGCCAACCAATCGCACGGGTTTTGGCTACTGCACGTTTTGAAGACAGCTATATTACAGTCAATACTGTCCAATCAGCAGAGCAGAGGCGGTTTTTTGCTATGGCTTTGGCGTTTAACTCGTTACATGCTTCGGTCAAGCATGTATACTCCAGCGAATCCACGGCTAGCTTGACAGTTGACTCTATTGTTATGTCAACGATAAATAGCAAGCACGTCAGCTCTAACAATGGGATTTCGGCAATCCTGAAGATCAGTCCTACAGGGCTTCACGTGAATGCCAAACAAGTTCAGGACTTTCTTCTGTTCCGGGAGATATGGGTTCCGCCTGAAGGCCCACCGACCCAACGGCCAGCTAACCCCCAACCCGCTACGGATACGCATGCATACCTCGTGCAGCGCTACCAGCAAATGGCTGCCACTGGCTCTTTTCCTTGGAATGCTGTAATTGCGATAACGCAGCTGGATATTTGCCTTGATCTAGGCCAGACTTTAGGTAAATCGGATTTCGCCATCAAAGGTTTATGGTTAACGTCGAAGAAAACGTCTGATTGGGAGCAAAATCTCTGCATTGGATTTGAGGAAATCGCTATTGAAAGTAAGGGTCGGCTAAGCGGGATCATTGGGTTGCACGACTTTAAGATTCGAACGTCTATCCAATGGCCAGACAGCGATCAAAAAGCATACCAGACTCCCTTGATCCAGGCATCAGCAAGGTTCAATCAACTAGAGGCGAAAGTATCCTTCGAGTATCAACCATTCTTGGTGGCGGATATATCGTCGTTCGTGTTTTTCATGTACAACGTTCGGAATACATCTGTATCGCAGAAGGATTATCTTGTCAGCATTCTGGAGGGAGATAGAGTTCAAATATTCTGCACCTCATTTACTGCCTCGCAAGGCTTAGCTCTATACCAAGCACTCCAACGATTCGTACAAGAGAAACAGACCGCGCATCAATCCTCCTTAAAGGAAATTGAAAGATTCCTGCGTCGCAAATCCACAATCGGCTTCGACGAGCTTCTTCAGCAACCAGCAGCAGATGCTCCATTGGCAAAGAAAGCCGACGACGATGACCAGAAAATGCCGATATCGCTACACACCGAAGTGGTTGTAATTCTCAAATCCATCAACCTCGGCGCGTTCCCGGGTACGTTCCACGACCACCAGATCTTCAAACTGGTAGCTCTGGATGCCGAAGCGCGTTTCTCCGTCGCAGCTGAAGATGGACGAATCCACAGCGGACTTGGGCTCACACTCGGCCAGCTCAAGGTAGAACTTTCCAGCATCAGTCGGCCCACGGGAGCCCCACCGCCAGCACCTGAAGACCTCTCAGTACACGACATCGTGACGCGTGCCGACGAATCCCGCGGCGGGACGATCTTAAACGTACCCCGTGTCCTCGCAAGCATGGAAACCTGGCAAACACTCCACTCGAACCAGATCGACTACATCTTCAAAAGCTCCTTTGAAGGTAAAGTCGACGTTGGCTGGAACTACTCGCGCATCAGTTTCATTCGGGGCATGTGGACGAACCACACCAACAGCCTTGCCAGCCGGCTGGGGAAACCGCTGCCACAGCCGACGGTGCAGATTACGCGCAAACGCGACGAGGGTGGCGAAGGCGGGGAGGATACGGGTCAGGTAAAAATCACGGCGGTAGTCAATGTGCCGCAGTCGCGGTATATGTATACAGCGCTAGAGCCGCCGGTGATCCAGACGCCGCAGCTGCGGGATATGGGAGAAGCGACGCCGCCGCTTGAGTGGATTGGGTTGCATCGGGATAAGCTGCCGCATATCACGCATCAGATCCTCATTGTGACGTTGATGGAAATTGCGAAAGATGTGGAGGATGCGTATACGAAGATTTTGGGGTCGGCATAAGTGGGGATTTGGTCTTTTTGCTGCTTGCTCTATTGTTTACTTTTTTTTTGATCTCCCCTTTGGATTTCTAAAATTCCTTTTAACCTTTTTCCCTTTTCCAAAGACGTGTTATTATTTTCCCATACGCTATTGTATGTATATACCACTTATCATTCCTTTAATTCGGTGCTGCGTTTTAATCTTCTTGATTTTTGATCCTTCGCTGCAGTGCCACTTTATGTTGGTTTAGATATGACTTTAACTATTTCCCCACCCCCGCACACACACACACACACACACACACACACACACACACACACACACACACACATTCTCTCTCTCTCTCTCTCTCTTTCTTTCTTTCTTTCTTGTTTGGGATATTAGTCATAGGGGGCGGATGGTCGCCAGGGGAGTTCTTTCGTCATCCAGCTACATTCGTCTTGCATAGGGTTGTATGTATTCTTTTTTGGTTTTCTTCTGTTCATTTACATAGTTAGAGTCGGAGTCATCAGCGTGGCAATGAAACCCAGTCATATTAAGATTCTCTCTAACCCACTCCGGATAACCCTGGATCAATGACGGTGAGAGACAAGTACCACAGAAGTCACTCTTCCGCGGGTGAGGGGCAGGAAAGGACTTGGGAAGTACCTCGGAGCGCCAGGCGGGCGGCGCGGCCTGTGATTGGCTGCACGGCGCACACAACGCATCGCAGCCCCGCCCTTTCCTGCGATTTGAAATCCGTCAACCTCAACTCACGCAACTCTCTCAGATCACCAACTGCCTCAGC